TCAGGGCTTCTCATTGGCTAGTACCCAGGACCACCAGCCCATCACACAAAGACTAAACAACAAACGATGCAGCTAGCTCTTCTAGGACTTGACCATTATCACAATTTTCTCAGGGCCTGCTAAGGTTGCCATAACCTCTAGACAACAGGAAGCAATGTTAAGAATACAATACCCACATTCCCGAGAGGTGGTTCAGGTGGTTTTTGGTTGTTTGGTGGTTATGAATGTTTGTCAGTGTTTGGTGGGGGGCAGTTACAAGTTGTTATTCATCTTGTCAGGGAAAAGATTAAGCAAAGGAGGTTAGATTCAAGGATCTCTTTCTTTTTTTTCTTTCCTCTATCCTTCTTTCTCTTCTATTTAGTGTTGAAAAATGGGGGGCAGGGAATGATAAGAAAGATAAGGGGAGATATAGGAATGATAGGATAAAAGGGTAGATTATTGAATCTACTTTTTAAAAAGATTTATTTATTTATTATGTATGCAGTGTTCTCTCTGCATGTACCTCTGCACACCAGAAGAGGGCACCAGATCTCATTACAGATGATTGTGAGCCATCTGGGAATTGAACCCAGGACCTGTGGAAGGCTAGTGTTCGTAACCACTGAGCTATCTCTCCAGCCCCTTGAATCTACTTTTATTTTATTTATTTATTTATTTTTGGTTTTTCGAGACAGGATTTCTCTGTGGCTTTGGAGGCTGTCCTGGAACTTGCTCTGTAGACCAGACTGGCCTCGAACTCACAGAGATCTGTTTGCCTCTGCCTCCCAAGTGCTGGGATTAAAGGCATGCACCAGCAACGCCTGTCGTGAATCTACTTTTAAACTAAATGCAACTACTAGTTTCAAATATTTTACATTGGTATAGATTTTTGTATATTGATACAAATTTTAGGTTATTTTTGTTACAACATACCATATATATGCTTCTACTCTTGTTTCAGGTATTGTACCTGTGCAGCCTATTTTAAAATGTAATGTAAAGCTCTGGTCCTTGAAAGCTGCTTTACAAACTGTTTAAGATAATTAAGAAATTCAGGTTAGTAGTTAGTCACCTATAACAATCAAACTTGTATGTTTTCAAAGTCAAACATATATTTTAGATAGGTGGTCTACAAACACTTCAAAAATCTACAGAAAAGCCGGGCGTTGGTGGCGCATGCCTTTAATCCCAGCACTCGGGAGGCAGAGGCAGGCGGATCTCTGTGAGTTCGAGACCAGCCTGGTCTACAGAGCGAGTTCCGGGACAGCCTCCAAAGCCACTGAGAAACCCTGTCTCGAAAAACCAAACAAAAAAAAATCTACAGAAAATGGAATTTAAGATGTTTTAATAAGGATTTTCGTAACAGTGAGATACTGTCTGTTCCTGGCAGCACCAATCTACTTCAGAGAAGGTGATGAGCATTGAAGAACCTCCATATGGGGTTTGCTTTCTACATGGCAAAGCTAGCTGGGTAAGAAATTGTCCTTGCCTCGGTGGGTCTCTGTGAGTTCGAGGCCAGCCTGGTCTACAAAGTGAGTTCCAGGACAGCCTCCAAAGCCACAGAGAAACCCTGTCTCGAAAAACCAAAGGAAAAAAAAAAAGAAATTGCCCTTGCCTCAACTACTGACAGTATATTGTCCAAATTGGACATGCAGGATACAAGGGAAGTTGACTGCCGAACTTTGCCAAGACAAGGTATGTTAGTCCCTCAAAATTCCTGCTTCACAATAAAGTCTGTCAGGTATTCTGGGCCTAGAGGCCAAAGATGGATGCCCCAACATTGCAGAAGAACTTGGGTGACTGGCCTTTCTATAGTTTTGGAACTTGCCTTCTCTACTCAGTATTTTATCTTTCTCAGGTCTCTGATGGGGCTGAAGACTAGACAGTTAAAGTTTTACCATTTTCTTTGTTACCAAATTCAGAAAAGAAATTCACAAAAGAGATGGAAATTTTATAAAGGTTGAGAGACATAAAAGCTTAAGTTATTTATCTCAGAAAATGTTTTAAAGTCTAAAAAGGTATTTCTAGGTTGGTAATACAAGTTATGATAGAAAGTGATTCAGGCCGGGTGGTGGTGGCGCACGCCTTTAATCCCAGCACTCGGGAGGCAGAGGCAGGCGGATCTCTGTGAGTTTGAGGCCAGGCTGGACCAACAGCCTCCAAAACAAAACAGAGAAACTCTGTCTCGTAAAAACTAAAAAAAAAGAAAAAGAAAGTGATTCAGGTAGAAAACTTGGGATTCACCAAGATAGTCTAGATAATAGTTTCTCTGAAGTTGCTGAATACAAATGGACTGGTCATTGCAAATTTAATTTTACCTGATAATTGTTCTTATTGTATATAATTTTACTGTGTTTCCTTTTTATTTAGACAAAAAGGGGGAAATGCTTCAGGATATTCAATCACACTGCAAACCCCTGAGACTGTGTTAATTAGATAAAATCACCTCTGGGTCAGGAGGCAGAGCTAGCATCTAGTTGACAGGAAGTAGTAACAGAGAGTCAGATGGAGTCCTGAAGATAGAGAGATAAACAGGAAGTAGTAGGGAGACTTTGAGCATCTTTTTGGTTTGGGGTGGTGGAAGGACACTCTTGCTGGATCTCTGGCTAAAGAGGAAGGTCGGCTGGTTGCTTTCCAGCCTCTCTGAGCAGGTTTTTACCCCAGCATCCGACTCCCAAGTCTTTATTTGCAAGTAGAATGAGAGATTCAGTTAAAAACTACATTTGACTGTAGTGGCAAGAGGTGGTTCCGGCTGGATGCTATCCCACAGGGCCTCTGCCTGAGCAGCATGTGACCTGTGGGGCAGAGCTTCAGTCAGTAGCTGAAACAGCAGAAGACTGGGGTGCAGCCTTCTTTTTATCTGTCCACAAGGTCTATAAAGGCCTAAGTGCCTCAGGTGGACTTAGAAACTTGGGCAGAAAAAGTTGACTTGACTGACAACATCTGAGAAAGCTTTTGATGCAGGAATCCATGCATAGAACCTCCTGGTATCTGCCACTTCCAGGCTGTGGGGGAGCTAACCTTCACTGTCATAAATCCCCAAGCCCCCTGAGGCACATGCATCCAGTCTGTACTCCCTCAAAGAGACGTGGTCCTTTTTGTTCTTCTGATTAACAAACAATTCTGCTTCTGGAGATGCCTGTCTTATTATTTCCAAGTCTCCTCTGTCAATCTTAATCTAACAGTTTTAGATGGGTGTGGTGGTGCACGCCTTTAATCCCAGCACTCAGGAGGCAAAGGCAGGCGGATCTTTACGAGTTCCAACATTCAGAGCTAGGGCTGAGGATGTAGTTGATTGTAGAGAGTGGGCCTGTAATGTGTGAGGCCCTGGTTTCATTTCAAACACTATCAAACAAATCAAAATAAAATGCAGTGTTACTCAGCAATTCTAAACCTAGGGTACAAAAACATACATGAATATTCACAAGCAACACTATTTATAGCCAGAAAGCAGAAACAGGGATAGAAGAGATGGCTCTGTTGTTAAGAGCACCTGAGGGTTCAATTCCCAGCACGTATGTGGCAGCTCAAGTATAGCTAACCCTGACTGCAGAGGACCCAACTCCCTCTTTCTGGCCTCCTTGAGCACCAGGCGCAGACAGACATGCAGGCCAGACGTGCACACACTTAACATAAAAAGTAATAATGAATTTCAAAACACCATATGTCATATGTCCGCACACAAATAAGCAACATATAGTATATACTACAACAGATTACTCAGCCACGAAAACTAATGGAATATCCACTCTTGCAAGCCAGACAGACTCGGTCACATATTTTATGATCCTATTTATATAAACACACAAAACAGTACACACAAACTTAGAAGAACAGAACGCAGATTGGTGATGGGGGAGGGGTAAACGGAGGACAACAGCGAGGAACTGACTGCTAATGAAAACAAGCCGTTTCTACTTGAGACTAAAATGTTCTAGAATTCGATAGCAATGACAGTCTTGTGGATAAAGATCTACTGAATTACACACTTTTAGGATTTTATACCAGGCAGTGGCCTACGACTTTAGTTCCAGCACTCAGGAGGCAGAGGCAGGCGGAGTTCTGTGAGTTCGAGGCCAGCCTGGTCTACAAAGCGAGTTCCAGGAAAGCCAGGGCTGTTACATAGAGAAACCCTGTCCTGAAAACCCAAAATCAAAACAAAACAAGAAACAAATAAACAAACAACAAAGGATTTTACAAGAATAAAATGTATAGTCTTCTCTCCAGTTCCACTCCTTCAGGGACTGATCACAATCATGTGGAGCTCAGAAACCTACAATTCTAACCATCAATCAGGTCACGACAATTCCCATCTCCGTAACATGTCTCCATTCTCTTTACGCCACACCTTCCTTCTGACTCCTGTTGCCTCGTTCACCCCTTTAACATTCATCAGCGACCACCGAGGACCTTCACCTCCGGGGGAAGGCGAAACCCTTCACAGGACTTCACCAGGCGTCTCACGTCCGGGCTGCACTAGCCAGGCGCTCGGGCTGCACCTGGCGCTTCTCCACCCGCGCTCCCCATGAGCGGATGCCATCGCACTTCGTTTACTTATTTTTAAAGATCTATTTATGTACTTTATGGGTAAGGGTGTTTTGTCTGCATGTGCATTTGCACACCAGAAGAGGGCACAGGGTCCCATGGGACTACAGTTACAGATGGTTGCGAGCCACCGTGTGGATGCAGCGGGTTGAACTCAGGACCTCTTTCTTGTAGGGCAGCTCTGAACTGGCGAGCCACGCCTTCAGCCCTGCCACCGCACTTCTTCAAACACGACAGTCACTACCCGAGGCTCCACAGCACTTAACAGAATTCATGCAGCGCGCGGTATCACGGTGCAGCCAGCAAGACACCACCCCGGGCTCGCCCCGCCTCACGCCGCCCGGAAACACCGGGCGCAGAGAAACACCGGAAAGTTACTCTCGTTCCCCTTCAACCCCCCCTCACGCCGCACGCAGACAATCTCGCGCAGGCGCAGGCTTAGCGCCTGCGCGCTCGACATTCTCTGCTCGCAAGCCTCACTGCGCAGGCGCAGTCCCGCGGTTCTCCGTTGAGAAGGTGCGGCTGCTGCGCGGGAGGTAGGAGGAGCCGGGTATCGGGCTAGTGACCCGGCGGGGGTGGGGGTGGGCTGTCAGTTTCCGCGGTACCCCCTCTCTTGCGAGGCCGGTCGGCGTCTGTGTCGTCCGCAGGCGCCAGCGGCCACGATCTCAACCGGCCAGCGGCGGAGTGGCAGTGTGCTCGGTAGACAGGGCAGCGCCCGCCCGGAGGGAGATGGGGACAGTGCCACGACCACTGAACAGCCCAGCGATCCGAGCGGTCCGTTTGGCTTTAGGACCGTCCGGGCGTTTCCCAGGCAGCCCCCCACCCCCAGTCTCCTTTCGTGGGTCTCAGCAGGGGTAGGCGGGGAGGGTCCGCCCCGCCCCCGGATCCATTCATTCCCTGGACGCCTGCAGGGAGCTGGCAGGCTGGTAGGGCGCTGAGGAGGCAGGAGTCGCCTGCCCTCTGGAAGGTTGAAGCCTAGTGGGATCCCTTATGTCGTCTAGCAGATATTGGTAGAACACCTACCGGAGAGGGACATCTTATCACTCGATTGCCAGCAGAGATGTGGGGACTCAACACTAATGAGTGTGAAATTTACACATCTCTAGCAAGATAAAATTCAGTTTGCTTTTGCCTGATGTTCCAGGCCCTCGTGCCTAACTTCTCTCTCCCTGCAGACCTCTTCCTTCTGCCATTTCTCTTCACTCCCACCGTATCAAACTCTTTGCAGTTCCTGAATTCAACAGATAGTTGCCTAGCATCTATTACAAGTTGGGTACCAGACAAACCAAAGAAAATACAAAGTAAATAAATCTGTATCTAACTGATGTGCTGAACTTCATTGACAGATAATCAGTGAATAAAAACAGGATTAAGACCTGAACCACACTGCCTAGACTCTCTGCCCTGCTGTTTCAAAACTCTTCCCCACTCTGCTTGTGCCTGATTCCTTGATCTAAAGAAAAGATGATGGTAGATGGCATTTCAGGATTGCTGGAAGGACTAAATGAGTTAGGGATTTAAGAAGCATTTGGCCTGGTGTCTGGTACACAAGCATTCAATAAGTGTTATGCACGGCAAATGGTTATAAACTGTGACAGATGTCACTGTGACCGTCATGTGTGATAATATAGATTGAGGACGGGGACAGGGCCCATGTGGTGGAGTAGGGGAAAACTCCTCTAAGATTATTGCATGGCTAAATTTGGAATGAATAGATTTCTGCCATTGGGTTATTTAGGGAGGGAGGGAGGATGCGTGTGTGTGTGTGTGTGTGTGTGTGTGTGTGTGTGTGTGTGTGTGTGTGTGTGTGTTCACCCAAAGACCAGATGAGAATGTTGGGTATACCACTCTATAACTGTTGGCCTATCCTCTCAAGCCAGGGTCTCTCACTAGAAGCTGGAGCTTGCAGTTTTTCTAGCTGGCTGGCTAACCATCAGATTGCAGCAGTCCTCCTGACTCTGTCTCCCCTTCCCTCTGCCCAGCACTGGGGTTACCAGTGAGTGCTACCACATCTTGGATTTCTTTACATGATGCTGGATATTCAAAGTCAGGTGCCCATGCTTGTACAGTAAAGCACTCTTACCCACTGAACCATCTCCCCAGACCTAGATTACTCAGTTTTGATGTTTGAGCCCCAATACACTGTATACCCCAGTAAACAGCTCATGCTCATTAAGACCCAACCTTTATCTGCAGACAGTTTAAAAGAGTGGCCTTTGCACTCTCCTGGGTATACAAGCAAGGACATACCCTTATCTCTTTATTCCAGTCATTTTGCAGCATTTGCTGACAGCCTCATCAGCTGATAAAGCAATAGCTGGGGGGTCTGAGGCCACTGTGCAGACACAAGCTTCCTGTAGTTGGGAAACATTTATTTAGTTTTTTTTTTTTTTTTTTTTTTTTTACGAGACAGGGTTTCTCTGTATTGTTTTGGAGGCTGTCGGTCCAGCCTGGCCTCGAACTCACAGAGATCTGCCTGCCTCTGCCTCCCGAGTGCTGGGATTAAAGGCGTGTGCCACCACCGCCCGGCTTTATTTAGTTTTTATCATGTTTTTCTCCAAATTTCATTAAAAAACACACTCCCAAGATACACAACTTTTTTTCTGCCTGGACACTATGCATGGGCAAGCTTCTAGATGTACATGTGTGTGCGTGTGTCATGTGCTTTGTGCTGGGATGTACTGTGGGACAATTATATTTCTATCCAGGCTAGAATATAATGGAGACTTTCCCCATACCCTACCTACTCTTGTACCTTCCTGGAAGAAATGACATAAGATAGCAATAGCTGTCTAATTATACTTAGATGCTTTTGGTTTTCCACAGATACGAAATTAGATGAACCCATACTCTTTATCACTATGGAGATCATGGAGAATCAGTTCACATGTGTTCTGTCTCAGAGGCAGCAGTTGGACAGCAACATATTCCTTCCCTTGTGAATATTAACAGAGGGAAGTTTTTAAACATGTTCAACTACGGGTCCAAATTGAAGAAAGATATTTAAGTCATTATGGAGAGGAAAACAGTACTTTGTCCATAGTTGGGCGAAGTCTCCGAGTAAATCAGAGAGAAGAGAAGCCCTAGTGACACTGGAGTGTGGTAAGGCCTAAGTGGGCTTTTTCATGAGTTTCTACTCCGTGGACATGTTTCCAGATCGACCCTCACTCCCCTAAAGACAAGCCTGAAACCTTAAAACGGGTCACGTGATGGATGAGTCAGATGATGATTTCAAAGAACTCTGTGCCAGCTTTTTCCAAAGGGTGAAAAAAAATGGAACCAAAGAAGTGTCAGGAGAAAGGAAGAGGCAGAAGGCTGCCGGTAGCACTCAGAAAAGAGGCAAGCTGAAAGAAACCAAGCGAGCTGCCACCAGGAGCAAAAACCTTCAAGGCCCTTCAGAGAAGAAACCTCCATCAGGCAGCCAGGCCTCTAGGACTAAAAAGCAAGGGGCACCTAAAGCCCAAGGAGGCGCAGCTCTCCCTGAGAATGGAAAGGGAGGTGTCCTTGCTCCCACCCCACAGCCTGTGTCGTGTGAAAGAGCACAGAGCGTTCAGACAGGTAACCAGCAGGGCCCCCTGGGACCCACTGCCAGATACGCTTCTGGAGAGGGAACCAAGTGCTGCTGTGAACTGGGGCTCAGAGACTTGCTATAAGAGGCCAGGGAACATCCACCTCTAATCCCAGCACTCAGCAGGCAGACGCTGTGAGTTGTGATGCCAGCCTGGTCTCCATACTGAGTTCTGGGACAGCCATGGCTATGTAGAGAGATCCTGTCTCAAACAAAGCAAAACAAAAAGCCAGAGAGTAAATACCCTGTTTTTATCATATAGTTTGTGCTGCAATTCTGATTGGCCCTCTTTGTCTGTGGGGTTCCAAACTGTCACATGCTCAGCATTTGAGAAAAGAAATAGTCTGTGCTTAATATGTCCAGACTTTTTTTCTTGTTTTTATTCCCTAACAATATAGTGTAGCAGTTATTTATACAGCATTTACTGTGTATTGGGCGTTATATTAATCTGTAGCTGCATTAAGGCACATCGGGGGTACACAGGTTAAATGCAGATAGTATACTACTTTGTAAAAGGGACTTTGTAGGGACTACCAGACTGACCTTCCCTAGACACACAGGTCAGCTGTGCTTAATGGCCGCTGTAGTGAGAAAGCAGCTATAGATGATGAGGTAGTGAATAGGAGTAGCCTTGTGCTGGTAAAACGTAGTTTACAAAAGTGTGGCTGCCCAAGCTGGGCGTTGGTGGCGCACGCCTTTAATCCCAGCACTCGGGAGGCAGAGGCAGGTGCATTTCTGTGAGTTTGAGACCAGCCTGGTCTACAAGAGTTAGTTCCAGGACAGCCTCCAAAGCCACAAAGAAACCCTGTCTTGAAAAACCAAAACAAAACAAAAACCCAAAAAACAAACAAACAAAAACAACAACAACAAGCCATGGCTGCCCTATGTGCGTTCCTTTGTGAGTCTGTGTGAGTGTGTGCTCTGCTCTCCATGACGGCAGTCATGTCAGCATAAAAACAACGGCACTTTTGTCTTTTACTGAATTAACTCTAAGTTAGGTACGTTGGAATGGGCCAGCCAATCTGGTTAGGCTGAGGAGGCTTTCAGAGGGTGCACTACAGGTTCAAGTCCCTGTCCCCTTTGCATCCTCAGCCTCGTCACAAGGACTGAAAATCAGCCTTGCATGTGTGATGTGATTACTCTTCAGGGTCCTGATTTCTGTTTCTGATTTTCCTCCTCACCTTCTCTTTTTTATCCTAAAGGGTGTTTTTTTTCTGAGCCCCGGGGACAGCTGAAGGACTATGTGATGCTGCCCTCTGGGCACTCAGGCTCCCTTTGAGCAGCTGGTGAAAGCTCGTGGCATTTGCACATGCATACATGTGAAATTGGCTCATAGCTTCGGGGTGCCTGAGTCTCCACAGAAGGCCATAGACGAATCTCAAGTTAAAGAATTGGTCTAGAAAGAGAGAAACACTTGTCATTAGTATTTCTTTAGTGAGTTTTATCAAGATATTGCTCATATTCCATAATTTCACTCTTAAAGTGTACCGTTTAGTGTTTTTAGTACAGTCAGAGTCATGCAACCACCACCACTACTACTTAACTTGAGAGCGTTTTCCTCACCCCCAAACGAACCATAAGCTCATCAGCATTGGCTGAAGCCAGTGTCTCCTGTGTTGAAGTATGTCTCTTGCTACAATGAGTGCATGAACAGGTTCTGTTCACACAAGTCAGGTCAGATGTGAATTGGCTGGTAAAGGACATTTGTAGAACAAATGCTCTGAATATTTTCCTCCTTGCCAGAGAGTGCTTCCAATGGCGACCTCCAGCCCCTTCCATCCTGTTTCACTGCGACTGGTGTGCCAAGTCCCTCCAAACCCAGAGCCTCAGAGCTGGTTCTCCAACGGATGAAGCAGTTCAAGAGAGCAGACCCTGAGCGCTTGAGACATGCTTCTGAAGAGTCCTCCCTAAGGACCACGCTGGAAGAAAATGTCCCAAGGAGTCCTCAAGAGGAGATAGCAGTAGAGAATGGTATGGTGAGCATGTTCTGCTTTCTTTTTTTTTTTTTTACGAGACAGGGTTTCTCTGTTTTGGAGGCTGTCGGTCTAGCCTGGCCTCGAACTCACAGAGATCCGCCTGCCTCTGCCTCCCAAGTGCTAAGATTAAATCTGCTTTCTAAGACAAGACAGTGTAAAAAAGGGGAACAGAAGGAACCCTGTTCGCCTCATTCTTTATACAGGTTCTGTCTGATGTTTATCTCGCCACCTCATTGGAGGAATGGACTGTTCCTATAAGAACTATTTGTTTCATTATTTTTAATTGCATGTAGGTATATGTCTGTGTGGAGGTATGTACATAGAAGTGTACATGCTTGTGGAGGCCAGAAGAGTATGTTGGATCCCTTGGAGCTAGAGTTGCAGGCGTAGTGAGCTATCTGACATGGGTACTGGGTGCCAAACTCTGTTCCTCTGCAAGAGCACCACACCACTCATCACCGCTGAACTCTCTTTAGCTCCTAATTTCTTACTGGACTTCTTACATGGTCTTGCTCTGTTTTGTCCTTCCTCCCTTCCATTCCCTCCCAGTTCTTGTTATGAAATTATTCTTCTACAGAAAGTTGTTGTCGTTGTTCTAACCACAGTAGGGGCTGAGGAAATGGCTCAGTATGTAAAGTATTTTCTGTGTAAGCACAAGGACTTGAATTCAAATCCCCAGCATCTACGACTGGGCCTGGGATGCACACTGTATTCCTCACACTGAAAGATAGATTGGCCTCTCCCCCCGCTCCCCCACACACCCCAAAAATAACAAAAAAAAACCCACAGGAAATCTTGTTTTATGCCGGTTGTCAACCTTCCTAATGCTGAGACCCTTTAATACAGTTCCTCATGTTGTAGTGATCCCAACCATAAAATTATTTTGTTGCTATTTCATAACTGTAATTTTACACAGTTATGAATCATAATGTGAATATCTGATCTGCAACTCCCACAGGGATCCTGACCCACAGCTTTATGCACCCTACCTAGATTTAACAGTTGTAGCATTTACCCATACACATACTTTTTTGTGTCTAGTTTTCACATCCTTATTTTTGTTTTGTTTTTCAAGACAGAATCTCTGTGTAGCCCTGGTGCCACAACCGCCGAGCTCGTTCTTCACATCTTAATTAGCTTTGTTCGTGATCCTGGAATTGGGCAGCAGACTAGACCCAGAGTGGCTCCAAATGCTCCTGCCTTATATATTTTGTGTCTCCACACATATCAATGATATCAATGATGGTGTGACACCATTGACATGCTACCCTTAGATTTTCTTGCAAAAGAACAATCCAGTTTCTTAACAGTTCCCCAGTTGTCTAAGCTATCTTTTTAGCCTGCCTGGAGCTCGCTCTGTAGACCAGGCTGGCCTCGAACTCACTCTGTAGACCAGGCTGGCCTCGAACTCACAGAGATCGCCCGCCTCTGCCTCCCGAGTGCTGGGATTAAAGGTGTGCACCACCACGTCCAGTCCAAACTATCTTTTGTAGCTTGCTTTTTTTTCTGTACAAAGTTCACATGCTGTGTATTGTTTTAGCTCTAATAGTCTTTTGGGGATGGGGTTCAGACAAGACTTTGTTATGTAGCTCTAGAATTCACTATGTAAACCAAGCTGCCCTTGAACTCAGGGTTAATCCTTCTGCCTCTAACCCCATCCCCAAATAGTAGTATAGGCTTGAGCTCCGTACCCCGCTCTGAATAAAATCTCTTTAGTTCAGATTGTAGAATAGTTCCTTTTACATTAACTTTTGAAAAGTCCAGACTAATTAACTGGCTCATAATTTACCACATTTTAGATTTCTTTGATTATTTGTTTATGGTGCACTGTAAGTAAATTAGAGGTCTAACCAGCTCTGGGTTTAACAGCTTGGCATCCTCTCTTAAAAGGGACTGTGAACTTTGTGTTCCTAGAGGCTCATAATGTCAGGTGATCTCTAATGAATATGTACAGAAGGAAAAGAAGGGAGTTTTGGGAAAAGACTCACTGGTTAAAGTACTTGCCACACAAGCATGAGGAGTTGGATCCTCAGCACCCACATCAAAGCTGAGCATGTATGAAGGGCCCACCTGTAATCCCAGGGCTCGGGAGACCAATACAGGAGATCCCTGGGGCTAACTGGCTAGCTAAACTAGCTGATCTGATGAGCTCCAGGTTCCGAAGAAACCTTGCCCCAGTAAATTAAGTGAAGAGTGATCAAGGAAGACACCCAGTATCAACCTGTGGCCTACACACACACACACACACACACACACACACACACACACACACACACACACACACACACACACACACACACACACAAAGAGCTATTCCAAGAGTCCCTCTGCCCAGTGCCCACTCTCCCTAGGCAGTGCCCATAGACACACTTGCAGAGTGGTGCTAGGTTTTAGTTTCTTTGTTCTTTGCCTAGAGCCCATGAAGCTAGAGCTGTAGACAAGACAGGGGCAGAAAGTCATGGAGCCTGTCTGTTCTCATGGATCTGGATGCTTCTCCACTCCACAGAGTCTAAGCCCAGGCTCCGTGCCACAGACAGTGACGATGCTATGGCCCTGGCCTTACAGCAGGAGTTTAGAAGGGAGGAAGCATCTTACCACCATGACAGCTTGGAGGAGAAGGGGTTGTTCTTCTGCCAAATGTGTCAGAAAAACCTCTCAGCAATGAATGTGACCCGGAGGGAGCAGCATGTGAACAGGTAGGAGCAGCAAGGGCCACCCCCTTTTCTGTGTCAGTGACCTGAGAGCACCAGTGGGGATATTGACACCTTGCATTAGGATAGCACCTCAGTGTCACTAACACACCCCTTTTCTGAACAACCCACGGAGGTAGAGCCCTCATGATGTGTGTCACCCACTTAAAGGACACAAGTCCTTGGCCTTTGTATACTGTCACCTCCATCAGTTTGGATTACTTTCATTACCTCCAAAAGGAACATTCTTCCCCCTGGGAAGTCGCCATGTGTTGTCCCCTTCTCATTCTGATAACTGCTCCTGTGTGCTCACATGTGTGGAATCAGGCAATATTTGTCTTTGGCGTCCATCCTCCACTTAACCATGTTTTCGGGGCTCTTCTCTGTTGTGTGTCAGCATGTCTTCCCCCAGTACCACTCCAGTGGCTAACTAGTAGCCCATTGTGTGGCTGGAGCACATACTTGCGCTTTCATCCATTGGCAGACATTAGGGTTTCCACCTCGTGAATCTTATAGTAGAACTGCTGTGAACATGTGTTTCATGGATTTTTGAACACTTGTTTTCATTTCCCTGGGACCTATACTTGGGAGTGGAATTGTTGGATTGTGAGGTACGTCTGTGCTGATCTGTCCTCAAATCCTTTGCTAGTACATACCTAGATTTAGTGTCTGAGGCTGACAGCCAGGAGACACGCAGATGGCATGAGGGGTCAGCCTTTGGGGAACATTTGCACGTCGATGCCGATCGGGCATTTGCTGTAGTCTGTTACTTGAGAGGGCTCTGTGTTTACTGCCTTCCTGCAGATGCCTTGATGAGGCAGAAAAGGCCCTGAGACCTGCTGCACCTCAGATCCCTGATTGCCCAATCTGTGGTAAACCCTTCCTCACCTCCAAGAGCCGAGTCAGTCACTTGAAGCAGTGTGCAGTAAAGATGGAAGTGGGCCCCCAGCTCCTGCTCCAGGCTGTGAGGCTCCAGACAGCTCAGCCTGAGGCGGGCAGCAGCCCTCTGGTACCCAGGTAAGACACATGAAGGATCTAAATCTCTCCAGTTAGACTTTGCCTGAAAAGCTTGTTATAGTGTTAGAGAGAACCAGCTGTCTTGGATTCTGGCATGAGACATGTAAGGAAATTGTTCATGGTTGAAGAAGGATCAGGCAGCACAAGGATTTTGCATGCATATGGGGCTACCCATGCAGAGGGTTGCCACTGCTTCCTGAGGTCCTTCCTACAATGTTACCAGTCCCAGAACCCTGCAGTGACCGAGCTATAGAGCATCTAAGAATTTCATATTTGCTTTACTTCCCTGTCTTGGTTGTGCAGTATGTTTCTATCTTAGAGTAGCTTCATTTCCATAGTGTTAATGTCAAATTATTCAGCACAGTTCAAAGAGTTGACTAGGCAGAACTCTTAAGACTATATATTATTCTGTGAGAATTCCATGCAATGTTTTTTGCTCATATTCACCCCCACCCTTTCCCCTAAGAGTGTATTTTTTTTAATTGCACGAGTTAATGCTAATGTATTGAAATAGGAGGCTCCCTTGACAACTGGGAAGCAGTCCTCAGAATGCAGATGCCAGGCATGCAAGCAGTGGAGGCTAAACTCTGTTTCCTGTCCCTGAGCTGAGTAGCATGGGCACCGGACTTCTGTGGGAAAATGTTTATCCTTGTCACCGCCTTGCATGTGGGTTATCAGCTGCCCGGCCGGGCCACAGCAGAGATCACAATGGCCAGAGGAGGTTCTCCAAGCCAGGAAGTCTACCTACATTTAGTGCATCCATGCTAGTACTGTAGGGCAGCAAGCCTTGAGGTCTTAGACATCTATTGCTTATCTCACAGGTTAAAATGTTTACTTTTAAAATGCTTCCAAATAGTGAAAGCAGATGAACATGGGTCCTTCTAGAAGGCTGGTGAATAGAAAGTTATAGGAATTGAACATCCTGAAGAGACTTTGGACCTTCTCTAAAGGGGCTTTGAATGCTCCTCTCCTGAGACCAAGCTGAGGCATTTGGACTTTGGGATATTCTGAATTTGATGGTTAGAGCTCCATGCTGGTCTGAGTATTGTTCTTGCCCTCTGCACTCCTTACTTAATTTCTCTAAGCCCGGACCCTGCCTGTGGCACAGGGTACAGCATCAGCACTGCTCTTCAGACTACCTCCTGGCTGTTGGCTGGCGCCCCTTTCTCTTGCCTGTGGTTAGCTGAGCTGGGGATTGTTTACTCTTTCCAAGCCCACACCTAAGAATCTCTGACTTTCTCTGTGTGGGGAGAGCTTGAACTTTTGCAAACATCTGAGTTGTGACAGCAGCTGCAGGGCAGCTCTCAGAGTTGCCTCCTACCATGCCTCCTCCTTGACCAGCTGCTGGGGCTCCCTTAGACAGTGAGTTTTCTTTCCAGCCAGAGAGGACTTCATGCAAGCCTCTGTAAGGAAGAGAGGTCAACTCTAGGGCATCTGCTTTGTGGCAGCAGAGTGCGGAGGTCTTGTCTTTTGGGCCTTGGATAGGATGTCACTGTGGCCCTCCTGCAGAGGGGAAGGGTCCCTTGCGGCCAGGACTGCCTTGGGGGGGAGGGGCATCCGAAGTTCAGGGCAGAACTTGTTGGCTACAAAGAACCTACTTGGAGCTATAGACAATGAGGATTTAGCCACATCTAGGTATGCAGGTACCACTGATGGTCAAGAAAGAGCCAGGCCCTCTACTGTTGGACTATGCTAAATTTCTAGTTTGGGTCAAATGAGCACACAAAGAATAGAATCAGCACAGTGGAAGCCCAAGCAGTTGTTGGCTCATTGCAAGGGGCGGACACATCCATCTCTTACTTTCCGTAAGATAGAAGAGGCCCAGAATCAGGCTCTTGCTGACCTTTCTCTGTGGCTTTCTTTTAACTTCAGCAACCATGTTGGAGGTTTGAAACGGAAAGGAGCCAGTGTCAGGAAGGAGCCACGGAAGAGGTGGAAGGTCAGCAAGCCCGAGGCTCCGTCTGAAGATCTGCTGGTGGCCATGGCTCTGTCTCGCTCTGAGATGGAGCAGTGTCCAGCTGTGCCCCCACTCAGACTGGAAAGCGCGTTTTCTGAGAAGATGAGGCAGGGTGCAGGTACACGTGACTGGAGCAGAGGCCTGGGGAGAGCGCGGTGCCTGGTTGCTGGCTGAGAGTTATCACGGCAGCTGCTGGGATGAGCGGTCAGAGCTGCTTCTGACTGAGCCACTTCTGTTTATCTCTAGAGAAGAAAGGTCGCAGGAAGAAGCCCCCGGTCTGCCCCCCACAGTTGTTAACCCAGGACTCTGAGACCACAAGTAGACAGATTGAGGATCGTGTTGCCCAGCTCCTATCAGAGGAAGTGGAACTGTCCTGCACCCCGCCACTTCCTGCCAGCAAGATTTTAAAGGAAGAATTTGAACATGCAGGCTGGCATCTGCAGCTGCCTGGAGGAAAGCGGAATTTTCTGTGGGAGTGCAGTGCCCTCACAGGAGCCTGGGCTGAGGAGTCCTTCTATACAGCGGGCCTGGTTCCTCCAATTGTGTTCCAACGGCCTCCCAAGGTGAGCCCCGCTTCTCCTCACACACATGTGGATGGGCTTTGGAAAGGGGGGTAGTCTAGAAATGCAACCACATACCAGGGCTGGATGAGGAAAAGTCCAATAAGTAGATTAGGGAGAAAGCAACAGAGGCTGTACTTCATGTCTGTAGCAACTCAGTAGGACTTCTGCTAAGAAAAAAAGGACTTGGGTTCCCCAAATTTAGCGTATTCTTGGAAAGCTTGTTTAAAATGTGAAGTCCAGGCCCACTCCTGTTCAGCTATTAAACCTGTCTGAGATAGAGCCTTGGAGCCTAGGTCCTGAATACATGCTTTAGACAGTTCTGCTAAAGACAGCCCTGCCTTGGTATTTAGCAGCCTTGGCCATTTAAAAACATGAAGTGGGCTGCTGGCTCCTGGGGCCTCTTCTTCACACCTGGAGGCATCAGGTAGACCTGAGCCACGACAGAAGCTGCCAACACGGCAGGTTCCTGGCTGCTCCTGGCCTCCCTTGAGGGCCCTGCCGTGTCTGCAATCTGAGATTAGCTGTGCATGTGTAGGGTGGCTGTGGCAGGGTGTGTCAGTGACAGTTACACATAGTCACTAGCTTTTCACCTTTCAGGAAGAGGAGCTGTCACTGCCCAAGCAGCAAGAGCCAAGTACACAGAGGCCACCTGCTTTCCACAGCAGCCCTCCCGTGAGCCGCAACCCCGGGAGCCAGCTGCTGTCCTCCAGTCAGAGGGAGCGTCAAGCTCTTCGAGATCTTGTGGACTTGGCAGTAGAGGGGATGAGCGCCAGCCCGTTGCCCAGCAGTCTGGGAGTGCCTGCAGGTGAGACACTGGGTGGCGTCTTGGGCCTGCCCATGCAGTCTGAGGTGGGGTGGGAGGAACCTGGGCTGCTGTGAGCTCTGCGCTCAACCCAGTCAGTGGAGAGAGTGGTGTAAGGTGTGTTTCATGTTTTTCCTCAGAGATGACTGTGATGCAGCACATCTGTGTGTCTCACAGTCTTCCTTAAATTTTAGCCAAACAGAGCTTCCTGGGCTAATCTTGTCTGTTTTTATAATCCTCTTACCTGTCTATCATGGAAATGGGTAGAAATAATTGGGAGAGGGTTACTTTAAGTGAAGATGCCCTCAAACAATGTGTCTGGCCAAGCCTAGGGTCAACACTGCCTGCTTGGGAGGTGACATCCTTTTAATGTATACATCCTCCTTTCAGGATTGGATTTGGGTCCCAGCAGCCTTCCCCTGACTGGGTTTGTCCTGCCATCTAAGAAGGCCCTTCAGAGGAGTGACCATGCCTCAGTAAGTGTGAAGACTGACTTCTGTGCCGCAAGTTAACGTGTCAGCTCTACCCTGGCTTTGTGGCCTCCTGTCCCCTCCCCCCTCAGGTCATTGCTGTGCTTGGACACTGTAGGTTTCCTCAGAAGCCAGTCCTCAGCCAGCTTTGTTGAAGGTTCAGGGGTCACTGCCTCATTTGGGCATCTGTTCTGAGTGTTTGTTTCCTTAGTGATTTCTTTCCTTCATTAGGGACTCACTGTGCTCCTTCTGCGTATGGATTGTGGGGTGGGCTCCAACTAACAACCCAATATACTCTGTTGGTAATGAATGGCATTAGAAGATGGGAATTCCATAAAGTGGGTGTCATTCCATAAGTACCTTCCTATGCAGAGGACCATCGTGGTGATGTCCCTGGATGTAGTGAGGAAGTATGGGGTTCCTGAGCAGCTTGGGCTCAGGGTGTGGCCCTTTGCATCAGGCTGCTCTGAGAACCGGGTGTCCTGCTGTGTACATGCAGTGCTTAGGAGCTGTGAAGATGTCTTTATCCAGCACCTTCCCTCCTACCATAATGCAGAACCTGAGAAAGCAATTAGCATTTGCCATTCTGGTTTAATGGGGTCCGTAGTGTAACCCAGAGATAGAACCTCACACCTGGAATGTGCACATCCTGGAGAGAAAAGCACGGCCTGACCCTTGTCTTCCCTCTGTAGTCTGCAAAGCTAAGGGGGATCTAACAACACTCTTTTCCTCCTCCTATTACAGCTCTCCTCTCTGGGCTTGCTGGTGTCGGACTTTGGGACAATGGTTAATAATCCACACCTGAGTGATGTCCAGTTCCAGATTGACAGTGGAGAGGTGTTTTATGCCCACAAGTTTGTTCTCTATGCCCGATGCCCACTTCTTATTCAGCATGTAAGTACACAGGGCGCTGGTGCCCTACCTCTTTTCTTCCTTTTTTTTTCAGAAAGAAAGTTTTCCTCCTTCCTTCACTAGTGTTAACATCTTCATGGTACCTCGCAATCTCTCTCTCTCTCTCTCTCTCTCTCTCTCTCTCTCTCTCTCTCTCTCTCTCGTACTGGGGCATATTCATCTCTACACTGGAAGTCATGCAACCCACGGCCCAAACATGTAGCACAAATTCTAATTTGTCTTAATAATAAAAACTCAGAGTCAGCTATCAGGGGGTGAAAGCTGAAAGATCAGAGAAGCAGTGTGGCCAGCCACTAGAGAGTTCTTACCTCTATCAGTGCTCAGACAAAAGGGCCGATCCTGTCCTCAGATTGCATCCTCAGATTGCTGCCTCACGGCATCCGTCTCTACAGATCCTCAGACTGCACAGGTTATCTACTCAGACTGACTGCTGCTCAGACTGCACTGAGCTCCTGTCTCCACCCGCCCTATATTCCTCTCTCCGCCCAGCCATATCATTCCTGTCTCTACCTCACTAGTGTTGGGATTAAAGGCATGTGATCACAAGTGCTGGGTTCACCTTTGTGTGAGCTCTGTTTCTCTTTTAGACTGGATCAATTTCTTGTAGCTCAGTGTGACCTTGAACTTAGAGAGGTTTGTCCGCCTCTATCTCCTGATTGCTGGGATTAAAGGCATGTGCCACCACTGCCTGGCCTCTATTGCTAACTAGTGAAGCTAGCTCTGCACTCTGATCTTCAGGCAAGCTTAATTTGCTAGATCATAAACAGAATATCACCACACAAACCAGACATGCCTAGAATGCACGATACATATGTCAAGTGGAAACTAACCTATTCCTTAAGTATCCATCACCATATGATTTTGGAAACAAAGGTCCAGACTACAGAATCTGGCTAAGAAAATACACAAGACTTTTCCCAAACCCCCAGGATCTCAGGCTGTCTTGAAAGGCTAAAGATGGACCATTGTTGACTCCAAATTGTAATCTTTCTGTGTTTTCCCTGCCTTCAGGTAAATGCTGAAGGCTTCTCTGCTGTGGAGGATGGGGATGTGACCCAGCGCATCCTGCTGAGTGACGTGAGCGCTGAGGCCGCCCAAGCATTTCTGAACTATCTCTACATGGCAGACACCGACATGTCTCCCAGCCTGGCTCCTGATCTGCGCTCCCTGGCCCTGAGGTTGGGATTCCACTTTACACACCCCACAGCCTTGAGAGTTGGTGACATGGATTGCAGGGTTGTCAAAGGTCAAGGCTGAGCCTGTCAAAATTGCATTCTATTTTTTAATCCCAAGTTTATACCAGCCGCAAACCTGAGCAGTGCATGATAGTTGGTTAGAAGGACACTTGCAGGGGCATGGAGAGCTAGGTGGGGAGAATTACACTTGGCACTGTGAGATGGTAGACTGTGGCATTAGCACCCTTAGACAGACGTAGCATATAGCTCCTTAATTGTCCCCATAAGAGTTACCTAGCATTAGGCAGGTATTCTTCCTCCTAACAAAGCTTGAACACCTCTGGGGTAAAGCCTCACCCATCTCAGGCTGTATAAATTCCTGGGTGCCTTTGGGAAAAGGGCCAGCTCAGCGATGGGGGTTTGAGATGTGCTGACTGGGTTTTAGAGTCTTCTGAGAGGTGGTTAGCTAGCCTACCAACATTTCTGTCCGCCGTGGTTTTTCTCGGGCACGGGGTCTTGAGTGACTCTCAGTACGGCCTGGTTTATAGCCCTCCCAGGTTCTGTGACTGGCAGCTCACCTGACACACCTTCATTTTGTCAGCAGTGGAGTTTAGGTACCATGGCTGCTATCTAGAGCCATGACTGAGGGTGTTCCCACACAAGGGGAAAGGCCACAAGAGAGACATCCTGTTCCTCTTCATGAGATCTCTGGCCACCAATCCCAGGTGCCTCTGTACAGAGCAGTGCTAATACAGTGTCTCCTCCTACTGCAGATTTGGTGTGCATGACCTTGTTCACCTGTGTGAACAAGCGCCTGTCATGACGGACTTGGAGGGAGAGCAACAGGAGGAGAAGGAAAATGAGAATTGCGAAAGCAGAGCAGAGAATTTCCAAGACCTCTTGAGGTCAGTGTGGGGAGATGAGGAGGAGGAGGCAGAGATGCTGTTGAAACCTGAGGTCTGTGAGGAAGACAGAGAAAAAGTGAATGAAGCAGAAATGGAAGAAATTTATGAATTCGCAGCCACTCAGAAGAAGCTGCTCCAGGGGGAAAGCGCAGCAGACACACAAGAGGATGCTGACCAGCTCAGGGAGGTCAGTCCAGGTTCTGAGCCTTCCCCAGCAGGTGCCCAGAGTAACAGGCAGACAGAACAAATGGAGTCGTCTGGGCCAGTCAGCTGGGAAAATGAAAGAGATTCCATTCCACCCCAGGGCCAGTGCTCAGACTGGGGAGAGAAAGCAGACACCCAGGAGGCACGAAGGGAGGCAGCTGGGCAGCCCAGCTCCTGGAGCCCTTCTGAGAGCCTCCAGGTGAGTGAAGGGTGCTCACCTTTGCACCCCACCAAGGCCCACGACTACACACAGCGCTTTGCATCAGCTCAAAGAAAATCATCTCAACTGCCAAAAATAACACTTGGTCCTGAAGAGCACAGTGACACTGTTAGTGAGAGACAGGCAGAGGTGACCCGTTCCGCTGCGGGGGAGCAGGCACCCCGCTTCCTCCTGTCACAGTCCCCTGTAGGTGGAAGTCCCAGCCAGTCACAGCTTCATCTGTATCACACAAGCAATTTGTCCCCGTCAGGGTCCCAGTCGCACAGCAGCATTTCTAAGATGGCATCCCCCAGCTCACTGTCTCCAGTGACACCAGCTAAGCAGAGAAGGGACAGTAGCATTCTCACATTACTGAAAGAACCGGGCCACCAGAAAGGCAAACGAGGTAGTTCCATGTTGGGATGCAGAAATACAGGCATCCTGATTTCCCCAGCAAAGTCTCCACCCATTGACCTGACCCAGTCCATTCCTGATCATCTGAGTCCCAGGTCCCAGAATCCTCTGTGTCATGTGAAGAAAGAGGATGAGGTTATCCTTTTACTGGATTCAGATGAGGAGTTGGAGCTAGAGCACAACAAGACAAAGTTGGTTTCTAAAGAGTCCCCAGAAAGAAAGAAAGTTCTAGAAGTTAGCCCCAGCTCCTCTGAACTGTTTTCAGTCATCGATGTTGATGAAGAGCAAGAGCCTTTCCAAAGCCCACTGAAGAGAGAAGCCGGGCTGCAGAGGGAAGAGGAGGGGCAGCTGGAACATCAGTCCACCCTGCGAAGCAGAGAGTTCCCCTGGCTGTTCTGCAGCCAGAAGACCAGCCTGGATGAGGACAGCACTACAGACACCTCCTGGCTGGTGCCTGCTACTCCGGGGCCCTGCAAGAGCCGTGATTGCTCATCACAGACCCAAATCTTAAGCCTTAAGGCCAGGTGCCCACCAGATGAGACTGTTCAGCACACATGCAGGCCTTCCATAGATCTAAGTACTGTGCAGGAAGCAGCCCAGAAGTTCTCAGTGATCATACCACATAAGCTGCCTCTTACTCAAGGACCTTCCGACAGTGGGGGGCAGGCCTACAGAAGCCCCCCCCATCCTTACCCCAGGTGCCGCGAACGCTCTTCTTTACAGCCATGTCCTGCCCCTGATTTCACCAGGTGGCCCCAGAAACACTCATCACCTAGGCCATGCCTGCCAAACCAGGCAGCAGCTGATGAAGTGGTAGAAGTTGGAGACAGTGATGATGAGCAGGAGGTGGCTTCCCATCGAGGAGACCGCAGCCCTGCGCTAGACAGTGACCCCCCAGGTCCCATGGGTGACTGCTGTTGGCACGATGAGCCTCTCTCACCAATTCCAATTGACCGCTTGAATCTGGAGCGGACTGGCCCTCTGACCACAAGCAGTCCCAGCCATCAGTCCCAGGAGGCTCTGCGGAGTGGTGACTGCCACTCCCCAGGACTCCTGGGCACCACTCCCGTCCGAGGGAGCCATGGAGCCCTGAGAGAGTCTCCTGAGTCTCCACAGGCTGCCTCTCCAGGGAGCAGCAGACTGAGTTTCATGAGCCCGGCTCTGTGGGATGACTGGGATGAGGAAGAGCAGCACTCTCCAGAGGCCCCGCCCGTGGCCCAAACGCTGAGCACCAGAGCTCGGACGCCAGGCAGCCCAGAGACACCAAGTGAGTGGCTGTGAGGCCTGAGAGGTCTTGTCCTTGTCTGTTTACACTAATGGGGTGTATAGTCTGGGGTGGAAAGTGGGGCTGGCAATGCTGAAAGACTTACTCGTCTGGACAGGACCTTCCCTTTCCCCCAGATTCTCTTGTAAAGTAGAAGTGGCTGGTTCCCTAGGATATACTTCATAACCAGCAAGTCAGCTTAAGCTGCCCGTATCTCAGCTAATGCATTAATGAAAAGGTCGTTTTTTGTGAGCCCACCTCCAGAGCACTGACCCAGCAGCCAGAGCTTACAGCGGTCAACAAACATCACAGTTGTACCCTAAGATGGAAAGTGTGGTTCTTTAAAAAGTTCAGTAATGGGCTAAGGCTACAGCTCCATGGCAGCAAACATGGAGCCCTTAAATCCAATCCCAGCACCAGGTGTATAAAGAATTTAAACAGATAAACCTGGGTGTGATGACACATGCCTATAATTCTAGCACTTAGGAGACAGAGGCAGGAGGATCAGAACTTCAAAGTCATCATCTGTGATATAGAAAGCTCCATGACTAGGCTACATGGGACCCTGCATTCAGGAGGCAGAAGCAGGCAGATCTCTGTGAGTTTGAGGCCAGCCTGGTCTACTGAGAGAGTTTTAGGACAGCCAGGGATACACAGAGAAAACCTGTCTTGAAAGAAGAAAAACAGAAATGAGAGAGAGAAAACAAAATACAGTTAGTTCAGTCCTTAAAATGCAAGCATGAGGGTTTGAGCTCAATCTTTAGGCCCCACTTGGACAACCAGGCATGGCCACAGAGTTGTAATCCTGGCCTTGAGGGGTGAGGGCAGGGAATGGAGGCAGGAGCATCCATGGGGCTCATTGGTCAGCCAGCACAGGCAAGAGAATTGTTAGACAAGCCCTAGGTGCCTTGTCTCCTAAGGAAGATGGACAACTCCTGAGGAACAGCACTCAGTGTTGACCTCTGTCCCCCACATGCACCTCACCTCATACAAACAAGAGTCATTTCACAGAGCCCAGAAACCCTGTCTCATCTGTCTCTCCAAAATAATAGAGAACGGGGTTCACGTAGTCACTCACAGTAACTCTCTGTGAGAAGGTGAGAGACCCAGATGCATTCCAGCAGGTGAATGGCTACACAGAATTCCCCTGTACACACAGTGGAAAGTTGCCTGGTCATAAAAAGGAGTGAGGTCATGATTGAATGTGCTATATGTGAGAGATTTAAAATGTGACGGTAAAGTGACAGAAGCTAGTCACACATTGTCACTAGTATTTTTTTCTATGCAATGTATAGAATCCAGAGCAGTACAACACAGGTTCCTGGGGCTGAGGGGAGGCTGCATGTTTATTGTGTACAAGGTCTTTTGGGGTTGAAGACCAGGTTGCCCAATATTGTAAATACTAAGTGGTACTGCATTGTTCACTTTTAACTTTTTAAATATCAACCTCATATTTTTTTAAAGGGCTAGTGTGCAGACTAGCAGTACAGTGAGTGCTTAGCTTGCATGGTGGGCTCCTAGCACTACAAACAAAAAAGCCTGAGTGAGGAGAGTGTGGAGAGTGCGAGTCCCCCCCCCCAGATGGGAGGGTGTTACTTCCAGTGAGGAGAGTGAGGAGAGCCCCCCCCCCCAGATGGGAGGGTGTTACTTCCAGTGAGTCGTTCCACAGTGAAGTCACATGGCTGGGCCACTGCTGCTGCTTCCTACATTCCCTGAGCAGCTGACACACGACCTTCAGTGGCTTCAGATCACCCAAGACCCCATCACCCCACTGCTCTGCCACAGGGGCACCGGCTCCACCTCTACAGGAGACTTGAGACTCAAGGGGTCTAAGTCTGAGGCGGGCTTCAAGGACCGCCAGGCAAACTCGGCATGGAGTCTCCAAGTTCTCCGCAGTCATGAAAGGGAGACCTGGCTGGCTAGTCCTACTTACCCATTAGTCTTTTGTTTTCATTCTGAGTTTTGTTTTTTGTTTATTTTGAGGCAGGGCCTTCCCCTGTGTCCCAGGCTGGCCTTAAACTTGTAGTAATATTACCCCCCCCCAGCTTCCAAAGTGCCGGAATTACAAGTGTGTGCCACTGAAGCCTGTTGCTGTAAGCAGGTGTTTGCCTAAGTGTCTCAGTTTCCCACCACCTGGCATTTCCATTAATTTTTTTATTTTATGGTCTTTCAAGACAGGGTCTTTTTTTGTAGCCCGGGCTGCCATGGAACCCACTCTGTAGACCAGACTGGCCTTGAACTCAGAGCTCCACCTGCCTCTGCCTTCTGAGTGCTGGAATTAAAGGCATGTACCAACATTTTTATCCTTTTTCAAAAATAATTTATTTAACTTTATTTCATGTGCGTTGGTGTGAGGGTATCAGATCCCCTGGAAGTGGACTTACAGACATTTGTGAACTGCCATGTAGGTGCCGGGAATTGAACCCATGTTCCCTGGAAGAACAGCCAGTGCTCTTAACTGCTGAGCCATCTCTTCCCCCCACTCCACCCTACCCCGAAGGCATTTTTAAGGGGAATCATACAGTTTCACAACTGGTTTCCTAGCACAAGGTTTTCAAGGTTCTTGTTTGTTTCCTTCTCTATTATGTCTGAATATTGTATCTACTTGCCATTGGTGGACATTTGAGTTGTTATGAATAATCCTGCTTTGTGTGGACATAATTTTCATTTCTGGTAGTTAGGTCCAGGATTCCTGGGTCATAGGGTAACTGCGGTTAGCGTCTTGAACTGCCACTGTCCATCCCCCGTTCCCCTCCCAGATATTGCTTCATTTTACACCCCTACCAAGAAATGTGTGCAGTGAGGGTTCCGATTCTTCCCTCTAGTGGCTGTGAAGTGTATTGCACTGTATTTTTGCTACCTGATGGCTCATAATGTTGAGCATCTTTAATGTTTTTAGTGGCTGTTTGTGCAAGTTCTTTGGAGAGATGCTTGCCCCAATTCTTTGTTTATTTAGAATTATATTGTCTTTTTCTTTCACTTATTTATTGTGTGTGCATGTGCATACAGAGGTTAGGAGACAGCTCTGGCTGTTGGTCCTCTCCTTTCACTGCGTGACTCCCAGCGATCGAACTTGGGTCATCAGGGTTGCGGGTAGGCACCATTACCCACTCCCTGAACCATGTCAGCAGCCTGCATTGTCGTTTCCTTGTTGAACTAGGAAGTTCTGATGTCCAAGCTTGGGAGGTGTCAGTGCTGCTAATGCCATCGGTCATCTGATGCTGCCACTGCTCGCCAGGTCACTCTTAAACATTACGTTAGATCATGTGCTGGGCTGTTGTTCTAAGAGTCCCTGGAGCCTGTGCACCAGACATTAGCATTGTGTACATGGTTCTTCACAATTGCCGTGTACTCCTCCCAAGGGGAAGATACAACTCCAAATGGTGAAGGTGGCCGTTAATGCTCTCCTCGGTCATGGTGTTGGTGGGGTTTATCATTTCCCATGTGACACTTCCAGGGCATGAAGTGGTAGCAAATCTATGCCTCTGATGCCAAGGCCTGTGCTTCTCATGTTTTATCCAGAAGGTGCTAACCGGAGAAAGAACTTGCCCCCCAAAGTGCCTATAACTCCAATGCCAAGGTATTCAATCATGGAGACCCCAGTGCTGAAGAAAGAGCTGGACAGGTTGGTAGTGTTCCTCCAGGCTTCCTCTTGGGTGGTCTCCGGGGAATAACCAGGCCCAGGAAGTAGGCAGACCCAGCACCTCCCTCCATGTCTGGGCGGGAAGTCCTGCAGGCTGCTCTGCAGAGGGTGTGGTTGCTTAAGTAGGGTAGATGCTGGGCTTTTCTTCACTTCTACCAGATGTGAACTAGGGAAGCTAACACATGAAGCTCCTGTGGGTCACTGCTAGAAAATAGGTCTCCATGCTCCATACTGGTAGACATGGGACCCTGGCTGTGCCATCCAAGTAAGGAGACTTCATTTCTTAAAATCATGTGGAAACTGTCACATTCCGACAAACCCTGCTCCTCAGCTTGAGTGCTTGCTGAAGTCACTGCTCCCACCATTTCTCGGAACCCTGTGGGCTCTGGCATGGGTCCCTTTAGAGCCAGCTTGAGTGCTTGCTGAAGTCACTGCTCCCACCATTTCTCGGAACCCTGTGGGTTCTGGCATGGGTCCCTTTAGAGCCAGCTTAGTTGGCACATGGCCAGATGGTCAACTTTGAATGTGCCTGAAAGTCAGCCTCTAAGATTTCCATCCTATTTCTGCTCCTCTGCAGAAGTAGCTGCACTGTTGGCTCCTGAAGTCCGCCTCTTTCCAATGCAGGTTTGGAGTCCGTGCTCTGCCCAAACGCCAGATGGTTCTGAAACTGAAGGAGATTTTCCAGTACACTCACCAAACTTTGGAGTCAGACTCGGAGCATGAGATCCAGTCCTCCCAGGTGCCCCCGGAGGCACCTTGCAGCCAAACCCCTCTCACTGAGACCTACAAGCCTTCAAGGTCAGGAGGCTACAGCCAGCTCAAGGCCACTGCAGGTCTTGGGACTCAAAGAGCCAAGGGTCCCACAAAGAGCAAGAGTCCTCAACATCGAAAGAAACAGCGTGGTAGAAGTATTTCCCACCCGAGCAGGTTGCCAGCTGGGGAGCCACCTTCAGGCCCTGATGGGGATGCCCCACTCCCAGCCTCCCAGGAATCCATGGCTACCTCTGTGGATGGCAGTGACAACTCCTTTAGCTCTCAAAGGTAACAGAAGCAGCAGGGTCAGCCACACATCATGTGTCCTCTGAGTAGTGGCTTTGAGAGGGCATCAAGGAAGCCTAACGGCTAGTGTCCAAAGCCCATAATTTCTGGGCCCTGTAGGAAGCCCACATGGTTTAAAGGTTCACTCCCTGCGTCCCTACAAGCCTTTGAAACTCTGTAGCTTCCTTATATGCGGGAGTTTTTGGCTAAGGGGGATCCCACCTAGACTGGCCCAACCAAGGAGCTAGGAACCACAGACCTGTGGGACACCATCAGGAGTCTGGTCACGTGGGAGGCCCATCAGAGCCCTGGGAGCACTTCCTCCTCCTCTCTCCCTGCCCTCCTCAGAGGGGCGCCTGGCCTTGAGGGCTGTAGACAAAGGGTGTCACAGATCATCATTGTTCTTTTCAGTTCCTCCTGTGAGTTTGGAGCTGCTTTGGAGTCTGCAGCTGAAGAGAAGGACGAGGAGGAGGGGGTCAGTGCGTCACAAGTTGCTCTCCGGGCCGCAAACACAGAGGAAGCAGTGAGACGCTACATCTGTTCCAAGCCTGCCTTGTATAGGAAGATACTCACGTACCAGCCTCTCGAGCTGGCTGAGCTGCAGGCAGAGCTGAAGCAGGAGGGTATCCCTGTGGCCATGGGCAAGCTGCTGGACATCCTAGATGCACAGTGCATCACCTTCACAACTGCTGCAGCCCGAAAGGAGAAGCTGAAACAGAAGAGGAGGCAGCCCCTGGGCAGAAAGAAAAAGGATCAGGAATGACAGGCTGTGCCAGAGGCCTGCAAGTCAGGCCTCTGCGGTGTCTCAGTGCACAGCCTGGCCTCTGTGAAGGACAGATCCCCAGCACTCTCTCTCTCCTGGGTTCTACCAGCTCTGTGTGCCACCCCTGAATTTACCGCCAGGTCCCTCCTCCCCTCTCCCTGCCCTCAGTCAGGGCCAGTTTTCCCCTTTGACCCAAGTAGGCTCCCCATCTTAAGTGTTCTGAGAGGCAGCGGGCCATACCAGCTGGCCAGGGCACGAGCCAAGCCTTCCTCACTTGCCACTCGGTGTCCGTCACACCCAAGCACAGCTGTCCTAGTAGAATATTCTGGGATGGGCACCGGGCCCAGCCTGCCCCCTCAGCGTTCAAGCCACCCAGCCACCCCAGGGCAGCCTGTACCACTCCATCACAGGTGCGCCTCTGACCTAGTGCTGCCCAGATACTTGTCACTGTCACCAGCATTTTCTAAGCAGGACTGTGAATAAGGCCCAGCACAGCTATGAAGACGCCCAAAGCAAGCATACTGTTTGTGGGCTCCTCCCATGTGTGTTAAGCCTCCTTGACCCGGAAGCAGTGTGGACCCTGGGGAGGGCCAGGAAAATAGAAAGCTTGGGTTTCCATAGCCTGCGAATGTCCTTGTCTGTCATAAATACAGTGAAGTTGTTTTATATGAGTGCAATAAAAACAAGGCTTTATTTAAAATAAACAAGTAAATAAATCTAGATGTTCCTCTCTGGGAAACATGGTGACTTGAGGCCCACTACCCTGCCGCCCACCAATGCTGTGCACGTGTTCTTATCTTGGGGTGCTATGTCTGCTTAGTGCCCACTTTCCTGTGCTTCCTAGATAACAGACACAGACACTTGTTTGCACACTCACTGTTCCTGTTTTCACACTAATTGTGCCTCACTGGCACTCGACTGCAGCTGTTCAGGGAAGCAGAACAGGGACAGCCTGAGTCTCATCTGGAGGGTCACAGTGCCAGGCTGGTCCGGACAGACCTGTTGAGACGGCTTTGCCTTGTTAGCACAGTGGGTGCGTAGCGCTGATGTAGAACTATGTCTGACCACAGGGAGGATTGGCCAGCCATTCTTTTGGGGGCTGGAGTGTGCCTTGGTGATGGAGCACCTGCCTGGCATACCTCAGACTGCGCTCAGTTCCCAGCTCTGCAGCAAGAAAGAAGAGACACCCCTGCGCCTTTAGGATGACATCAAAGACAGATTCCTGGAAAAGGTTTATGAGCTGACCTTACGGGTCAGCAGTGTTTGGGGAGGTGAAAACTGAAGCTTTGTGTCTGTAGAATGTGTGTCCTGGCCATGACCAAGCAGAGAGAAACCAGTCCTGGCCTCTGATATCCTGGGCAGGCAGCTCTGGGCAAGCTGAAGAGGGATTCCGACCAATTTTAAGAAGTGTGTGTTTCAAGCCGGGCGTTGGTGATGCACACCTTTAATCCCAGCACTTGGGAGGCAGAGGCAGGTGGATCTCTGTAAGTTTGGGCCAGCCTGGTCTACAGAGCGAGTTCCAGGACAGCCTCCAAAACAATACAGAGAAACTCTGTCTCGAAAAACCAAAAAAAAAAAAAAAAAGTCACCCCCAGAACAAAAAGAAGTTGGAGGGAAGTGAGATTGAGTTCTCATGTGGGGTCTTACAACCTCGACAGGCTTGTGGTTGGGATGTGCTCCGTGTATCCCTCCTAGGAAGAAGCAGGGAACCCTACTGCTCTCAGAAGGGGTCCATCCTTCCTAGGAAGAAGCGGCCCCTGCTGTCCTCAGAGGATGTCCATGACCCACAAGAAGCGAAGAGGCCAGGTTGTCCATATTGAGGGAAGAGTTTAGGAAAATTCAAAAGCCAAGTTAAGCCTTTGGGTGGCTAAAAGCGGGGAGATGAGCCAGTGGCCGAGTCACCCTCTTCACCCCGTTGCCAGGCCGGGTCCCCTTGGCTCCTTAGCCAGCAGGTCTGAGCAGTTGGCTAAGGCTGCACACGTGTGTGTCATGGGTAGCCAAATGACAGCTTTGAACCCCTAAACCTAGGTTTTCAGCACCATTCTAAAGCAACAGTTAACAGTTCCTAATTCTGGAGGAAGGTAAAAATGAACCACCGCAGTGAGGGTGTGGCCACCATCCAGAACTAGTAGTAGGTGAACAAGGACTTGGAAAAAACCTCAGCCTTCGCACACACACAAACATGCTGGCCCCGGGATCACAGCAGTGGGCCAGCCACGTGAGGAGGAAACCAAGACACAGGGCTGCCTCACACCTCCAGTGAGGCTGAAGCCACATGGGCACAGGGACCCCTTGTTGAATAAACTGGGGGCAGGAGGAGTTCCCTTCCAGAAACCACTTTCTTTCATAGGATTAGCACCAGAAGAAAACAGCCCCACAACAATGTTCCCTGAACACAAATGAACCATACAGTCACAGTATGGCCTAGCTTGAACAGATGATCACTGGTCCAGGTAAGGGAGCTCACAGGGAAAGTCCCTAGACCTGAAGGCAGGAAGGTTCACACTCCCCAAATTCGGAAGAACTGAGACCATTTCCTGTCCTGCTGTCCTGCTCCCAGGGGACAGAAAGTCTCAGAATGAAGATGACCTCAGAAGAATGCATGCACACGCACATGCACACGCACTCGCGCGCACACACACACAGTAGAATAGCTTGTGGCTCATGTATGGGCTGTGACCATTCCTGGGAAGTGAGGATGCTCCCCACAGCCCTCAGAGAGGAGGTTATTCCTCTCCTGCCAAATCCCTAGAGGAGGCAGCTGAACCTCTCAAAAGGCCCCTGTGTTTTTCAGTATCCTGTAGGTACCTGGTTTCCGGCACCTTTGCTGCCCATGCTTGGCCAGGGCTGCAGCCACCAATTCTATGCTCTGTCTGCCTGGAGCCTAACTGCTGTGTCCTCCAGTGCCTGGGTGTTCCTGTGTGCTCAGAAACGAAGAACAGCTGGCGTCCTGAAACAGTGTTTCTAACCTACCACCAAAGCTGCTCCCCTCCCAACCCGAGGCAGACAAGTAACAATCCCGGGGCCTCACCTGTCCCTGTTGCAGGCCGCTGCCAGCACCTGAGCCCAACAGACTCCAAGGACTGTCAGTCCGAGGTGCTTGCTGAAGAGCCCCAAGGTCCCTGTCACTTGGCTACCCACCTTGTCACCTAACCTCAGTGGCTTCACATTAAATGGCTTGCTGCCTGCTACCAGATGTTGTAAACAGTTCAGTTTTGCAACTTTTCTCCTTTCTCCACTCTCAGCCATGTCCTATCCTGCCTTCCTGCCAGAGCAGAGCACCTACTGACCTCCCTGCTGTGAATGAGGCTGTTTCAGGACCTAGGCGAGACTGTCTTTGGGGCCCACTGAGCCACAGGAAGACAGACTACAGCCAGGCCAGAAGGACCTTGGGAGAAAAGGAAGAGGTCTAAGGGATCAAAGCCTGCAAATGTACAGGCATTGCAGCCCACTAGTTGTCTCAGTCGCGTGACCTAAAGCCAGGTGTAGACTTCCTCCCGGCTCACTTGGTTTCCCGCCACCCGCCTCAAAGCTACCACCTGTCGATGGCGGGTGACATGGCAGTCTTGGCACTGCAGCTCCTCTTGAGTTCCTCAGGCCCAGAATGGAGACCCGACATCGGTTCCCCACACTTTAGACTTCTGGGGGCTGTGACAAAACCAGCGAGGTGAGCCTGGGACCAACCGGCTCACTGATTTGTCAGCAAGGCTGTTGGCTTTTAAAACTAGACAGGAAGGAAGGTTGAGGTGGAGCCCTGCACAGGAAGAGCTGAGGAGCTGAGCTGCAGTGACAGTGGGTAAGCCTGGGGACTGCAGGATGTGGTGGGTCTGTCCCTCATTGCGCTGGTGTGATCAGTGTGGTAAACTCTCCTGATCCCTTCAGAGAAGGTTCCGTCAGCTCTGGACAGAACAAGGCTCCAGACTCAGCTGACCTGCCACTGGTCACCCAAGGCGTTCCTGCTCCCTGGGCAGAGCTGAGCCCAGGAGCATGCAGATGGGGCCCTCTGAGCACCCACTTTAGCACCCTGGAGCAGCAACAAGGGCTGGGAGGTAAGTAGAGCCCAGAGCACACCAGCGCGGAGGGGGGGGGAAGGGGGAGGAACAGCCGGTGGGAGCAACAGGGGCTCTTACAGCCTGAACTGTTCTGGGCATGGGGAGACTCCAGAGTGCTGACCCTCTGGATGCCGGGAGCTGACCCTCTGGATGCTTCATGTAGAATAAACTCACATGCGCCCTAGAATAATGGTCCAGGACAGGCTCAAGGGGAGAAAGTCCAGATCCCTTGTCTTGGTGATTGCACGGGAGGAGGAGGGTGCATTGCAGGTTGCCACAAGTGAGCAGCAACACTATTGGAACCCTGCTCCTCCCAGGCTGTAGATTCCAAGTAGGTGACCCTCTTCTTGGCGTTCAGTTTCCGTCTGTAAGTGGAGTAACAACTCCAGTACCTGCCCCAAAGGTCAAGGAGGTGGTACATAGAGCTCCCAGGTCTAGTTCCTATAAGTACCCCCTCCCCTAGGGCCACTCCTAGCCACACCCTGGGTAGTTGAAACTTGTTCTGAGACTGGTAATGATGGGAGACCTTCTGTAAGAGGCCCTGCTGCAGAACCAGCTGCATGTTGGACATGGGAAGTGTTAGCTATAGTATCCACACCATGGAGAGGCTCCCAGGCCTTGGGACTCCTCCATCCTGACTCTAGAAGCTCACCTCAGCCATCCCACAAAGCCTGTATCTACTCTCCTGCTGGGACTCCAGGGCAGGGAAGTTAAGTGTCTCCTTAGGAGGCCACAGGCTACTTCTTCCTTCAGGGTACTAATCTCAGGAGCCAGATAGTTGCCATGGTGCTAGGTCAGGCCTTGGGAGGGTGATGGTGAGGGGTTGGGAATGTGGAGACCCTAAGGTGCTGTGGCCAGAGAGCGGAGCATCCGAGGTGCAACCATCACAGTAAAGCCCCACCCGGTTTCATGCCAAGGCAGGCAGGCGAGTGCAGCCATTCGGAAGGGAATCAGCAGGCCCAGGCCAGGATTGCAGCCCTAGGAGAGAAGCATGAAACAGAACCAGACATAATGCTCTGTCAGAGCCAAGAAACAACAACCTAGGCCTCCCCAAAGCATGGTTTCCTCATCCTGTTGGTCAGTAGTGCAATAAGGTAGTATCTGTGGGTATCTGGTTACAGTAAGCAGTGTCTATTCCTGGTCCATGCCCTGACAGTACCCTACCCGAAATCATGTCAGGGCCCCCTAGTATCCTGGCCCTTGACATGGATTGAAATTCATTCCCAGTATTTGATTTTTATAATATTTTAATATTTTATGATATTTTCTGATTGGATTGTTGCTAGTAAGTAGAAATAGAATGGACTGTTTGTGAGCACTGGCCCTGTGTCTGGAGCCTTTTCAAGCTCAAACACATTTCTAATTGTTTGTTTATAGACTGTTGAAATTTCTGTGTATACAACCATAGCTGTGAATAGTGAGACATATTTTTTCATCATTGAGATACTTTGTTCTGTATGTGCATGTCCAATCTGTCATTTCAATTTTAATTTGATAATATTATTTAATATTATCTAAAATAAATATTATACTATTTAATATTATATATTATTATGTGTATGTGGTGTGTGTGTATCTTTGCATGCATATGGAGATCAGAGAACAAGTTTCAGGAGTATATTCTCTTCTTTGATCTAGGGATAGAGCTTTGGTTGTCATGTTTGTACAGCAACCTCCTTTTTCTTTTTTCTTTTTGGAGACAGGGTTTCTCTGTGTAGCCTTGGCTGTCCTGGAACTCGCTCTGTAGACCAGGCTGGCCTCAAATTCACAGAGATTCACCTGCCTCTGCCTCCCGAGTGCTGGGATTAAAGGTGTGCGCCATCACAGCCCGTCTATTTCTTTACTTGTAAAGATTTATCTGGGGGCTGGAGACACGGCTCAGTGGTTAAGAGTACTGCTCTTCCAGAGGATCCTAGCAGCCACATAGCAGCTCGAAGTCACCTTTAGCTCTAGTCTCAGGGGCTCTGAAGCCTTATTCTCTCTGTGCACACCAGGCACACACGAGGTGCACAGACACATATGCAGGCAAAATACCCCTACACAGAAAAATAAAGTTTTAAAGTGTTTATTTTATTTGCATGTATGTGTATATGTCTGTGTGAGTGTAGGCCATTTGTGTGCAGGTCTCCCCAGAGGCCAGCTGGAGTTACAGACAGCTAGGAGCTGCCTGATGTGGGTACTGAGAACTGAACTCCTCTGGAAAGGCAGCAAGCGTCTTAAGCGCTGAAGCAAGCCCCTTTCTCTTTTGCTATCTAAACATTTCCTTTGTCTATAATAATGCCCTTCTCCTTACTGCCTAATCCCAATTTGTGTCTCTGTGTTCGTGTGAGGCGTGTGCAGACGCACGTGTCTGTATATGTACATGCAGGGCAGAAGTGGACATCGTGTCCTGATCACTTTCCTTTTGAGACATGGAGCCTGTTTGGCTACAATGGCCGCCAGTGAGCTCAGGGATCTTCCTGTCTCTGTGCCAGCACTGTAAAGGCACACACCACCGTATACCGTACACGTGTACACCAGCTCTTACACGGGTGCTGGGAATCTGAACTCAGTTCCTCAGCTTGGGCAGCAGGCACTTTCATATTCTCTGTGTCTACAACACATAAGACAGCCTCAATAAATGTTTCTTGGTAGCACATACCTGTAATTTCAACACTTGGAAGGACGAGGCAGGAGGATGACATGAGTTCCAGGCAAACATGGACTACAAAGCAAGCACTAGGCCAGCCAGGGCCACACTCTAAGAATTCTCATAAAGGAAGAAACGTGCAAACACACTTTCAGATCAGAGGCTAGGGAGATGTCTCAGTGGGCAAGAACACTCCTTGAACAAGCACAGGGACCCGAGTTCAAATCCTTAACACACATGTAACAGCTGGCCATGGTTTGTGTGTCTATAACCCCAGCACTGTGGTGGGCAGAGACAGGAGGGTCTCCGGGGTTTTCTGATTGCCAGCACAGGTCCAGGCTGTGTCAATACAGTGATGCAGAATGTGGTACAGCATGACAATTAATATCCTCACTTGGCCTCTCTGTGTGTACACACACACACACCTGGGAGCACATACCACACACATACACCACCACACACACTCACATACATACTTTAACGTTGTACTGGTTGAATGAATGGATGAATAAATTTTTTTTCTAGTTAAAAGACATTTCTCCAGGCAGTGGTGGCACACGCCTTTAATCCAAGCACTAGGGAGGCAGAGGCAGGTGGATCTCTGTGAGTTTGAGGCCAGCCTGGTCTACAGAGTGAGTTCCAGGACAGGCTCCAAAACAATATAGAGAAACCAAAAAAAAAAAAAAGACATTTCTCTTTTTTTTTTTAAAGGCAAGGTCTTGCTACGTAGCAGGGCTCTCCTCAAATTTGTATTCCTCCTGGCCCTGCCTCCAAAGTGCCAAGATTAAACTCATTTCCCACATGTACAGTGACCGAGGGTTTGAACCATTGTATACCTGTTACAGAGGCAGTGACACAATACAGGGGCTGGAACCAGTGAGGCTTTGGCTTCCATCCCAGCTCAGCTTCCAATGCTTGCCCGTCACTTGTCCTTGGGAAAGTCACCCAACCTCATTGTTCCAGTCAATGAAGTAAAGGAGAATGGTAGAGGCTCATCCTGCTAAGTAAATTAAATGATTCAGACATGGAGCTTAGCAGAATGTGTGGGATTTAGTGTGCTTTTGGGAAACACCGTGCAACTTTAGCTGAATGGTGACAGGAATGAGGAGGTGTCCCCAAGAGGAATAACAAAAACTAACTAGAAATCTGCCCAAATATTATACCCAATAGTTCTATACAGAGCTACTCCTGGTGCACACACAGTACAACAAGGCTGCTAGCCAACACTGCTTCAGGGACAAGATGACTGGTTGCCAAATTGTTCAAAGTGAGTAAAAATTCAGAAATAAAAAGATGAAATTATGAGGCTGGAGAGATGGCTCAGTGGTTAAGAGCACTGGGGTCTTGAGTTCATAGTCCCAGCAACCACATGGTGGCTCACAACCATCTGGGATCTGATGCCCTCTTCTGGCCTGCAGATCCAGCACTTATAAACATAAAATAAACAAATCTTTTTTTTAAGTACAAACTATCCTTACATCGCACCAAAGTTTGGTCCCAACCACCTACAATGCCAGCTCCGGCAGATGTGACACCCTCTTCTGGCTTCTGTGGGTACACACATGCATGTGCACAAATCCACTGAGACATGAACACACACATCAACAGAATAGAAATCTTATTTTAAAAGATGAAATTATTCCTACTGAAAAATTCATTTTTGATTTTTTTCTCATACATTACATCCCACCTGCAGATTCCCCTCCCTCCCTTCTCCCCAGTTTCTCCCCCCACCTCCCCTTTCCCCCAGGCCCACCCCCTCTTCCTCCCCTCTGAAGAAAGCGGGTCTCCCAGGGACTTCCACACCCACCAAACAAAGATACAAGCTACAATAAGACCAGGCCTACACCGGCACATCAAGGCTGGATGAGATAACCAGGAGGAGAAGGGTCACACAAGTAGGCAGAAGAGTCAGAGACTGCCCCACCCCCTAGAGTTAGCCTGAAGAAAACTGACAGAAAAGTGATGAGTCAACAAAAGTGTAATTCATTGAAATGTGATGAAACGCAAAATTAACCTTTTACACCAACAATATTCAGAATGACAACAAAACTATTTTATTGTTGTCGTCATTATTATTTTATTTTATATATTTGGGTACTTTGCCTGAATGTGCATCTGTGTTCCACTTTCATGCCTGATGATTGCAGAGGCCAGAAGAGAGTGTCCCCCTGGGAAATGGAGTTACAGATGGCTGTGAGCCACCACGTGGGTGCTGGGAATTAAACCCTGGTCTTCTGGAAGAGGAGCTAGTGCTCCTAACCACTGAGCCATCTCTCCAGGGCAACAAAAACCATTTGATAAGTGCTTAGATGTAAGTAAGAAGCTGTTATTTTTCTAAGCTGTAGATGAGAAAAATTAGGTTTACTAGACAATCTATAAACTGATATGTAAATATGAGCACGAATTGAAATACAGCACAGCATCAGTTGTAATCCCACTGGCTTTCCCCGTTGGTTTGAACTTTTCAGAAAGGAAAAGAGCAAAAGCCAGCAGGATTTTAAAGGAGTTAGAGTGGCCTCACCCCCTCAGCATTCCCAGGTTAGTCCAGACCATTGAACTTAAACCTTAAACGTGCTGCATTTATTGACTCTTTCACATGGCTTTGAAGGGAATGGTTGTTTTTCTTACTGCTAAATGTCAGCATTTTCTGTATGAAAATGTCCATGCCAAGTTAAACTGACACCAATCCCCAATGCAGTTTCAAAACCAGGAGTCTACGGAGAGCAGCAACCTCCTCTTCGGTTAACCAATCACTGAACCAGAGAACCCAGGGTTGCCAAGTCCAGGGCAGCCAGGACTCACCAGATTCTTGGCAGTGGTGATTGCTGGGTCAGTCTTAAACAGGGCTGCTGCCAGCAGAAGTGGACCATGACCTCTGCTGACCCCTCCCCCTATTTTTTCTCTTCTAGAAGAACTGTCAACAATGGGTGACTGGTGTCTGCCGACAAGTCCATCAGAGACTGTTGTGACCCCTGTGCCTGAGGAGGAGGGACATACTTGGGATGGGCTGTAGGCGACCTCCCGAGAGGCCGTGGCTTTGGTGAAAGGGCATGAGCAGGTGGGATGTACAATGCGTGCTCCTTGCCATCTCTGCATCTGTCCTCAGCAGAAGCTGTGCTTCGTGCAGCCCAGAGCTCCCGAGCTTCCAGGAAGGGCAGGCAAGCTACGAGAAGTCACTGTGCCACTGCTCCGAGAGCCATCTGCCTTCCGGTCCCTCTCCTTCCCTTTCCCTTCTGACAATTAAAACACTGCTTTCTAGAGCAGTTTCAGGCTTAGGGAAGAATCATGATAAGTATGGAGTTCCCGCATACTTCTGTCTGCCCCATCTGCATCTCCTAACAGTGCTATGTTAGGGACCTCGAGTGCTTAGCTGACACAACATGATCACCAGAGGCCCAGTTTACATGAGGGTGCCCACTGGCATACATGCAGTGACACCCAGCCAAGATTACAGCGTCACACAGAGCAGTGTCACTGCCTACTTATCCTCAACCCTGGTGCCCACCAACCTCCATCTCCAGTCTTCGCCTTTCCCAGGGTGTTAACTAGATGGAATCACGCACTGTTTCCTTCCCAGATTGGCTACTTCCTTCCCAGATTGGCTACTTCCTTCCCAGATTGGCTACTTCCTTCCCAGATTGGTTACTTCCTTCCCAGATTGGCTACTTCCTTCCCAGATTGGCTACTTCCTTCCCAGATTGGCTACTTCCTTCCCAGATTGGCTACTTCCTTCCCAGATTGGCTACTTCGCTCCTTCCTCCTTTTAGTTACCTGGCTCATACAGCATCACCATTGCCAGGCCACAAATGAGGAAACCAAGGTGTAGAGAGGTGACACAGCCTGCCCAGGGCCCCTCAATTAGGAAGTGGCAGAGCCAGAGTCCAAGTCTTGTTCATTTGGGCCCTGATCTTTATGATTGTTTTCACCGACCACGAAACAGCAGAGACCCACAGGCAGCAGTCTGGACTATGTCTTCACAGCTCCTGGCTGCAGTCACAGACTCCATGAGGCAGCAAGAGGTGAGGGCAGATAGAGAAACATGCCTGGCCTACAATGTTGGCTCCCTGGCTGAGCGGGTGAAGGCCCTTGTGGATCTGCTGGCTGGGAAGGGTGTTCGGCTACTACAGGCCCCTGACAAAATGCCAGACTCCCCCCTGGGATCCCAAAGCAACGGTAAGACTTCCGTGGTGGGGGAGGGGCACCTGAACCCTCTCACCTTGCCCTGGGACCTCACCTGTTTTGTCTTGTGTCCCGCAGACTCAAGGATACGGAGGTACTGTGAGGCCCTGCTGAGCAGGCTGGGAGGTGACCCCGCACATAGGCTGGCCAGCCTCCTGCTGGTAGAGGGCCTGACAGACCTGCAGCAAAAGGAGCATGACTTCACACAGGTGGAGGCCACACGTGGGGTCTGGCACTCTGCCCGGGCCATCACCCTGGAGAGGCTCTTCCTGCCTTTGTCCCGGGTGTCCATACCACCTCGCATCTCTGTCACCATTGGAGTCGCTGGCATTGGCAAGACTACTCTGGTGAGGCATTTTGTTCGTTGCTGGGCCAGAGGGCAAATGGGCAAGAACTTCTCATTGGTTCTGCCCTTGACCTTTCGGGATCTTAATACCTATGAGAAGCTGTCTGCAGACAGACTCATCCACTCCATCTTCCCAAACGCTGGGGACGGTAATCTGGTGAGAACAGCCCCAGACCGAGTCCTCCTGGTCCTGGATGGCTTGGATGAGTGTAAGACACCCCTGGAATTCTCCAATACCATGGCCTGCACAGACCCAAAGAAGGAGATCCAGGTCGATCACCTGATCACTAACATCATCAGAGGCAACCTCTTTCCAGACATCTCTGTCTGGATCACCTCCCGTCCCAGTGCTGCTGGTCAGGTCCCTGGCGGCCTAGTGGACCGGATGACTGAGATTAGGGGTCTTACTGAGGAAGAGATAAAAGCGTGTCTGGAGCAGATGTTTCCTGAGGACCAGAACCTCTTCGGCCAGGTGTTGAGTCAAGTGAAGTCCAACAGGGCTCTGTATCTGATGTGCACTGTGCCAGCCCTTTGTAGGCTCATGGGGCTGGCCCTGGGTCACATGTACCACAGCAAGCTGGCTGTCCAAGACACAGAGCTGCCGCTGCCTCAGACCCTGTGTGAGCTCTACTCCTGGTACTTTAGGATGGCCCTTGGTGGGGAGGGGCAGGACAAGGGAAAGGTAAGTCCTAGGATTGAGCAGGTGGCCCAGGGAGCCCGCAAAATGGTGGGGACATTGGGCCGCCTGGCTTTCCATGGGCTGGTCAAGAAGAAATACGTGTTTTATGAGCAAGACATGAAGGCATTTGGCGTGGACCTCGCTTTGCTGCAGAGTGCTCTGTGCAGCTGGCTTCTGCAACGGGAAGAGACTCTGGCCTCCTCAGGAGCTTATTGCTTTACTCACCTATCTCTGCAAGAATTTGTGGCAGCCGCATATTACTACAGTGCATCCAAGAGAGCCATCTTCGATCTCTTCACTGAGAGTGGAATGTCTTGGCCCAGGCTTGGTTTCCTCACACATTTCAGGTGTGCAGCCCAGCGAGCCACGCAAGCCAAGGATGGGCGGCTGGATGTGTTCCTGCGTTTCCTCTCTGGCCTCCTGTCTCCAAGGGTTAATACTCTGCTGGCTGGCTCCCTGCTGGCCCAAGGTGAGCACCAGAATTACCGAGCCCAGGCGGCTGAAGTCCTACAAGGCTTGCTGCGTCCCGACACTGCCGTTTGCGCGCGCGCCATCAACGTCCTGTACTGCCTGCATGAACTGCAGTGCACAGAACTGGCCTGCAGTGTGGAGGAGGCCATGCAGAGTGGGACCTTGGCTGGGCTCACCAGCCCCTCGCATCGCACCGCTCTGGCCTACCTCCTGCAGCTGTCTGACATCTGCTCCCAGGAGGCCAGCTTATCCCTGTGCCTCAGCCAGAGCGCACTCCAGAGCCTGCTGCCCCAGCTGCTTTACTGCCAGAGCCTCAGGTGAGTATGGGGTCTGGGCAGGGAGTAAGGTCACAGGAGAAAGACTCAAATGGTCCCTTGTTTCATCATGCCCCCTTCCCTGCAGTCTGCTGAGACTGCTACAGCAAAGGGCCACAGCTGGGCGCTGAACCATCATGGCAACTGATTCAGTTCTGGAAGCCAGATGTCCGAGGTCAGGGGCATGGGCAGTACTCCCTCTGAAACTTTGGCAGGAGGGCCCTCCCTGCCTCTGGAGCTCCTGAGGGCCAGCAGTCTTTGACGTTGCCTAGCCTCCACTGTCATGTGACCATCTGTCCCTGTGTCTCTGTCTTCACATGGTGCTCACTTTTCCCATAAGGACACTATCATGCTGGATTATAGGACTACGCTGTCAGTATGATATCCTCCTCGCTCTCTCATCTGCAAGGAGCACACATCCATATAAGGCTACATTCTTGAAACAGCAAGGTTAGAATTTCAACATGGAGCTACAATCCAACTCATGAGACCCTCTGAGAGCCAGGCATTGAGACTCATACATACGTATGTATGCATTATATACATACACATATATACATACATATACACACACAAAGCCAGTCAATGTTGACAGAAGCTACACCTTCAGCCATACTCTGAATTTAGCAAGCAAAGAGGAAAAAGATGTAGGACTTGGGTCAATCAGGACCTGAGAGTGGTTTTGGCGTCCTCAGACGTAAAGCTAGCCAACGCTAGGAGGAACAGCACAGCTCACAGGACCCACCTCAGTTACTCCCACAGGGATTGTGAGCATTGTGAGTCTGGACTTCTGAGCCAAAACAGTGGCCCACAGCGGGAATGAGAGGTGGTGGAGGCCCCACCCTGCTCATGCGCTGCCGGACTACTCATTGCCATCGCTTCCCCTGGCCAGGCTGGACAACAACCAGTTCCAGGATCCTGTGATGGAATTGCTGGGCAGTGTACTCAGTGGGAAGGACTGTCGCATCCAAAGCCTCAGGTAACACAGCCCCCTCCTGTACCCACCTGCCGCAGGGAGGTGACACAGCCCCCTCCCATACCCACCTGCCGCAGGGAGGTGACACAGCCTCCTCCCGTACCCACCTGCCACGTGGATGTGGGGTCTCTTCCCACTCTACTCAGCTAACCAGGGCACCCCAAGAACATGCATCTTTTCAGGGTGTGACTCAGGATGCAGTGTGTTCTAGAAAGTTCCAAAGGTCCAGGCACCTGGTCTGTACGGAAAGGGAAGTGATGGATAAGGCTCAGACTCTGTCCTGGACTTGGGGATGTCTTTGGTGCTCGCGTGCTGCCCTGGCTCAGTATTACCCTCTCGGTGCTCCTCTCCACATTCACTCTCGAGTAATATTCTGGGCACAAGATTACGTCTTACACTATCTAAAGTCTAACATAAAATTTAATTTTTGAAGGCAATTTAAGGTGAATTTGTGAAATGTTATTTATGTGTCTGAATGCTTTGCCTCTTGCAAGTGTGTATGTGCCATGGCTGGCCTTTTGTGTCCCCAGATGTCAGAAGACAGGGTTAGACCCCCTGGAATGAGAATTATGTCTGGTTGGGAGTCACCATGCGGGTGCTGGGAATTGAACCCAGGTCCTCTGCAAGGAACAAGTGTTCTTGACAGCTAAGCCTTCTGTCCAGCCTGTTTTTTTGTTTGGACACAGGATCTTGTGTAGTCCAGATTTGCCTCAAACTGCCTATGTAGGTAAGGTGATCCTCCTGAGTGCTGGGATTGCAGCACTGATACCCACTTTGTGCCACGGTGGGGATGGGGCCCAGGGTGCCATGCATGCTAGGCAGGCCCTTTACCTGCTTCAGCTACATCCTCAGTCCTAGTCTCCAAAACTTAAGTTTAAAATTTCGTCTTTAGCTGAGTGTAATGTACGTGCCTATAATCCTAGCACTCTAGAGGCTGAGACAGGAGGGTTGCCTGAGCTATACATAGTGAGATCCTATCTCAAATAAAATCATTTTTTATGTTGTAATTAGAGAAAAGTCTGTATGCTGACTTCAGTGCTTATGAGATTTCTACACTTGATGTAAGTAACCCTCATGTTTGTAATGTGGTGATGTCAGGAAGGTTTGTAGAACTCGGGGATCATTTTGGAGTGTAGGATTAGGAATGAGGTGCAGTGAGGGCTTTGCCTGACTAGTGAAACACGCCCCTTTGAAAGAAAAATGATCTTGCCAACTTCTCATTGTCAGTATTTGTCTTTCACAGGCAGGCCTTTTAGCACATGACAAATAATCAGTTTAGTTTTGCTTAAAATGGGGCTCAAAAATGACCCTGAAGAAAGTCAGACATCTATGGTCACAAGTGTTTCCTCTCTGTTTCTTAGTGACACTTGTTTACAATGTCCAAGTCATTCTGCTGAAAAACACATAAGGCTGCTTGAGAGATAGTATTTATATGACATTGTGTAAATTCTGTGGCAACAAAAGTGGGCTGGTCTTCAAACATTTCGATGATGGGGGACAGGGAAACAAGGCTGCCTGTAGTCCAGACTGGCCTTGAACTCAAGATCGCTAACCTTCCAAGTTTTATAACAACAGGTGTGTACAGCTACATCTGGATAGTATTCAAATTTATTTATTTGTGTATTTACTTATTTTTGAGGCAGGGTATAACTATGCAGTCCCAGCTGACCTAGAACTAATGTGTAAAACAGATTATCCTCTGACCCACAAATTTCTGCCTGCCTCTGTTTCCCAAGTGTTAGGATTAAGGGCATGCACCACTACACCTGGCTCAATTTAAATTTTTAGGCAACAGAACACATTTGAAAAGAGGTGTGTCAATCAGAACCCCAATGAATAAAGTGTACAATGGGGGACCTGTTAGTATTTAAAAAGCCTGGTCACCTCTGTGAGTTTGAGGCCGGGCTGGACCGACAGCCTCCAAAACAATACAGAGAAACCCTGTCTCAAAAAACAAAAAACAAAACAAAACAAAACAAAAAGCCTGGTCACAATGGGCGTTGGTGGCACACGCCTTTAATCCCAGCACTCGGGAGGCAGAGGCAGTCGGATTTCTGTGAGTTCGAGACCAGCCTGATCTACAAGAGCTAGTTCCAGGACAGCCTCCAAAACAATATAGAGAAACCCTGTCTCAAAAAACAAAAACAAACAAACAAAAAAAGAGCCTGGTCATTTGGCTTTCCTTGCCTTCCTGTTGGTCCCTGGTACCAGGATCCCAACATGCTCTTGGAATATACTTGATTCTCACATTGCAGGGATTCTAATGGACAACCCTATCCTATAGGGTGCTGCTTATAAAACTTCTGACATTGGACACAGGAAACAACACTGAGTGGATCCACCAACATGCTCTGGGAACCACCTCTCCAGGCACATGAAGATGAACCTTTTAAAAACTTTTAATTTTGTGATAACTCTATTATTTGATGTTTTGTACTAGAGAAAGGCTAGGACCAATGGTATACTTAAACTAGTTTGTGCAGGTTTATGAGCGCTGTGGGTTTTCAGGAATTTCAAGAGCTGAGGATGCTTGAAATTAGCCATGGCTTGGGGCATTTGTACCATAGAAAACAGCACCAGTGTTTGGTGTTTTGCTTTTTCTTGAGAGTCACATGGAGATTATGCCACCAGATGGGGTCTAAATGGGAGAATTTTTTTAATATCAGCAAATCCAATATAAAAATTTACTGCATTTATTGTATTTGTGCTAGTGCATGTGTGTAAATGCACAGACCACAGCACACATGTGGAGGTCAGAGGACAACTTGTAAGTGTCAGTTCTCCCCTTCCATCAATTGGGGACCAAATTCCAGTTGTCAGGCTTGGTGGCAACCTCCACGCTCTGCTGGCCCCATGTGAAAGACTTCTACCTTTCAAACTCTTGGCTGCTCATATGGAAATAAGCCACTGCGAGGCATGCTGGGCAAATTTCCTTGGGACCCTTTGTCAGGGCAAAGGTCATCAGGTCAACTCTGCCTTCCCAGATCCAGGGGTCTTCCTAGTCATGGTTTTCTGCTCCCTAGTCGATTTGTCTCCCCTTACATCCTTGTGATTGATGCTGGGCAAACAAGGACTAATTGTGAGCCTAATGTCTGTCACAGAAGAGGCCACGAGAGGCACAGACCTGAAATAACACTTTTCCTTTCCTTGGCAGCCTGACTGAGAACCAGATTGGTAACAAAGGGGCCAAAGCTCTGGCCAGATCCCTCTTGGTCAACAGAAGTCTCATCACACTAGAGTAAGTCGGACACTACAGGCTCGTCTGTGAAACGTCTTGAGGTCTCTCCATCCTTTCTCCAGCTCCCCAGAGTGGGTCCTGCTGACTACACATCCTTCTGCCTGGCTGGAAGGAGAGCTGAGCAGGCAAAGTCACCACTTCTTTGGCTCTTGACTTATTTCACAGGACACCTGACTTTTGACCCTGACGGATAATCATTGTCATCTCCACTCTCAGCCCACTGGACCACCACACCCTCTTCCCTTTCCTCATCGTGTGGGGCTACTTTGGGGAACTATATTCACATATACATACATTCATATACACATACATCTCTGCCATTCCCTTTAAGAATTGTAGACGTAAAATGTCAGTGCCACTTTGGTCCTTCTTCCTACCCCAGTTGACTGTTTTTTTCTTGCTTCTACCAGCCTCCGGAGTAACACCATCGGACCACAGGGGGCTAAGGCCCTGGCAGAAGCTCTGAAGAAAAACCGAACTCTAACCTCTCTGAGGTATGTGGCTCCACTCCTGGCCTCAGGAGAAGGCCCAAAAAACAAAACCCTGGCTCCAGGAGATACCGTGGAGGACTAGAAAATGGAAGCTTTGGAATGCCAGCAAACCAGCTTTCAGACTGCCCTAACTTGTGTGCTTCTGTAAGACCCCAGTTTCTCAGAACAAAGAAAAGCCTGTCTTCCAGAAGATAGCTGTGCTTCGACGTGGCTTGCTGTGTCCCTTTTAGGAGCCTGTGGCTGTGTCCATCTAGTTGAGGGTGTACTACTGTTCTGTTCTGGTTTTTCTACTTTTATTATTCAAATGAAATTTTTGTTGTTTTGAAACAGGGTCTGGCTATGTAGCCTTGGCTGGCCTGGAGTTCACTATGTAGACCAGGCTGGCCTCGAACTCACAGAGACCCGCCTGCCTCTGCCTCCCCAGTGCTGGGATTAAAGGCTGCGCCACCAATCCTGGCATTTTGTATATTCACAATGTTGTGCAACTACCACCTCTGCCTAATTCCAAAACGTTGTTGACTGTTAGTATTTGCCTTTTCCTGGAAAGCTCATATAAATGGAATTATACAATAAGAACTTTGTCTTCCTCAACTCGCACTTTTCAAGACATACATAGTATAGTATATTGGGTTTTTTTTTGCATTTAATAGTTGACTAGTACTTCACTGTATGAGTGGGACACAGTCTGCTTATGCACTCATGCACAGACAGACATTCAGTGTGCTTCTATCTTTTAGCTATTATGAATAATGCTGCCGGCCACATTTGTGTAGAAGTTTCAAGGACCTCTCTTTAATTCTTTGGGGGGATATATCTAGAAATGGAATTGCTAGGTCATGTGCCAAGTCTAAGTTGAGAACTGCCAGACTGTCTTCCACAGAGGCCCTTTACATTGTCATCAATAGTGTAAGCTTCCAGTCTCTCCACATCTTCGTTCATATTTGGGTGCTCTGGCTCTTGATTGTGATGGGGGCTAGTGATGACCTCATTTTAATTGATGTAGATAGCATGGACACCTTGTTCTTAGTTGGCAGGCAGCTACTTAGAGACTTAATACAGGAGGGTTAACAGTCCTTCCTGAGTAGTGGACTTCGAAGAGGGCACATAATCATCAGTAAATCTTCTCATGGAAGTCAGTTGCTTCTTGTCTTGGGCCTCTGAGGCAAGTGTCCCCATTGTAGCATGAGTCCAGGCTACTGGTGACACAATTCTTCTTACCTTTGTAGTCTCCAAAGCAACATGATCAAGGATAATGGTGTCATGTGCATGGCTGAGGCCCTGGTCTCCAACCAGACAATCTCCATACTACAGTGAGTAGACAAACTCTCATCGCTTCTCTTCTCTCCTCCTGCCTCTGCCTTGTCCCTGCTAGAGAGAACAGGAGGTGGTCCTAATGCTTTCTGACCCACCTGTATGGTCCCTGGAAAACACAATGTCACCTGTTTCTCCAGAGAAAATTCTTCATAGAATTACTGAAAATAAAAACTCCTGCCAACCCAGGAAATCATGTCCACAGATACAGGAAAAAAACATATGGTTCTTCTATTAAATAAGCACTAATCAGACTGTAAAGAAGAATCATGGGTAACCTGCCAGTGAGGTTGCAAAGACAGAGGTCCCTACAGCCAGCAGAGGCAACCATTCCATGTGTGCTACCAAAGCCAATGACTACTTGTCTTCAAGCATGAGGAACTGGTAATGCCACTTTTTTGTTTTTTGTTTTTGTTTTTTTTTTGGTTTTTCGAGAGGCAATGCCACTTTTCAGCAGCTTGTCCTAGGTGCACCAGCTAGAAAGGCCACAGGTACCCCCGCAAAACTTGTACTACCTTTGTGACAACCTGGTTCTTTCCAACTTGGAGCCAGGTATCCAGGCTAATTCCCACAGCAGAAGGAAGACAAGGGCACTGTCTTGGTTGATGTTTATCTTAGAAAAGAAGGCCCTTAGAAAGACCCCAGGGAGTCTGTGTGGTGGCACACATCTTTAATTCCAGCACTTAGGAAGCAGAGGCAGGCAGGTTTCTGTGAGTCTGGGGCCAGCCTGGTCTACATAGTGAGTTCAAGTCCAGCCTGAGCTACGTCTAAGAGGCCCTGTCTGAAAAACCAGAACAAACACAGAGAAACACACTCCTGGGCTGTGAAGCCAGAGGCAGCTGACTGAGCTTGTAAGGAGACAGAGTATGGATTTACTTCTATACTCTATAGCTTCCTCGAGAAAATATTCTAGAAAAAGGGAGAGGTCTTTTTCCTTAAAAAAAAAAAAAAGATGTGTGGACATGTACAGTACAGTACATTATTTTATGTTGTATTTCTTTATTGTGTGTGTGCACATGCCATGGAGAAAGTATGGAGGTCAGAGGACAACTTGCAGGAGTCAGTTTCACCTTCCCCTCATCATGTGGGCCCCAGGGATTGAATTCTAGTCTCCAGGCCTAGTGGCGAGCACCTTTACCTGTGGAGGCAGGCCCCTGCGTCGCTCCTTAAATGGAGGGTGTTTTACACAGGAAAGGCCCATCTTCCGTCTGTCCTCCTATACCTCTTCCCAGGGAAGTCTCTTCAGGTGGGAGGTGGCGTGCGTCCAGATGGGAAATATACTTTGCTGGCTGGCAGACGTGTGTGGGTCCCACATACAGGAGGCTGCTGAGCCTATCAGCCTCTGCTCCCAGCTGCACCTTCCCCTTACCTCTCCCAACCAGATCCTTTGTGAGGCCCCTTTCCACTGCTGTGTAAATGGAGATGGTACCTATATGCCCCCGACCTCTCACCCGAAACCCAGACTAGCTTTGGCCTGGGAATGACTGTGACTGGCTTTGTTGATAGACCCTTCTCATCTCCACAGGCTACAGAAGAACCTGATTGGGCCTACAGGAGCCCAGCGAATGGCAGATGCCCTGAAGCAGAACAAGAGTCTGAAGGAACTCATGTGAGAAAGACCAAAGGGCAAAACTGGTATTCTCCATGTCAAACAGAAGGGCAGCTCAGCCTACATATTTGTGACTAGAGGATTGGGTGATGGGATGGATGGATGGATGGATGGAGGGATGAGAAGATTATGCATGGATGACTGCGTGAGGAGGAGGGTGATGGGATGGAGGGATGAGTGGATGTTGGATGGATTGAGGCATAGATTGATGGGTAGGTAGGTGGATGGATGAGTGGATAGACTGATGGCTAAATGGATAGAAAGGGGTATATAGGAGATTTAGATCAACGGATGGGTGAGTGAATGCAGGTTAGTTGGCTTGGAAGCACAAAACACTGGACAAGGAAAATTGAAACCCAGACTCCCAGAACTGGGTGAGCCCCAAACATCATGGGCTTGTTTACATTATTGCTTCCCTTCTCTCAGAAGGAAACATCATTTCTTAGTCATCTTCACATACAGTCCCAGAAACACCTGGAAGGGTTGACTCTTAGTTCTTTCCAGAGAGTTAAGGAAAATAGGGGCACCTTTAGAGACTACAGATGAATACAACTCAGGCCAAACGAACTGCAGTGGACACGCTTGAAACACAGGTGGTCTCCCTGAGCTCTGACCCTTAGGCCCAGCCCACCACCATCTGTCTCTTGCAGGTTTTCCAGTAATACCATTGGGGATGGAGGAGCCATGGCTCTGGCTGAGGCCCTGAAGGTGAACCAGGGCCTGGAGAACCTAGAGTGAGTCTGCTAGAGAACCCTCCATGGATGATAATTACCTCGACAGAACTCATTTCCGTGAGAGAACCCTACCAACTCTCGCCCTGACAGGGCTGCTCCTGCCCCTCAATCCACCTTTTGTCCTGTTCCATCTACCAGCTCAGTCTCTCTGCAGTTTTTAGAATCACGAGGTCAATGTGTCTTGCCATAAGCAAGCACCTGTGGCTGAAGAAAACCTTGGTAGACAGGGCAGGGGGGACTGGATACTGCTGCCACATTAGGAAGGTTTCGCTGCATCACTTTCTCTGGAGCTGAGCAACATGTACTTCCTTGAGGATGTGTGCGGCCCCCATGTCAAGGCAGCTCAAGCCTCAGAGCTTATGCTAAACCACATTGCCTTTATCTGGAAGGAGCTAGAAAGCGTGATGGGAGAGGAGAGAGGGATGATGTTGAACTCAGGGGGTATAGCTCTTGTCTAGACCAGACAGTTGTCTCCAAGTCTTGGGACAGTCACATCAGCAATGCCTTCTTTATCTGCAGCCTACAGAGCAATGCTATTAGTAACACTGGCGTGGCAGTGCTGATGCGAGCCCTCTGTGTTAACCAGACACTCTCCAGTCTCAAGTAAGTCCTGATCCCCAACCCTCACAACCAGGGTGTTGCCCCTTTGACCAGTGGGAACGCAGGGCCCTTGGGACTTGGAGGAAAAGGCTGGGGCTGAGAAAACTGCTGTAGGAAAATCTGTAGTTTGTATGGGCTTGGTCCTGGCCCTCTTCCCACTCTGTCACGGTGGCCCCTTCAGGTGCTACTTGGTCACCATAAGTTAGATCTTGTCCTTTGACTCCTGTGCATTATTACCCTGCTGGCAGTCCTGAGTGGGACACTGACTGGAGCCCCGGCTGGCTACAACAGGCTCTTTCACATTTCAGCCCAGATGGCCAGGAAGCCGGGGCCTGTCTGTGGGTTCTTGGGGTTTGGGCAGCCTAAACATCTGGGCTTGCTCTGTCAGAAGCCTCACTTGCTTGAGTGGATGTTCAGCATCTCGTCTTTCCTCAGCCTACGAGAAAACTCTATCAGTCCAGAGGGAGCCCAGGCCCTCGCTCAAGCTCTCTGCATGAACAACACTCTGAAGCACTTGGAGTATGTAATAATTGGGTCTGGGGGGATGAAGGTCAAAGGGAGATTATGCTTCCTCGCCTTCGGACTCTATGATTAGATGGCACCATTATGACGGGTTAGACCCTTGGAATTGTCACAATTCACAAGGTTGGACTAGGGTGGCCAGGAGACCTGATACCTACTGGTAACTCCTACACAAGAATTCTCCAGCCTTACCCCTGGAGATAGACAAGTACACGGGAGAGGTCCCTAAGAGTTGGCGTGGGACCATGCCAATAGGCGGTAAATCCTGTTCATAGGGCTATGTGTTCTCATTGCATGGCCTGTAACCACTCACTGAGTTGAACATGGGATATTCTCCATAAGCATGAGCTACACAAGCCTAGCATCAGTGTGTCCCTTGGAAGGATGGGGAATGACTGGGATCTCCTAGTGACCAGGATGGGGGGTTCACAGTGGCTCATACTTGCTCCTGTTTCCTTTTCCCCAGTCTAACAGCCAACCTCCTCCACGACCAAGGTGCCCAGGCCATTGCAGTAGCAGTAGGAGAAAACCACTCTCTCACACACCTTCAGTAAGTCCACTATTCCCGCCCCTCCCTAATCTCTATCCTCCTAGCTTCAGGGCTACCCACAAACCAACTGTGGCAGATGGAACCTGGCTTTGGACTATGCCTGAGGCCTTCCCAGGCTACCTGCCTCCAGCAGGTATACCCCATCCTGGGTTTGGATTTCTGACGTTATACTCAGATCTAGATTATAAGGCAAGTGTCATGGCTGTGACTTGCCGTGATATATGCTTTATGGAGAATATTTGAGCTTGTTCCCATGGCTACCACTGGTAAAACACTAGGCCTCTGGGGACTGAGCCTGAAGGGAACTTCAGGAATCTCCATGCCATATCTTTGCATAGATTCACCCAGCCACCAGACCCTCCTGGATGTCTTAGGGCCTTATGGTCGCATGTCTGTGTCCTTCTAGCCTGCAGTGGAACTTCATCCAGGCTGGTGCAGCTAGGGCCCTGGGACAAGCGCTCCAGCTGAACAGGACCCTGACAACCTTAGAGTAAGTGTGCCTATGGGGATGAGGGTCAGTCTCCAGGCACTGGGCTGGCCTGGTCTGATGACCCTCAACAACAATCTCCTCTACCATAAGACCAGAGACTTGTTTCAGTCCTCACTGAAACAAGAGGTGTGTGTGTGTGTGTATGTATAATAGCTTTACTAATATAACCTATATACCATAAAACCAGCTGTGCAAACATCACAACAACCAATTTTAGAACATTTCCCTAACTCCCAGAGATTTTGTGTATTGTAACTGCTTTCCATTTTCACTTCCATCCTTCCGAAACACGTCATTCTGGACATTTTACATGAATAAATTCATGTGGTCTTTGTGTTCTATAGCCTATATGTGCACATACATGCCAGAGGTTGAAACTAGGGCCTCCAGAATCTTAATCACGTGCTCTACCACAGAGCTACACCCCCAGTAGAGCAGTATTTTTCAGTAGCATGTTGGTACTTCCTTCTGTTTTCTAACTTTGTTTAAGAAGTGTGTGTACATGTGTGTATGCACTTGCTATGGCACATGTGTGAAGGTCAGAGGACACCTTTCAAGAGATGGTTCTCTCTTTCCACTCTATTTCAAGGATCACACTCAGATCATTGGGGTTGGTGGCAAGCACCTTACCTTCTGAGCAAGCTAGGTCCCTTTTTAAAAAAATCTTTGTATGTGTGCACATATGTGAGTGCATGTACTAATGTGTGACAGTGTGGGTGTACACACACCGGGCATACACTTGGAGGTAAGTGGACAGCCTCAGGTGCCTTCCACCTTGTTTGATACACCCTTTCCCCCCTTGCTGTGTATGACACACTATCTGGCTGTGAGCGTCCGGAGTTTTCTCATGTTTGCTTGCACTCTCCCTGCAGGAGAGCTGCGGTTACAGATGTGCTGCTGCAACCAGCTCTATGTGGACAACTTACTCAGTTCATCACCTCACTAGCTCCTACTTCCCGCTTTCTTGTTTTATTCCTAGAGGTTGGAGCTCCTCAGAGTTCCGCCCTTGGGCTTCTTCCCTTGATGAACTTTTCTGGGAGCTCTCTTCCTCTCCCAGATTCTAATTACTCAACTCCCGATAACACTTACATCACTACCTAGGGTAGTTTTAATGAGAATAGACCCCATAGGCTCATAAATTTGAATACTTGGTGGCCAGTTGGTAAAATTCTATGGGAAGGATTAGGTGTGGCCACGTTGGAGGTGTGTCATTGGGTGGGCTTTGAGGTTTCAGAAGCCCAAGCCATTCCCAGTGTGCTTTCCCCGCCTTATGCCTGTGGATTCAGGTGTAAGCTCTTAGCTACTGTTCCAGGACCATGTCTGTCTGGTGCCTGCTGCCATGCTCCCCACCATGAGGGGCATGGACGCTAACCCTCTGAAACTATAAACCCCAAGTCAACGCTTTCTTCTGTAAGTTGCCTTGGTCAAGGTGTCTTATCACAGCAATAGGAAAGTAACTGTCTCTTGAACATCAGCCCATGAATCCACACCCTGTGGCCTTGTGCCCTCAGTGCCTCACAGGCATTGCAAGTTGCTGCATTTTCTTGCCCGCAAGCTTGCTTCCTAGCTCTCCATCTGACCTTGGACCAACCAACTGTGCAAGCTGGAGGCACCACTCCACCTCTAGCTCATTTCCATGTCCTGCTGGCTCTCTTTTCCACTGTCCACCCCACAGTTCCCGTCAACTGCCACCATCCGGGCCATATCACCACTCACCTGCCATACTAGGTGACCTCCATCTACATCTAGGCCATCCCTGCAAACGGCTGGCCAGAGGTCTTTCTGAAACATTCATCATTCTTCATCATGGGTGAGATCCTTACATGACTGTGCCTGCAGAGTCAAGTGTAACCCTAAAGCCTGATTCAAAGGCCCCCAAAGGCCTGCCTCCCCCACACTTCCAAGCCTCAGTCCTCATCCCTCCATGACCTCAGCAGTGTCCCAGGTTTCTTTAGATGTACCAGCTTCTTTCTGTCCTATTCCCTGATTCTGGCTTAGTTTATTCCTTCTGGGTACCACACTGGGATAGACACTCTGCTGGCCTTTCCTGCAACTTAGAGCTGGTACATCACTTTGCTCATTTAATAGTACCTTCATAGCTGAGTTCTGAGAGGGCATTAATAAGTTTCTCATCTATTGTTGTGATAAAATACTATGACCAAAAGCAAACTGGGGGAGGAAAGGGTTTATTTCACCTTCCAGCTTGTAAGTCCATCACTGAGAGAAGCCAGGGCAGGAATTTAGAGGTAGGGACTAGAGCAGAGACCTGAGGAATGCTGACTACTGGCTTGCTCCTCCTCACTTGCTCCGTTTATTTTTTTATATATCCCACGACTACCTATCCAGGGATGGCACCATCCACAATTCAATGGGTCCTCCTACTTCAATCATCAAAACAAAACAGCCCACAGACTTGCCTATAGGCTATTCCTATTTATTTACTTACATTTTGTGTTTTTCAAGACAGGGTTTCTCTGTAACAGCACTGGCTGTCCTGGATCTCACTCTGTAGACCAGGCTGGCCTCAAACTCACAGAGATGCCTATAGGCTATTCTTATGGAGACATTTTCTCAATTGATGTTCACTAGTCTCAGAGTACTCTGGCTTGTGTAGGTAACTGGGTGTAGGTGTAAACCCCATAGGCCTTGGCAAGAATGTGGGCCTGTATACCAATTGGTCACACTGTGTTCAGTCTACAGGAGAACGCCATCGGGGATGAAGGAGCTTCTGCAGTGGCGGGGGCCCTCAAGATGAACACAACCCTCACTGCTCTCTAGTAAGTCCCTAAACCTCCCTTTCACCACCCTCTCATGCTACAGCCACCTTTGTTTAAATCCATCTGGGAAAGTTCTTTGGCTTTTCTAATGCTGGTGATAGGTACTCAAACACCTAGGAAGAATTGAAAGTACAGACAGCATTCACACGAGCCCTTCTGGAAGGCAACCTTTACTCTCCATCCCATGTCTAGATCTTGTTTTTAGGTGTCAAAGTATACATGGGAGATGCAGTATTCTTGAAAGAATCATAAGAAATCAATCCTAGCTGGGTGTTGGTGGCACACGCCTTTAATACCAGCACTTGGGAGGCAGAGGCAGGCTGATCTCAGTGAGTTCGAGGCCAGCCTAGTTTACAAAGCAAGTTCCAGGGCAGTCAGGTGTGTTACACATAGAAACCCTATCTCAAAACACCAAAAAAGAAAAAAAAGAAATTAATCCTTAGTGCTATTTCTCAACCTTGAGCCCTAGCTAAGGGGTATAGAGTATGGAGGGAAGCCTAACCTAGGGCACAGGGAGGGACCAGGAGCACAGGGGGTCTGATTACCCACATTGATTGCACTCCTGTTCATAGCCTACAGGTGGCCTCCATTGGCACCCAAGGGGCCCAGGCACTTGGGGAGGCCCTGGCTGTGAACAGAACCTTGGAGATTCTTGAGTGAGTATTCCAGTGTCTGTTGACAGACTTTTGCTGGAAGAAATCAAGCTACAGATTCAAAATGAATAAACATGAAGACAAATTCATTTACACAGACACAGATAATTTTCATGAGTTTTTGTTATGTGTTCCATCTTCCCTCTTCCCACTTTGTCTTTCCCCGAAGTCACTATGGCACTATGCTCTGGAATGGGCCTGCCCCAGACAAACACGACCAAAGGATCTATTTGATAGAATCCATCTCACACCCCCCCACACACCATAGAAACCAGTAGCCACCTTCTGGGGTAGAGCTGGGGTTAGGACTCAAGCTCTATGAGGCTCTCAGCATGCCCATGTCATTCCTACTCCCCAGGATCCCTATAACCAGTGCACTGTAGACCTCTGGATGGAGAGTTACCTCTCCATCTCAGCCTAGGTTTTCCTTTTCTGGAGTAGAAAAAAAGAAGAGGCTTCCTTCCGTAAGTGCTTAGGAAGAAGCTGCCCCCAACTCCTGTGATGGGAATGTCCAGACAACCCCACACCCATCTGGAGGGACATCAGTGTCACCACTCAGCCTATCCCTGCACCTTAGGCTTCTTGCTTGTCCTGACAGCTTACGAGGAAATGACATCGGGGTAGCTGGTGCCAAGGCCTTGGCAAATGCTCTGAAGCTAAACTCCGGTCTCCGAAGACTCAAGTAAGTGATCATGTGACCCATGTGCAACCCAGAGCAGCCAACTTCTGCTAGCATTTGGGGATAGAACACACAATTTCCTTTAGTTGTTTCCTTCTGGATGTTAAACATCCATAATGTCCTGACCATTATTGTCCACATTCAATGAAGTTAACTTTGTTCATTCTCCTTAAGTCCTTTACTTAAAATTCACATTTATGGTCTTGGTAGAGTACCTGGCTACAGTTGCTATGGTGCCTGTGGACAATCAGCCCAGAACTACTTATTTCATCCACATTGCAACAAGGCAGTTGTCTCCTTACGTGTCTTCTGCCTTGATGGTTCACCATGGTGTTTCCATCTCTTCTCTGCTAGTCTTCAAGAGACCTCACTGGGGATGGATGGGGCCATATATGTCGCCGCTGCACTGTCTGAGAACCATGGTCTGCATCATATTAAGTGAGTACACTCAGTGGCTACTGCTGAGCCTCAGAACTGTTTCCCAGATCAGGTTCTACCTTTAGCCCTATTCTGGGAGCCAGGTGATACAAAGGCATGCTAGCAACTCCATAGGGAAACTAGGTCTAAGAAGGAAAATGCCAGAGTGGTATGTGTAGGAGGGACCCCAGAAGGGAAAAGGCTCAACTTATTATAGCAAGAATTGCTGCACTAAAGTCAACTTGCAGGTGCTGAGTTCTGCCCTAACTCTTCTGTTCTAGTCTCCAGGGAAATCCCATTGGGGAATCTGGTGCCAGGATGATCTCAGAGGCTATCAAGACAAATGCTCCCACATGCAATGTGGAAATGTAAGGAAAGCAAGTTCCTGGTGGACTATGCAGAGACTCCACTGGAAGCTTTCATCAGTGACCTACCTGTTTCTGCATATCTTCCTGGAGTCTGAATGCTGCTAAGCCAGTTCTCAAGCTGGTCTCTTGAACAGGAAGGAAGGACACTTCTAGAAGAGGTCACAGGTGTCTTTCCTCCCCAGGGTCAGTCAGAGGGAAGATGGATACTTTGCAACAGCATAGAGAAGGGAAGGAGCTGCTGCCAAGGGGCACTCAGGAACAAAATCTAAAGCTCCACAAAGTAGGAAGCTGGTCCTGGTTTATTCATACCCTGGGGTCTTCTTCATAGCCCCAAGTTAAAAAACAAAACAGCAACAACAAAACCAAATGTATTTCTGCCCGTGTGTACTTACATGGCTAACATCATCAGTCTTTGGTATTCAGCTGCAGTCTTCAAGCCCAGTAAGTACCTGAGACTGGCAAAGGTGATAATGGGCCCCTTTTTGCTTTTCTCAAGAGAAGAAAAAAGTTTTGGGGTGTGACCCTTAGATACATATGGAGAAAACATGAGAAATTTTTGGAGATAAATGAAAGGTTAATTCTGAGGTTCTAGAGCCAGAGATGAGACTCCAAAGGCTCTGCATTCTTTAAGATCTCTCAGACATCTAGAATGGTCTGCCATATTTGGAGTTCAGCACACTGGTTATCATTGCAAATTAAGTGCTGATACTTGGATGCCATTAGCCTGTATTTAGGCATCCAAAACCTCTACAGTGGCTATGGCTTCCCCTTGGAGACAAACAAGCTATGCTTCCATGAGGCAAATTCCCTTCATTGTCTGATTGAAACAGGAAAACCTAAACAAACTTCACAGATCTGAGCAGGTGATGTGACAAATGCTGTTGTAACAAATTGATTAAACTAAGCTAGGCAAAGTGTTATGCACCTGTATCCCAGCACTTGGAGGAAGCAGGAGGATCAGGAGTTCCAGGTTATCTTTGGATACATGGTGAGTTCAAGACCAGTTTCTGCTGTATGAGATCCTGCCTCAAGAAAAACAAAGGAAAATAAAGTGATTGATTTAACCTCACAGTCATGGGGGCAAATGAACGTCATGCATGACTGCAGACAAAGCACTGAAAGAGCATTTCTGCCACAAATGCTTACCCAAGCCTAACTGTAAAGGTATGGAGATGCAAACTCCAAGTGGAAGGACTATACAAAGATGTCTGGACTGCTGAAAAATGTTACAGTGGTCTGGAGATGGTTTTAAACTAAACAAACGAAAAGGACCCAAGAGTTCTTGATGGGCTCCTAGGCTGGAGGAAAAATATAATCTTCAAAGAATAGTACTTGGAAATTGAAGTTGTATTCATTTTGGTTTTGAAGGGTACTGTTTGTGGGTATAGGATGCTACTCTCTTCCTTTTGGTACTTTTATGATGCTGCTCTCAGACTGGGGCTACATCCAGCTCAGTGGAGTAGGTCCTGGGTTCTATCCCTTGCACTGCCAACGACGGCACTGCTCTAGGCCTCTGGCTTACATTGTTTCTGGCTGAAGCTCAGCAGGCAGAAAGACATCAGTCATTAGACAAATGCTGGAAAAGTTGTACCCTGCAGAAGTCTAGTATGGAAGTCTGAGGCCCAAACACTGTGAGGACAGAGGGTGCTCTCCAAGGGTACTGAGAGCAAGCCTCACTTCCAGAAGCTCTGTCCATACCCCACTAGCAAGGCTTCACAGCACTCGGGGAGCAAGGAGAAAGGTTTGCAGGTCTAGATGCATCACCACAAAGCAAGCCAGAATGTGAGTGTGGAACTGAGACATACCAATCACTGCAACAGTGGTTTGCTTCTCTTCCCAGGGTTTTTGCCTGCTTGTTGTTTTGACTGGACAGTCTATGTTGCTGTCTTCTGTATCTTCCCCTGCAGCACACCCTCTGCTGTTAAGTGCACCTTGCTACTCTTCAGCTCAGACTTTTTCTGTTCAGGATGACGCTTCGGTCTCAGTTCCTCCTCCTTCTGTCTGTTTTCCACAGCACCGAGCAACTGCTGTCATTCACTCTGCTCTCTACTCTGGTTCTTGGTGTCTGTGGATTTACCTCTACGAGAATTTCTTCTTCTTCTTCCTCCTACTTCTCCTCTCCCCTTTTCTTCCTTCTTCGCCTCCCTTCCTTACTCTGGTTTTACTAGACTTCTAGGGGAGTTTAGAGAGAAATGAGCACCTTCTGTTCACAGGTTTGCCTAGAGGCCCCACTGTGTGTACTTATAAGCCATTGCTACACACCATTATGCAGATGGTAGGTGTGCACATTTCCAGAGTGCCTCCACCACTTGCTGCTCACGCCTCTGATTTGCTGTGGGATGCCTCACCTTTAGGAACTTTTCAACACAACTTTCCCATAATAAGCAGTCCCCAAGGCCCTTTATCCTCTCAGCATCTCCAGACACTCAAATAGAGTTCAAGTTCATCGCCTGAGCTCTTCTCATAACATTAACCCTGGGCTGGCCCCCTGATTTCTATGTAGACAAGGCTGGCCTTGAGCTCACAGAGATCCACCTGTCCCTGCCTTCAGAGTGCTAGGGTTAATGGTGTGCAGTACCATGCTCAGCACAGAGTGATTTTTTTTTTAAACCTTATCTCTGGAGGTTGCTATTTACTCACAGAGCAAAACTTAAGTAATTCCTTAGCAAAACACAGGAAGTTCATTTTGCTGCTCTCTTACTACTCACCAGGCATTTTAGCCTTCTGTGTCTGCAGACTATGTCTTCTGATACCTCTATGCTTCTGTAGTTCTGGCCTACCTGAGTTTTAGAAAAGATTTACTTTTAACTTTGTGTGTGTGTGTGTGTGTGTGTTTCTCTGTCTCTCTCTGTCTCTCTCTCTCTCTGTGTCTGTATCTCTTTCTGTGTATGTGTGTGTGCGCACGTGCACATATGCACGCACATGTGAGTACAGTTGCCCAAGGAGGCTGTAAGAGTGTATCACATGCCCTGGAACTGGAGTTATAGGTGGCTGTAGGTCAACTGATGTGGGTGCTGAGAACTGAACTCAGGACCTCTGGAAGAGTAGCAAGTACCCTCAATCTCTGAACCATCTCTCCAGCCCCAATGTTGGGTTTTGTTTTGTTTTTTTCAGACTTAAAACAATCCTTTGAGATTTCATACATGTATACATTGAAATATGATCACATATATCCACATTTCTGCTCTTCCCCCAATATGTACCTTCTCCTAATTTCAGATTTTTTTTTGTTTGATAACTCACTAAGTCAATTAGTGTGGGTGGGGCCATTCACTGGAGCATAAAGAAACATAGCAGTGGGAACACCCTAAAAAAAAACACAAGAAGAAAAAAAGAAAAAGATTGTCTTCATTTAAGCAGTTATTAACTGCCAATAGCTCCTCAGCACATGACAGGGCCTACGGTTGTCTCTATCAATACAGGACAGAGTCTAGGAATCATGTCCTCTATCTACACAGGCTGGGGCCTAGGGTCGCCTCCTCATCTATGTGGGGACTTTTGGCTGGCTTGATTGTACATGGGTCTTGTGTGATGGCTGGGATGCAGATCATGGCAGAGCACTTATCTAGAATAGTGAGGCTGAGTTCCATCCCTAGTAGTACTGAGAGACAAACAGACCACAACAACTCCAGAAGACCCAGTCCAATCTGGCTTTCACAGATATCTTCACTGACTCTCCAGAGGCGGCTTACTGCTCCTTACTCTGGGTTCCCAAGCCTATAATACCCTACACTGTATGCACCTTGCATGCAGATGCTAAGACACACGCATCTCTGAACTATGGCAGCTGAAAACCATAAATGCTCAATAAATATTTAGTGAAAAGAAATATGCACAGATATTATACGTATGACAAAATGATCCCATGGCCAAGGCCAAATAGACTCTATGTACCAATGTATTAGGTTCCTGAAAATTGCTTTTTTATTATTTATTGGCACAGGGTTTTTATCCTGAATGCTGGGATCATAGTCATATGTCACCATAACAGTACTGAAATTTCTACATTATGACTGCTCTCCTCTAAGTTATTATAAAGTGACACTGAGGACACAAGGTCAGGGCCGTTGGGGTACATAGTGAGATCTGAACCAGTAGAGACTCTGTCTCAGAAACCAGGAGATGGAAGGATGAGGCCAGGGCATCTGCCCTGTTCATTACACCAATGCGTGGACCTCTGAAGCCTCTCCCAACTCTGAAGCCTCTAAATATGACCATCTGACCCCTCCCTTCCCCCCACAGGATACTGGGAAACAGAGAAAGAGTTTTTTCCTTGACTTAAGTAAAAGGGAATGTTTTTCATATTTTCCATTGTTAGTCTTTTAACAATGCTTTTCTTAATTTTTAAAGAGTTTTAAATTTGCATGTGTCTGCATGTGACCACACCCAGGGAGCCGCCCGTCTAGCCCCATGCAGAATAGTGACGTCAATTCTACTTGTCCCTTGCTTTCATTTCACATGGGGTGTCTGCAGTAACACTTTACCACATTTAATTCTGGGTTATTTTTCAAATGGGAAACATGAGTCAGTACGGTGCTTTTCCTTTCTGATGGCTCCTTCAGGAGGACATTCAGGTGTAGGACACCTATGTGTATCCCTGTGCCAGAGGTGAGCAACTTAGACAAAGCTCCTTTAAGAAATGCCAGCTAGGCTGGGTGTCTTTAATCCCAGCACTCAGGAGGCAGAGGCAGGTGGATCTCTATGAGTTTGAGACCAGCCTGGTCTACAAGAGCTAGTTCCAGGACAGGCTCCAAAACAATACAGAGAAGCCCTGTCTCTAAAAAAACCAAAAAAGAAAAGAAAAAAGAGAAATGCCAGCTAGCCGGGCAGTGGTGGCACGCACCTTTAATCCCAGCACTGAGGAGGCAGAGGCAGGTAGATCTTTGAGGTCAGCCTGGTCTACAGAGCTAATTCCAGGATAACAAGGACTACACAGAGAAAACCTGTTTCAAAAACAAAAAACAAACAAAAAAAGAAACGCCAGCTAGTGGATGAGGAACTGGCTCAATGTGTAAAGCATTTGCTGTGCATGTATGAGGACCTGAGTCTGAATCCCCAGAATCCACATAACACTGGATGTAGTAACACGTGTCTGTAATCTCAGTGCTCCTGTGGTGACATGAGAGGTGGTGACAGACCCTTGAAAGTTTTGGGGCCAGCTGGCCTGCATTATACAACAGCAAACAATTCTGCCTCAAATAATACAAAAAATGGGGACCGACTAGAGGTTTTCCTCTGACTTCCACACACGCACATGGCATATGCACACCAGCACACTTGTGTGTGGTATACATACACAAAGATTTGAAAAGAGAGTACCAGGAGTGGTGATGCATGCCTTTAATCCAAGGCAGAGGTAGATGGACCTCTGTAAATTCTAGGCCAGACTGGTCTAGGCTAGTTAGGGCTTCATAGTAAGTCCCTGTCTCAAAAAATGAAACAAAATAAATGCCAACAGGGCTGAGGATATAGTTCATGAGGTTTTGAGTGCAATCTCCAAAACCCTCACAAAATTTCCAGGTGCCATGGTGTGTGCTCAGAATCCTGACCCTGGGAAGGTAGAAATATCTAGAGCTGACTCTATAGTCAGTCTAGGCTAACTTGTGAGGTTCCAGGTCCCAAACAGACCTGACTCTACTCCCCAAAAGGTGGTCAGTTCCTGAGAACAACCACTGGGGTCTTCTGGCCTTCACACAGACATGCACACATAATAGCATGAACATGTATACCTTCTCACACATGAACATGTGCACATGTAACACTCGTGTACACACACTCACATGGATGCCCGCTAGCAGGAGTAGACGGCAGTAGGAGTTGGCGCTGCATTTGCTGAGACAGCCCAGAGTGGGGACTCTGCATGTAATCTGAAGTGACTCTGCCTCCCAGAAGAACACCAGCCCTCTGAGAGAAACAGAACATTCATAATCTGGAGCCTTTCCATGGCCTGAACATCAAAGAAAATTAATTTAATAATAACAGCAGCCAAGACTTACATGGTGTCAGTTTATATTTTTCTTTTCTTGTGGATTTGAATTACTTAGAACACATGTATCTCCCAAATGTTAGGAAATAAAACAAAAGAAAATCTTGGCTGGGATTTGTTTCAGTAATGAAACAAATGTTTAAGCCCAGATGGTGTAGTGAAAAAAATACATGTTACCTTTCCAGCCTGTTGATTCCCTGTTTACCTAGAAATCTGAGGCTCTTAATCTGCCTGTGTCCCTTGGCAAGAAGGTCAGAAATCATTGTCACTTTCATCCAGGGGCTCAGGTTTCCGGACCCTTCGACTGGGCTTAGCTGGTGAGAGAGCAATGCTCTCATCTTCCAAATCATCATCATCTTCTTCATCATCTTCCATGTCAATTTCACTGTCCTCTGAGTCTTCCTAAAGCACACAGATAGTACATGCAACTGAGGTGCTGGCTCACTATAACATCTTGTCTTAGACACCCCACTTAACTCTCTCAAGGACAGTGCAATAACTAGCAATACCCCTAGAGTGGAAGGTTGTGGGAACATAGGATGCTGCCAGCTCAACGACACTAGACTAAGGACATAACCAGTAACTCAAACACCAGCCTTTCCTGGGGTTGTCAAGCAGGAGTTGGCTTTCCATGGCTATCTTGGGAATACCCTTAACACATGTGAGGGACCTAGATGCTGAATGACTCCCGCAGTCTAGAGATGCAGCAGACAGGTAGACAGCAAGAAGGGCGGGAAAGGGAGGCCGATTCCAGATGGAGATGGAAAGCAGCGCGAATGTGGGTGAGAAGGCAAGGTGAATGGTGCCCCAGCTCCTTCAGTCTGGATCCAGGGAGCACCAACTTTTGCTCCCTGTCTTTTCTACGCACGTCTTATGCTCCATGTATACTAAGATGGCTGGCCACCCAGTCGAGAGAATTATTCCCAAGTAGTACATACATGTTAGAATTCTCTTCTCACTAACACCTTCTCCAGTTACCCTGCTCTGTCTGCTTCCTTCCCGGCAGAAATCTTTGAGCAAGCCAGGCCTATGGTGGTACAAGCCTACAATGCTAGCACTCTAGAGGCTAAGGCAGGGGGATGATTATGAATGAGGCCAGCATGAGCTACACAGAAAGATCTGTTTCATAATGAAAAAAAAAATGAACTCCTTGGGCAAATTGCTGTACTTAAAGTATCCCCCTCCCATTACATAAGTACAACAGGCTCTATCCCATAACCCCAAACCACTCTTATCAAGACTGAAAGGATTCCAATCCAGTGGGATGGATCCAGTCTTCCCACATCTGTCACCGACACGCCCTTCTTTCCTGAAGTCCTCCTCCCCATCCTCCATGGCAAACACCCTCGTCTGCCCGCTATCCCTAGCTCTCTGTACAGTGTGCTCCAACTCCTTTACCCAGTCCTCTCTAATTCTCTGGTTTCTGCAATACAGAGGCAGCTCAGGACTGCAGGCCTCCTCTCTTCTCTTCCTGCTCTCCAAATAGTGCAATTGCTTCTTTATCATGGCTTCCATCTAAATATGGATGGCTTCCAAGTTCCACTTCTGGTCCAGCCCTGTTTCTTAAATTCCAAACTTTTCCTGATCTGCCCTCTCAGCCCCTTCCTCAAGTCATTTCTGTCTCAAAAGTTAAAATCCCAGGCTTTTGGCTAGCTCCACCACTGAAGCATTCTGCATTTCTCTTCTTCATCAACCTAGTACAATCAACTAACAAAACAAGACGGGTCAAACCTCAGAAACACCCAGAATCTATCTGCTTCTCTCATGGCCTCGGGCTAAGACATCCTCACCTCCAACTTACACAGCTGCACTTGCCACCTCTGCATCTGCCCAGGGCCGATAACTCTCCCACATCTCCCATATTACTGGGTCCTCGATGCACCCTGCTGTTCTGTCTCCGTGGTCTCTCACCACTTGACCCCATCCCCTCCATCCTGCCACTGCCTCACTGTAGGTGTCCACACACCCCAGGCCCAGGGGCTCATCCACCCAACATGGCTCACCCTTTTCCTCACTCAGGTCTCTGCTTCAGTTCCTCACAAGAGAGGCCTTGCCTGAACATGTGAAAAGATCCCTGGTCTCTGTCGTTTCTCATCTCCTGAATCTACTTTCTTTATTCCCTAACACCGATGACTGTGGTGTATCTACTTGGTTGTTACTAGAACATGTGTGCTCCAAAGGCAAGGGCTGTTTGTTTTTTCCCCTACTGCATTCAGGACCCAACACTGATAGGATCCAACAAATTCATGTTGAACAAGCACAGAAAAGGCAAGCCCTGTGTCAGGAGCTGTGTGAACACAGCCTCCAGGAAATAAACAAGTGGGAAGACCCGAGCCACTACAGACACATTCATTCTTAAAGCATGTGGGCAAATAAAACAGAACAGACACCACTTTCCAGAAAGCACTGGTTGCTTTAGGCCAGATCCTCCCTGTTTCAGACTCAGGTGGACAGCAGTGGATGAATGCTACTTTATCACGAGTACCCTCTCTGTTAAGAAGAAAGTTATTGGGGGGCTGGAGAGATGGCTCAGCAGTTAAGAGCGTTGACTGGCTGCTCTACCAGAGGTCCTGAGTTCAATTCCCAGCAGCCACATGGTGGCTTACAACCATCTATAATAAGATCTGGTGCCCTCTTCTGGTGTGGGTGAAAACAAAGCATTCATATACATAAAATAAACAAATAAATAAAAAAGAAGAAAGTTACTGTTGAGTGGTTTCCCTGATTCTGCATTGACTATCCTCTAGGAATTCAAGGCACAAGCTTCTCTGTTTCCTGCCCAGAAAGACAAGGGCCAGCTTGCTCTGTGAATTTAAGCAACACTGCACTGAGGTACTTAGTAAGTCAAGCTTCATACAAGAGCATATGGTCCTGTTTAGTCCCTGTGCAGGCAGGCACCAGTGCTACACCCCAGACAGGCTTGTTCCTTACAAACTGACCTGGGATTGGTGTCTCTCCAGTAACCTTTGCTAAATGGGCCAAGTAGCACTGCCGGGGACTGTAGCAGAAGAAGGGCCCAGAGTCTGGCTGTGAATGCTCAGCCTGCCGTTTTGAGAGCCCAGACGCCCCTTTTTGGTTAAGTTCTCTAGTCAGCTATCTACCTGGTGGAGCTGAAGGCACTAGCAGCCTACCTCAGCCTCCTGTTGGGCCCCTCTGAGGCCCTGGTCTAGGAGGACACCTTTTCCATGTTCCTGCTCCAGAATCGCAGGATGGTGCTGAAGAAAGGCCGGTGCCGGGCCATGGCCCTTGGCGTCAGCACTTCATCTCTGTTATAATTCAGGGCCTGATGACTGTCTTGGTGTTTGACCCTCCTTAGTTTGGTAATGCAAGAGACCAGTCTGCCTGCCTCTCCATGGCATCTATTCTGAGGGCTTCTTGCCCCAGTGTGGAAGCATCACCCCAGAGGAGAGAGGCTCTGCTGGCCCTGAGCAGGCCGACACACACCAACAAACAGAAAAGAAAAGAAAACCAACCTGCTTCCTGGAGCTGGGAGTCTTGCATTTACCTAAGAGGACTGGTGCTGCTTCCGTCTTTGGAAAGCGAGAATGGAAAGAACAGTGAGAAGGCAAAACAAAAAGGGCGAGCATATTTGTGCGAAATGAGAAACAAGCTACTGACAAACTCTGTCACATTCGAGCAATGTGCTGGGAACAGTAGCCCCTGACTCATGGCAGCACCTGAGCTAATCTAGGAGGACAGCCCGAGACAGGGGGCACAGGAGTGGTGAGAGGGTGCGGGACTCACGTCTTCATCTGAGTCTCCACCCTGCATTGTGCCCACGATGCGTTTGCTGGGCCTCCCTGAGAAAAACAAAAACATGAAATTATTACATCCTTGGAAATGACATTTAAGAATTGCTTTCCCTTGGAAAACTGAGGGAATACTAAAGTACATACTATAAAATGTATTTAAGCTCCAACTAACTGGAATTAACAAATAATCTATTTTCTGTCCCCCATCTCCTCTATTTTGAGAAACTCACTATATAGCTGAGACGCCTTGAACTCTTGATCCTGCCTCAACCCCTAGAGTGCTGGCATTGCAGGTTTGTGCTACCATGCCCTGCTCTGAAATTCTACTTAAAAGATGGAAAAAGGGCAATAAAATTTGGCATGTGACAGGGTACATCTGTAATCTCAGCACTCAGGAGACTGAGGCAGGAGGATTACTGGGATCTCAAAGCTAGCTGTACCATGTCTCAGCAACAATAATAAAAAACTAACAAAAAAATAAAGTTAACATGGACTGGTGAGATGGTTCAGTAGGTAAAGGTACTTGCCACTAAGCCTAATGACCTGAGTTCCTCTCCAGAATTTACATGGAAGAAGGAAAAAACTTAGTTCCAAAAGTTTTATTTGGATATGTGCGCATGTGTGCACACATAAATGAATATAATGAAAACTTACATACAAAAATTATACATGAAGGCTGGGGGTATGGATAAGTGGTAGAACATTTATCCATATGCTTAAGGCCATGCATTTCATCTCTAGCACCACAAAACAAACTTGAATCAAGAGTACTTGTTTGTTTGCTTAGGGTTTCTCTGTGTAGCCTTGGCTGTCCAGGAACTCCCTCTGTAGACCTGGCTGGCCCCAAACTCACAAAGATCTGCTGCCTCTGCCTCCTGAGTATTGGGATTAGATGTGTGTACCACCACCACCACCTGGCAATCAAGAGTATTTTTAAAACACATTCTCTGGTATTTGAGGGGGGGGGAATCACTGAACTCCATGATTAGTTTACATGCAGTAGAACTTACATGGTATCTGCTGAAAAAGAATATATTATTCTTTTATGAACTGGTGTCTCCTGTACTTGGATCTAGGCCTAAGTTTCCAAGTGAAAATGTTAGCAGAGTCACTGCTGGCTGGGTCCAGGCAGAGCAGGCGAAGGCTGCTCATGGCAGCCCCAGAGAGACAACTGAGCACTGGGCCAGACAGGTGCAAAGCCTTTTTGCATTTGAAAGCCCTTGCCATAGATTTTGGAACTGGACTATATTAATTTACTCTGCAAGTTAAGTACTTAAGCAAGGTTTGAATGAATCGTTGCCTTTCTTAGACTAACGTGGAGTCAGCTACACACCCTTTTCTAGTGTTGGCTCCCATCTATCAGATGGGAGACATACCATTAGCCCCTGTTTGTGTCATGAAAAAGTGAAAGGTTACAAAAGAAACCAAAGCAATTAGTCATCCAATGGGAAGCACACATAAGAAATGAAGACAGCTGGGCCCAGAATAAACAGAAGCTGCTAACAACAAAGTTAACATAAAATAATGAAAAGATGATAACACCTCTGAAACTTATTAGGTATAAACAATTCTCTACAGTACCAGTGCTTTAGAGGCTGAGACTGGAGACTGAGTTTGAGTCCAGTCTGAGTTACAAAATGAGATCCTGTCTCAAAAGACCAAAAAAGTTCCTGTGCGCTAAATATTAGCTGGGTGATGGGTAAGAAATTTATTTAAAGTTAAATATAGGGCAATTGGGTAGCTATCAAAATTAGAGTTTACAGTTGGGTATGGTGGCATCTGCAGTCTGAGAGTCTGAGCACTCGGGTCCTTGTAGTGCAAGGACTCTGAATTTGAGGCCATGCTGTCCTATACAGCATGCCCTGTACCAGAAACAAAAGTGTTTTTTTGTTGTTGTTGTTTTGGTTTTTTTTTTTTTTTTCCGAGACAGGGTTTCTCTGTGGCTTTGGAGGCTGTCCTGGAACTAGCTCTCTTGTAGACCAGGCTGACCTCGAACTCACAGAGATCCATCTGCCTCTGCCTCCCAAGTTCTGGGATTAAAGGTGTGTGCCACCACCACCCAGCTCAGAAACAAAGGTTAAAGTTAATGTTAAACAGAAGAATCCCATTTGATAAAGTTAGACTAAGATATTTTTGTTTAAAAGTTTTGAAGTGAAAAAACCCAAGAAGGCAATCTGGTTTTAGTGAGGCACATAGTTGAATGTGGAATTCATCAGGGAACAAAACAAAGCAGCCCAATTATCATTAGCAGACATTCCTTTCTTGCTAGGATTGCTTGATGACCAAAGGTGATGATTAATTCCTTATACCCATTTCTTCTCTCAATCTCCTGATATAAAAAACTATTAATGAGTGGGTATGCACCCTACGTTTTAAAGCAGAGCTGACTGATTCTTTTTCATATACAAAAGTTTAGGTTTTTGATTCCTTATAAGATTACCTTTCAAGGTAAGTAATAAAGTAATTGGCCCTTTCTTTAAAAAAAAAAAAGAATAGCATTTGAAATGATGTACACTAAAGAAACACTTGCATATATGTAGAAAGAAGTATATACAAGAAAATAGTGAAATTAAATACCTCAGTATATAGCCAAATAAATTAAGGGTACAGTTATGCAATGGAATATGATGTAGCCATTAAAAAAATAAAGCACATCTCTATTTACTGATATAAGGACAGTTACTGTAACAGAGTGCCAGACCTTAGCACAACTGAGTCCATGATGGAAGTACCATTCAGGCTGAAAACTAAGCATGGAGACAGCACCACCTGCCAAAATGAAAACAAAGGTCTAACCCATCAAAGTCCATAGTTAAGGGAACATCTCTAATATACCAACCTTGCTTTCTGGCTTCTGTAGTTCTGCTTTTGGCTAACTGTTCTTGTTAACTGAAGTGTGTCAACCTAGGACATGGTTTTTGTGCTTAAAAGCTCACCCTGAGAAAGGCTCAGGGTTACAATCAGATCCCAAATATCCAGTGTAGTCTCCAGCTAGATAACAAAAATTTTCTATTTGCTTAAACCCATGTCCAAGCAGTCTTCTTTGGTAACTATTCCACAACAGTTACAATATATTTAATTTGGGTGTGAGTGTAGTATATGTATGCATACATATTTATGTGTGTGAATACATGTGTGCCTATATGTATATATGTGGAGGCCAGAGGTTGATATCAGTATCTTCCTATATCATCCTCCATCATATATATATATATATATATATATATATATATGTTTGTTTGTTTGTTTGTTTGAGACAGGGCTTCTCTGTGTAGCTCTGGCTGTCCTGGAACTCACACTGTAGACCATGTTGGCCTTGAACTCAAGAGATCTACCTGCCTCTGCCTCTAGAGTTCTGGGATTAAAGGCTTGCACCACCACCAACCAGCAAGTCAATAGTTTTAAAGAGAGAAAAATTTAGACAGACATTTGTGCCTTTATGTAAGGATATATTTATGCTTTTGCTGAGATAGGGTGTTACCATGTGGCCCTGGCTGACCTGGAACTCATGCAGACAAGGATGGCCTCTAATTTAGAGTCCCACCTGCCTCTTGCCTCTGCCTCCCAAGTGCTGGAATTAAAGATGTGCGCCACCACTGCCTGGCTCCATATTATTTTTTGAGCCCTGATTCAGTAAGACTGGTCAGCAAGTCGTAGTGACCCTCCTGTCTCCACCTCCCCAGTACGAGGGTTTCAGACAGGCACTGTAGCTTTTGGCTTTTCACATGGGTGCTGGGAATTCAAACCTAGATTTTACACTTGCACAGCAAGCATTTTACTGGCTCAACCTTCTCCCCAGCCCCAATGTATTTAATTTTCAGAATAAAAGTCATAAAATAATGATGTAATCTGGTCCCACTTAGGTTAAAGAACTTTCAAGCAATTTTTGCTTATGTTTGACAGTATGTGTGTATGTAAGTAAGTGTATCTTACATGTGCATGGAAAGTCAATTTGTAAGGACAAGCTCTGAAAGCTAGCTATGGCCCTCTAGGTTGAAGTGGAACATGAGGAAAAACCCATTTTTAAAATGTTTTTTTTTTTAATGAGACATACTCATGTGATCCTGTGGGGAGTGGTCATTGTTACTTAGGACCTCTTGTAAATACTGCCAGTTCTTTCAAATATAGGCCATTTTGTTATCAGCCTTCCTGCCCTTTCCAACTCCTTGACAAATAGAATTAGGGCTCACAGGAATAGCTGATAGTAATCTGCAGCTAGGTCACTTAACAACTCTTCTTCCTGCAGTTAGGTTACTTAGAAACCCCTTCACCCTGTCACATGGAGGACGTGACCCCAGGCCACCTTGAAGAAATAACACCTCTTTAGATATGAAGCAAGTTCTGAGAAACAGGCTTGAGGCTCATCCGTCAGTCAAAGATTAAGCCTAGTGAAAATTACCAAGTCCCTCTGGTGGGGATAGACTTGAGCAATAGAGGATAGATTGTGAAAGCTAGAACTGAAACCTGCAGTTAGATTACCAGGTGACACAGAACGGCCTACCCCTCCCACTGACCTTTGCCTCCTGGTAGCTGCAGTCAACACCTCCACTCCCGCCCCTCCTCACTTTCCCCCTAGGGCCTCTATATAAACCCCTTTGGAAAGAATAAAGGTCGTCAGCTTGATCAGGCATGCTGACTTGCTATCTATTCCTTATACCCCTTGTCCCCCGACATTTTCTCCTAGGCGTCCCTGGTCTTAGTTGACTGTCCCTGCTGGACGGGTCATGATCCCTTTACTCTGGGTTAATTCCTTGGCCACAGGGATGTAACTGCACTGACCCCAAATGAGCAGAATACAGAGCTCAGTTGCAGAGGCCATTTCTGAGGTATCTGCAAACAGAGAAGAACGTGACAGGTGCTGGGCATGGTGGTGCATGGGGGTGGAGCAGGAGGGTCAGGTTCAAGGTCATCTTGAGGCACACTGTAAATTAAAGGCCAGCTTAGCTACATGGAATTGAACAAAAGGACTGTATGTATGAGAGACAGATGCTGAAGAACAAAATGAAGCGAGGCAGGAGTGGCTCCAGGGACCCTTCACAGTTCCCTGGGGTCTCAATGCCAAGCAGCACTCATCCGACTTTGCCCTTGATGTTCCGAGGCAAGGGAGCTGGACAAGAGAAAGAGTCACACTACCTTGCATGAGCACCTCCATGGCTGTCCGAGGCTTCGACAGCCTTCTCTCCTCTAGCTCACTATCAGATTCATCGTCCTCCTGGATGTCTATGTCTGAGTCATCGTTACCTGACAGGAACAACAGAAGGCAGAATAAAGGAGCAGTTCTTGCAGTACAGTCAAACGTCTCCTGTCTATTAAGGCATCAGTGCAAAAGCATCTGCTTTTCTTGACCCCTTTTCATCTATTGGCTCTTATGAGACCCCCTGGATTTTCTCAGGTACTAGTGAACTGTTAATGCAGCCCATAATATGCTGTACTTCAAAGCTAAAAGACTGAATTTTTCACAAACTGAGTAGCTGGGAGGCAGAAGCAGGCAGATCTCTGAGTTTGATGCCAGCCTAGGCTACAAAGTGAGTTCCAGAACAGCCAGAGCTACACAGAAAAACCCTGTCTTGAAAGACAAAAACAAAAACCTAAACAAAAACACAGAAGAAAATAGATTCTTCTCTCATAGTTTCCCCTCCCTCCACTGCTCCTCGCTCTCCCACTTCCCTCTCCATTCCACCTTCATTTCCTCTTCAGAAAAAAGCAGGCTTCCAAGAGATGACAGCCAAACAGGACAAAACAAGATAGTTACAAAAAGACAAGGTGGAAACCTCTTATCAAGGCCAGATAAAGCAACCAGGTGGGAAAGAGTCTCAGGAACGGCAAGAGTCAGAGGTACACCTGCTCCCACTGCTAAGAGTCTCACAAAACACCAAACTAACGGCTATAACATACACACACACAGAGGGCCTGGTACAGCCCGTGCAGGCCCTGGGCTTGTCGCTTCAGTCTCTGTGAGCCTTCTGAGTGAACTCAAGTGGCACTTAATATGAAAGCTGTGAGAAAACCGCTCTCTGGAAATATTTTTGCACTTCTAGTCAACAATGACAGATTTGTTGATGTTTAAGAGGGCAAATCTCATCTATGTTCTTATTACAATTAAAATTTGAGAGAAAAAATTTAAAGACAATAAAGTACTTCTTACAATGTAAGTAACTCTGCTAGAGAAATGTAATTCATTGCATACCTGCCAACAACCTGATGGCCTGAGTCTGATTCTCAGGAATTCATGTAAAGGTGAACGGAAAAAGAAACAATCACAAAGCTGTCCTCCAACCTCAACATGTGCTCCACTGCACACCCACAGCTGCACTCGAACACTTGGCATGTGAGTGCACGCCTGCACACACACACACACAAAGCTGTCCTCCAACCTCAACATGTGCTCCACTGCACACCCACAGCTGCACTCGAACACTTGGCATGTGAGTGCACGCCTGCACACACACACACAAAGCTGTCCTCCAACCTCAACATGTGCTCCACTGCACACCCACAGCTGCACTCGAACACTTGGCATGTGAGTGCACGCCTGCACACACACACACACAAAGCTGTCCTCCAACCTCAACATGTGCTCCACTGCACACCCACAGCTGCACTCGAACACTTGGCATGTGAGTGCACGCCTGCATACACACACACACACACACACACACACACACACTCTCTCTCTCACACACACTCACACACCCACTCACCCACACACACACACTCTCTCTCACACACACTCACACTCACACACCCACTCACACACACACACACTCTCTCTCACACACCCACTCACCCACACACACACACACTCTCTCTCACACACACTCACACTCACACACCCACTCACACACACACACTCACACACACACTCTCACACACACTCACACTCACACACTCTCTCTCACACACACTCACAACCCACTCACACACACACACACTCTCTCTCTCTCACACACACTCACACTCTCTCACACACACTCACACTCACACACCCACTCACACACACACACACACTCTCTCTCTCACACACACTCACACACCCACTCACCCACACACACATACACACACTCTCTCACACACACTCACACTCACACACCCACTCACACCCACACACACACTCACACACCCACACACTCACTCGCACAGGATAGAAACCTTAAGTCCACAAGCAGCTTTCTCAAGGCTGAAGGCATCCGTCAGACCCAGCAGACTTACTTCCACTCTTGAGCAGCCGCTTTTCCTCTTCCTTTAGCTTACTCTGCATTAGACGGAGAGTATTCTCAGCTTCCTGTGGAGGAGAAAGACCACATTAGAATAATGACCTTTTGCCATTGGTGGCGCACACCTTTAATCTCAGCACTCAGGAGGCAGAGGCAGGCCGATCTCTGTGAGTTCGAGGCCAGCCTGGTCTACAGAGCGAGTTCCAGGACAGCCTCCAAAACAATACAGAGAAACCCCGTCTCAAAAAACAAAAAACGAAAACAAAAAACAAAAAACAAAAAAAATGGTGACCTTTGGTGGATGGCAGATGATCTGATTCTACACCACTGTGTGAACACTGCAGAGTTTGTCATATAGAACCAAAAAGGAAAAAAAGAAAAAGAAAAAAAAGACTTTAGGAGGTTACTTAAGGGGATGGAGACATGGCTCAGTGGTTTAGGCACTGGCTGCTCTTGCAAGGGACCCTGGTTCAATTCCTTGTACCACACAGTGGCTTGCAACCATCTGGTAACACCAACGCAGAGAATCTGATGTCCTCTTTTGGCCTCTGTGTACATGGTACACATGCAGGAAAAATAGCAATACACAAAATAGATATTCATAAAACTTTCAAAAAATTTACCTAAGTAACCTATGCGGTCCATACACCTGTGCTCTCTCTCTGCCATATACCCAGCAGCTGTGGGAATGGCCTAGGCATTTGATGTTCTAGCCCTACATCCTCCTCCTTCTACCACCAGAACTCTGAAAGAGACGAGTGACACAGCAGGGCAGTGTGCCTGCAAGGGCAGTGGACATAGGAAATGTGTCTAACACAGATAGGCACAGTTCCCCGCTCAGATCAAAAGAAAGCAGAACTGTTTCCATGTTTCTGCCTATACTGAGTCACCACTCCAACATAAAGATGCTAATGGCAGATCGGGATGCCAGGATAACAAGGAAAAACTGGTCTTAGTTCCTGGTGTATGGCCAGAAGGAGGCAATATGTCAGGTGTGTTGTCAAATGGAGCCCCAATTAAGTTGGGCATGGTAACATGTATGTTATAGTCCCTGCACTTAGGAGACTGGGCTGAGCAACATAGCAAGACACTGGCCTACTCACCCCTCAAATAGGCAAGCTTTGGATGCAAATTTAGATTCTGCCTCAAATGTAAGGCGGGGAGGGGAAGATACCAGATGTAAACTCCTGGCCTTCACATGCACACGCACCCATACACATGTGAAAATGCATATATCACACAAACATGGACAAAACACCAATAAAAATTTAAAACTGGCTTTTAAATTTTGTTTGGTGTTGTAAGCATTTAAAAATGCCCTTGTATCAGGCATGGGAAAGGGCAAAGCAAACACAGGCCCTTCCGGGTCACTTCACAAGTTATAGTTGACCCATTTCCACTTCTCACTGCCCAAACCCTGATAACACATCAAATACTTGACCACCAAGAGTCCACGCTGTGTAGTCAGCAAGGCAGAGGAACCACTCAAGTAGCCTGCAGACCTGCACTCTCATACCATGATACATACAAACTGACGTGGCTCAGAGTGTAGAGTAACCCAGGAGACTTACTTCAAACCTCTCCTGCTCCATCCGGTGATGATCCTCAAGTTGCTGTTCCAGGTAAGCCAGGTTCCGGAACTTCTCTAGATAAACGTCATACTGCTTCTGCAATTCTTCCTCAATCTTCTCATACTCATCCATAAAGGCGGGCCTAAAGTACGCAAATGAAATAGAGTAAGTTAGTCAGTCTACAAGTTTGAAATTTGTATTTAAGAGTTCCAACTTCCATCATCATGACTTTCCTTAAAATACATCATGAAACCTCTGATTACACAAGGTCCCCACTCTGATAACCACTTAAAATTTGCCTGTTCTCTTCTCTACCTATCAAAAGAAGTTATGTTTTTACCCATGTAGTCTTTATAAAAAACTGAAAAAACCCAAAAGTAGGAGAATTAAGTAAAATGTTACTTATAAACCACCAAATACATGTAGTGTGTAACATATGTTCTCCCCCCCACTTTAATATAGGGAGGGTCTCATGTAGCCTAGGCTGTCCTTGAACTGGTGAATTCCTTGTCAGCTTCCTGAGTTGTGGGATTTCACATGTGCCACCATGTTAAGCCCTTTCCAGACTTCCCTAAATTAGATATAGATAGAAGTGTGTGTGTGTGTGTGTGTGTGTGTGTGTGTGTGTGTGTGTGTGTGTTTGACACAGGGTTTTTCTATTTTGCTCTGACTAGTCTGGAACTCTCTATATAGACCAGGTTGGCCTTAAACTCACAAAGATCTATCTACCTCTGTCTTCCAAGTACTGGTATTAGAGACATATGTCATCACACCCAGCCAGGAATGTATTTTTTAATAAAAATTAAAAAGTAAATCTGTTAGCAAGTAGTTTTGTGGATTTCACTTCAATGGATCACAGGGTCCAAAAGGGTTAACATAGTCATGTGCCATACACATCTGTGAAAATCAGCAAGTTATTTATTTATTTACTTATTTAGTTACTTTTTTTTTTTTTGAGGCAGGGTTTCTCTGGTTAGCTTTGGCTGCCCTGGAATTCATTCTGTATACTAGGCTGTGCTCAAACTCACAGAGATCTGCCTACCTCTGCCTTCTGAGTGCTGTGATTAAAGGTGTGTGCCACCATGGCCCTGCTTAAAATCAATAAATTAAACATATGCATTATCTTAGCTGGTATAATATTCTACTATGGACATGACAAAACAGTCTTCCTGATACGGGATGTCCTTTTGTATGCTGTGAATATATGTTTCTCTTATTGGTTGGTGAATAAAGCTGTTTCAGCCAATGGACAGGCAGAATGTAGCTAGGCAGGAAGGATAGGTAGGACTACCAGACAAGGAGAATGCTGGGAAGAGGAAAGGAGAGAGTGAGTTGCCAGGGGACAACACATAGCTGCTGGGAAGATAGAATGCCTGGGAATTCTCTGGTAAGCCAAGACCCCGTAGAGATACACAGATTAATAGAAACGGGTTAATAATTAAGAAAGAGCTAGTCAATAAGAAGCCTGAGCCACTAGCCCAACAGTTTATAGTTAATATAAACACCTGTATGTTTATTTGGGACTAAAGAGCTGCAGGACTAGGTGGGACAGAAACTTCCATCAACATCTTCCAAACAGGTCTTTAGGCTACTGCAAATGAGAGTTGTTCTAAAACAAATAAAATAACAATAAAACAAAACTTAAAACCTGTGGCAAAAGGCTATTTCAACTGGTTGGTTAAATTTTCTTTTTTCCTCTTAGTATTAATTTTCCCTTCCCTTTCTCTTTTCCTTTCTTCCCTGCTCCTCCCAAGGGCCAGGATTATAGGCATGTAACATCATGCCTGATTTTGTTATTGATCTTAATGGGAAAACTCTGCTCTTAAAAAAATATAATGAGGGGCTGGAGAGATGTCTTAGCAATTGAGGGCACTGGCTGATTTTCCAGAGGATAAGAGTTCAGTTCCCACCGCCTACCTGGTAGCTCATAATCTGTAACTCCAGTTCAGTGGGATCTTGTACCCTCTGCTGTCTGCATACACCAGGCATGCACATGGTACATGGGAATACATGCAGGAAAAACATGTAAATACTTATTTGATCATTTATTTATTTTGTTTTTTTTGAGACAGGGTTTCTCTGTGTAATAGCCCTGGATGTCCTGGAACTTGCTTTGTAGACCAGGCTTCAAACTCACAAAGATCCACCTGGTTCTGCCTCCTGAGTGCTGGGATTAAAGGTGTGTGCCACTACCACCTGGCTATAAATTTTTAAAAATGAGGATTAGCTGTAAAGGAATGTGCCTATATAGTCCCATCTCCTCTGGTGGCTGAGGTGCTAAGACACAAGGGTCCCTTTAGCCCAGGAGCTGGGAGACTGAAACTTTTACTGAAAAATTCAAGGTATATCCTGGATCTCTTTTCAGAAAAGCTGCTTTTCATATGAATGGAGGCTTTGGACACACACCTTCCACCTGAGCTGAGTATGTTCTCTTCTCAAATTTAAGTTACCCTGAGTACATTAAAGTCTGGATTTGGGTTAAGCTCTTGGTACTAATGTCCTGATAGGAATGTTGGATGCCAGCAATCAAGTAAGGCACAAACTTGTGTATAGATCCTTTGTCCTGCACATCCCCCAAAACTCCTTGGGTCACTTTGATTTTGTCAGCTTCGCTGAAATAGCAGTTCTGGCTGCTGAGATGCTTGTCCATGGTATCAAGAGAGGACATACCAAAAATATGGAACACTTCATGAATTGGCAAATCATCCTTGCTAATTCTATTGTTCCATTTAGCATATGTACAGCTGAAGCAAATACCTGAAATAGTTTTTGAAATAACACAAGGAATAGGTAATGTGGTGGTCTGAATGAGAATGACCCCCACACCCTCATATATTTACATAATTGGTTCCTAGTTGGTGAGACTGCTTGGGAAGGATTAGGAGGTGTGGCCTAGCTGGAGAAGGTGTGCCACTGGGTGCTAGCTTTAAGGTTTCAAAAGACTTGTTCTATTTCTCCTGCTTATAGAACAAAATGTAAATTCTCAGTTGTTTCTACTGCCATGCCTTTGTTCCATCATGGACTCTAACCTCTGAAACTGTAAGGCCAGCTAAAGCTTTCTTTTATAAGTTACCTTGGTCATGATAACTTGTCACAGCAATAGAAAAGTAACTTAAGATGGAGGATGAAACAGAGAGGGGAAGAGAACATTAATCTTTTAAGCCAGAATAAAGCAACTTACCTATTAAAAAAGGCTTGCAAGATATAGTGGCACACACTTTTAGTTCCAGCACTTGGGTGGCAGAGGCAGGCAGATCTCTGTGAGTACGAGGCTAGCTTGGACTACAGAATGAGTTCCAGGACAGCCAGAGATACATAGTGAGATCCTGTTTTGAAAAATCAACCAACCAAACATGATGTAGGGCTTAACTAAAATGAATTATGCTTTTAATATGACTTTGTTAGTGAATCCAAGGACTCTCCTGGCAGTGATTTCAGCAGAGGGAAGAGCAAGGCCCTGACATGAATTGGAGGACCCTGGGTGCCTTCTGTTTGCCAGTATTTGTGGAAAGGAAAGCAAAAAACAAGGAGGCAAGATATAAACCAAGTAAAGGAAGAGCACAAGGAAAATATGAGGAATACTGTAAAGGTTCCATTGACACAGGCAATGTTTTGGGCCACTATTACACTTCTCTGTTCCCGGGACTGTTTTTCCACTGAGTCAAAGTCATAAGAAAGATAAATTGCTGACAGGTGAGGAATTATCAAAGTGAAAAGTCTAAAATCTATTCAAATCAAAAGATGGATGTATATTCTGTTTAATTTAATTTATGACAAGATTTTAGAAGGCCAAACCTGGTAAAACTCACCATCTGGATTTACTTTGTTTCATGTTCAAAGTAACCACAAACCTTAAGAGGGCTCCAGAGGTCAGTCATGTCGCAGACATATTGAAAGCAGTACAGAGAGTGAGCCAGTGTAGCAGTCAGCTTTTAGAACAGGCAGCAAAGGAACTGTGACATAGGGTCTCTGTGCATGAGTCTGCATTTTGATGCTTGAACAGCTAACGCCACTTACATTCTTCCAACCTTATTTCCACCTTTCACAGACACTAGCTACTCACTCTACCTGACACTCTGCAGGGTCTGTAGTCGCTTCCGATTTCTTTCCAGTTCTAATTTTCTCTTTTCAATTTTGGCTTCTAAGTTAGCTTCATCAGAGGCCACATTATTGAGCAGGTCTTTAGTCTTCTGAACCTGTGCCTACATTGAATAGGAAATAGTGAGATAAAGTGCTGGTAGGGGGTGGGGGGCTTTGTCACCTGACTTTGGGCACAGAGCTCCTTAATACTTTGGGCAAAGCAACATCACATAAACCATATACTAAAACATAACATACACCAAAATACTACCCCTCCCCTGCTGCAACTTATGTAACAAACTATTTCCAGAGACAGGAGTGAAAGAAGGATGACATATAGACAGAAAAAAAATTACCATTCTTTTTATGAAAGTGGATATTTCTGTCCATGGAAAAAAACAAAGGTGGAAAGAAGAATGTCCTAATAAAGACAGAGAAGTCTAGGATCTGTAGCTAGCTTTCTTGGTTAGGACTGGGCACTGACCAATTTGCACTGTCAGCCTGCCTTCACACACACACACACACACACACACACACACACACACACACGGTTGGCTGAGGAGGGGACAAGACTCCTTTTTTTCCTCTATAGTAAAGCAGCTCAACTAAAACCTAAAAGTAAGTGGAGAAACTGCTTTATTGGTAAAGTCAGTGCAGAAGTGGCCCCCATGGCAGCCACTAGCCCTTCTGGTGAGATGCAGCTTTGGAAGAGGGTTTAGGCATATAGGGACAGAAGCTCTGGGCTGCTGGCACTAAAAGGGTCAAAGCCCATTGGCTACATCCACAGACATTCCTAGCTTTCTAAGAGCAAGTTTGAGTGAAGTGCACATGGTGAAAATAAATGTGCTGGCTTCATATTTAAGCTATGAGAAGCTGGGTGTTGGGAGCCTCATGGTTCAGAGCACCGAGTGAACCACACAGGAATTGGAAGCACAGCCTGGGTATGTATGAACCTTCCCAGGTCTAACTGCCCAACTCTGCATGAAGTTCTTGACAGTAAGGTGGGATTCCACTCTGGTACTCTGCACATCAAGGTTTCCAAGCTGTTTACATGTAGGTGCAAACCATGGGATCCACAAAGAAACCAGAAGACTAGATACTCTCCAAGAACCTCAGAGATAGGGCATCTTTTGAAACTATAATTATTGTCAGTGAATCTATGGCTTCTTTTTTGGGAGTAAGTAAACTAATCATTTCTATGGAATGTTTTTGTGTGCCTAGGGCTCAGTCTCAAAACCCTGACACATGCTAGACAATCATGCTGTCACTGAGCCGCACCTCCAGCTCAGCTCACCTTTCTCAGATTCTTCCTTTAAAAGTCACGAAAGAGCCAGGCACAATGGTGCATGCATTTAATCTTACCCCTCAGAAGGCAAGGTCAGGCAGATCTCTGAGTCTGAGACTAGATTGGTCTACATAGTGAGTTCTAGGCCATCCAGAGCGACACAGTGAAACCCTATCTTAAAAAAAAAACAATGACAAAAACCAAACAAACAAAACCCAAGTGGCAGGAGCAAACACTCATACACATAAAACTTAAAAAGCAAAAAAATATTCATTTATTGTAAAAATTTCAATACAAATGTAAATGAATTCCAACAGTAATGTGGGTCCTTACTTAACAACTCTTTTTTTAAGATTAAAAGAAAAATTATGCACATTGTATATGTGCATGTCTATGAACATGAGTGTGGTGCCCACAGAAGCCAGAACGGAAAGCATCAGATTCCCTGGAGTTGGAGTTTCAGGTGGTTGTGAGCTGCCATGTGGGTGCTGAGAACTGAACCTGAGTCTCTGGGAGGGCGGTATGCGCTCTTAGCTGCGGGGCCATCTCTCCAGTATCCTCAATCAGCAACCTTGCTGATAATGACTATTCTCTGATTCAAAGCCATATTGCAGCTTAGGGAATTTATCTGAACTTAGTCTTTTATCTACCTATTCCTTAAGTAAGAAGGATCAATGTGCAAACAAATATTTGCCACTTTCTGAAATAACAGGCCTGTACTCCACAATCCTGTCTAAGTACTGTACTGTTGTTTTGCTTTTTAGAATTACCAAGCATTAGAGGTAAAGAGTTTCTGATAATTCAGAGCTCCCAAGAACTGCCCAGTAAGGAGCAGACAATGACCCTTCTAGAGGACCAGCTTTTAACATTCAGTGCTGATGGCATGTTTGGTCATATTCACTTGATTCAGTTAGGATGCTGGCATGCAAAAAATATGGCTATTTACAAATTTTTAAGTTTAGGCATAATCATACCTTTCAAGAAAAGATAGACTATAATACAAAGCATTTCCCCCTGACTTAGGTGAGAGGAAACTGCCAGTGACTGATGTCCACTCACCTTCAATCCCTTTGGATTTCCTATTAAGTACATAAAACCAGACATAAGCAAAGCACATAGCCATTGTACCATCTTAGGGTCATTCCTGTCTCCTTGCTGGTACTAGGGAAGTTATGCACAGCAGACAGGAACCAACATGGCAGTCTGCTGTCATGTTTCTGTGGTGTTTTGCAATCTTAAACGCTCTTCAGCTTTCCTTGGATTTCATGATCTTACTTTTTGGAAAGCATCAGCCAGCCAATTGATAGAATGCTTCCAGTCTGGCTTTGTCTGATAGATTCAGATTATGCATCTTTGGCAGGAGTAACACAGAAAAGACTTCACCCTATGAGGTGTCAGAATTTCAAATTATTTAATTATGACGCTTCACTTCCTCACTTGATTGAGGGGTGAAGCTAGGCTTCTACTTAAGAACTTACTCTTTTTCTCTTTGTAATAATAAGTATTGTAAAGCCGGGTGTGGTGGCAAATATCTTTAATCCCAGCACTCTGGAGGCAGAGGTCAACCTGGTCTACAGAGCAGGTTCCAGGACAGCCAGGGCTACACCGAGAAACCCTGTCTCAAAACAACAAAAGTATTGTATTGGTAGCTTCCTTGAAGCGCTTTTTAATTTGAGAACTGGTTGTCTCCTATTTCACTGATCTATACTATAAACTATTGTAATTCATTTATGTTGATGTGTAAACAGTCCCTGGTTTGGTCAGGGGGAAGTCCATTAAGTTATTATGTCACCATGTCTCTTCTATAGACTTTTGGTAACCTTTGAACACCTCTGTTCCTTCTGGCACAATAAGAGGTTGTATTTCTCCTAAACAGCTCTAGAATGAGCCACTTTTCCTGGGTTCTCTGGCTCCCATTAGTGGAGAATGGTATTTAAAGGCCAAGATCCAGGTGCTAGGCTTAGAAAAGTATGATGGTAGACACACACACCCACACCCACACCCACACCCACACCCACACCCACCCCCACACACACACACACACACACACACACACACACACACACGGTGCATCTCCAGGTGTATGCATCTCTAACAATACTTAACTGACAGTGAGTGAGTGAGTATAGGAAAAGATGGTGAGCGTTCTACTTGTTAGAGTGCAGCTTAGAATGAAGGACTGCACTTAGCTCAGTGATACAGCACTTGTCTAGTATATACAAGGCCCCCAGTTCTAAAACCTTCTCACAACAGAGGCAAAAAGAAAGCCTGGAAATTATTTAAATGCCTAGCAGTAAAGAGTTGGCTAAATAAAATAGGATAATATTCATCAAAATATTGAAATAAGAACTGTTTAATTACTTTAAAAGTGGTGAATTTTTTTCCTTTTTTCCCCCCCCCCAAAAGTGGTGAATTTTTAACAACTCAAGAAACTGCTTTTACTTCTGAAAGGAAAAGTAGTAGCTATAATATAGAAATTCTAAAATATCCTCTAACTATCCCCTAAAATATCTCTTGTTTCTAGGCTCCTCTTATTCTGTGTATCTCTTGATACACAGAGAAAATACTTTTTTGCGTCCCAGGTGTAAAAACAACAATTAATAGTAGTATATTCTTACCAAGATATCTTTTATTGCAATTCTCATCACTTTTTCAGTCTCGTTTATTTCTAGAGGTCTAGCAATGGCTTCTGTTCTCAGTTCCTAGGAAAGATAAAATAACTTACACAGTTTGAAATAAGGAGTTCAGTTTTTAATTTCTATTATCTGCCAATTTTTTTTCTTGAGAGCCTTGTTGTTTCCTAAGATATGTTTGAATGTGTATCTCCCCATCTTCAGACTCCAAACTGCTGGATTTCAGATGTTCACCTTCATGTCCATTTATGTCCCCCCCCAAAGTATGTGATATATATACTACACTAATTCTCCAGTGTTTAACACAGTGATAGAAACTATGGCTCACCATGTACAAGGCCTGGAATTCATAAGACATCATAAGAAAATAAAAAGTAAAATTTTATACTAGTGTATATCTCTGAACAAAACATCCCTTGTCATAACCTTCTATAAATGGTCTCCAATGCCTATGTGGGCTCTCCTCATATTTAAAGTCTTCATTTTCAGCTCAAAACTCTGTGTGCCCCTAACTCAAATGGCAAAATGAAATTAATATCCATTAGCTCATTAATATCTATTAGCTTTACTCCTAAATTTGCTTCTATTTAGATGACCCACCCCAAATACAGACAGCTCTGTATATCCATCAGCCCCTATAGCTAAGTTTCTACTTCTGCTTGTGCCTAAAGTAGAAATGGAAGTTAGGTATTATAATGAAATGACAAAACAGCAAGAGCAATGGTGGCTGACATACTCAATTGAAAGAGAGTAAGGAAATGAAATCTGTTTAAAGTAAAAAAAAAAGTTAGACTGAGAACAAATGTTTTAAACACCTTCAGTGTGTACAAATAAGGACTCAATAAATACTTTTCTTCTAAAACCAGTGGTTCCCAAACTGCTTTTTTGTCAAAACTTGATGCTGACTTGTAGTATTAAGAAAGCCTGGCGCACGCCTTTAATCCCAGCACTTGGGAGGCAGAGGCAGGCGGATCTCTTTGAGTTCGAGGCCATCCTGGTCTACAGAGTGAGTTCCAGGACAGCCTCCAAAACAATACAGAGAAACCCTGTCTCGAAAAAACAAAACAAACAAACAAACAAAAAAACCAAAACAAAACATAAAAAGAAAGCCTGGGCATGGGAGTTGTGTTCAATGTTCAGCCAAGCTTGGGAACCATGCTTAGACAACTGTTTTCAATTGAATAGATGGAGCACATTGTATGAATGGCACTGGACAGCAAGTTAAGTTTAACAGCAACATCTTCCTCCAACTACCTGGATGTGCTAAGATCACTGGCCACACACTTCTGTTATAATCACCGGGGGAACATTTGAAACTCTTGATGCCCAGGTCATAACCCATAACAGTGACAACAGCAGGAAAGCCAGCTTTATAAAGACCACTGGGTAAGTCTGGGGGGCAGTGAGTACTAGGAGCCAGGGAGTGAAGTACAGTTGAGTAAAGACTGGAAGAATTATAAGGCAAGAAGCAAGAGAAAACTCATTCCTTAGCTGAATACTACTTACCCTCAGCTCGACCTCTTTGCCCAGCAGGTCATACAGAGATGCTCCTTTGGCAGTAATTTCAGAAGCAAGTTGTCTGGCTGCTTTCAAGTCTGCAATCTGGAAGGAAAATTGCAAATACAGAACCTCATTTTTCAACAGGCATTCAGCTGCCACTCTGTCTTTCAGACAGGTCCATAACTAGAGAGCACATGTTTCTATAGCCCTATTTACTGCTGTATAACTTAGGGAACACTAAGTTCAAATGGGACCAATCTCAGGAAGCCAAATGTGAAGTTAAACTCAATTCATAACTAGGTGGTATAAGCAACAGAATGCTGACATGCCTCTAATCGGACTGGGTCTCTAATAGAATGGCCAAAGGGGCAACCTGAGAGACATTCTCCTGCAGCATCCAAGGCCAGAGCCTTAGCCTTTCCTCCAAAATGCTGCTATGATGCCAGGGGAGGTGACTTCTGCTAAGTACTCAGCATCTCCTGGAGCACCACAGGGGACTGACTATTGGCAGGAGATGATGACTCAGCATTCAGACATTCTTACCGTGTGTGTGTGTGTGTGTGTGTGTGTGTGTGTGTGTGTGTGTGTGTGTGTGTGTGTGTGTGTTACCTTCTTCCTTCAGAGTGTTAAATTCCCAAGGAGCCCAGACATCAACAGGAATCCTTGCTCTCTCCTTTTCATGAGCAGTAACCCTTACCATCTCTTTACTTTACAGCTCTCAGCAGATTACTTCCTTCCCTTTTTTTTTTCCCCCGAGACAGGGTTTCTCTGTGGCTTTGGAGGCTGTCCTGGAACTCACTCTGTAGACCAGGCAGGTCTTGAACTCACAGAGATCCGCCTGCCTCTGCCTCCTAGGCGTGTGCCACCACCACCTGGCTTCCTTCCCTCTTCTTTGGTCCCACCTTGCGCCCCCTCCACCTACTATTCTGGCTTCTCCTCTTAAGGCCCAGGGTACCACCCTCCACATTACCTGCTTTTCCGGCCTGACTGGCAGCAACTACCCATATTGCTTTCTACGATTTACCTCACTGTTTGCATCTCTCAGCAGTGGTATAGGTCAGTCTCTGGCATCTTCATCCTGACAGGTGCTTCTAACATCACAGTTTTAATTCCCTGTATGTTGATGCCTTCTAAGTTCCAGCTTTAACATCACATACAAACTCTTGTGAGGCATCTTCACTTGGACATCCAAAGGGACTGATAAGCTTAACACGTCCACAGCCAAACTCAGAACAAAAATTTCAGTAGCCATACTGGCTATTTTCATCTTGAAATTACTAAAAAAGTTAAATATTACTAGAGCTCATTTCCTTTATTATGCTAATTACTTTGGCCAATGGTTTCCAAAGAATATAGCCCAGATGCAGCCCTTAGCACATTAACACATCAAGTCTGGTAACATGGCTTGAGTACCATCTTCATGTTGTCTCATCTACCTCTATCTATACCCAAACCCATAAAAATCTACCAGACGGTGAGATGACTCAGATGGTAAAAGGTACTTGCCACCAAGCCTGATGACAAGGACCTACATTGTGGAAGGAGAAAGCCAAGTTCTAGGTGTAGTGACATTTTTGTTTGTGTTTTAACCAATAAAGCTTGCCTGAAGATCAGAGGGCAGAGCTAAGCCAGGAGAGGTCAGGAAGTGGTGGCAAATACCTTTAATCCCAGGACTTGGAAGACAGAGGCAGAGGGATTTCTGTTAGTTCAAGGCCATCCTGGGCTATATAAAAATGAATCTGCCTAAAAGAGAAGCAGTTCACACAAAGGTGATCTCAGCACTAAGGAAGTGGAAGACAGGAGTTAAGATATGGCTGGGTAAAGAGAGGAAGATAAGGCAGTTAAGTTCAAGGAGCATGCAGTCTGAGGAGCAGTGCAGTCTAAGCAGTCTGAGGACAGGATCACCCCTTTGGTCTGAGCATTGGTAGAGGTACAAACTCTCTAGTGGCTGGCCACTTTGCTTCTCTGATCTTCAGCGTTAACCCCAATATCTGACTCTGAGCTTTTATTATTAAGAACATTAGAATTCATGCTATACCCAGGTTAACCTCTGATTTTCTTGCCCACTATGACACTGTGTGCCTATGCATATAAATTAGCTTTTAACAATGTCTGAACCTCAATTGTGAGCTCTGGTTCCTGTTATGTGCCTGTGGGGTGCAAGCATAATAGTCAGAGCTTTCTCTGGTAGGCCTCAGAGAAAAGAACTGTCCTGGCATCAGATTAATGTGTGTTCTTAGCTGGGATTTTTTTTTCTCATTTTTCACTTTCTCATCTGCCATGAGCCATAGAATCATTCAGTAATTAGTCAGGCTCATTTCACAAGGTCAACCCATCCGAGTCAGGGACTCTGTTCGAAGGATTAGGCCAAGATACAAGGCATGTTGGAATTATTGCCTTGTGAATAAAGTGACCGTTTCTTATAAATTTCTCGCTGTAGCTCATCCCCTTCTGTTACAAACTTGGGATCTATTTCCCACAGTTCAGCACCATTTGGTAATTTATTGGGCACAATTTCTCCTATGCATTTTGGGGTATATTGATAACATCAAACTTACGATTTTAAGATAAACTATTACCAAAAGAATATAACGTTACTTACTAGGTCATGTGTAGCCAGCTGTATGACTTGTTGAGTCAAGGTAAATAGTGCAGAGTAACCTAATTGCAGTACCAGCAACAATAATTAACTATTTACACAGATTCCTAGCCTCAGTTTTATGGCCTTGTTCAGACACCATGGGGTAAGATTCCCTGACTCTCCAGGGCTAGCTACAAAATATAAACTAATTGCATAGCCCCAAAATAGAGTTACAAGCTTCTCTTTCTATGGTAGGGTTACATGCTGGACAGAAAAATATTTAAAATGCTTTTAGTGTCAATGTGCCTTGGCGAATGCTGTATGGGCTTCTCTGCCCGTGTCCCTACAGCTCACACAGCTGCACTCCCTCTGAGGACACTTCAGTAAAAAGTCTCCAGCCCGAGAAAGCCTGGTCTTTACGACCACTAATCACAAAATGTTTAAGATGTCTTATACACGCAAAAGTGTAGGATATCACACACAATTTCCTTATTTCTCTCACTAGTTTAGTCCTGTAAGTCCACCTCTATAGATAACAGAAGAGACTTCTCCCCTTACAGTTGCCGTTTGCAGTCTGCCAGTTAGGGAGTTAACGGAAAGAAAGCGCTCTTGTCTTCCATCTGGACTTACTGCACTGTGAGTTGCTGGAATGACTGTTTCTTACCATTTACTTAAGAAACTGTATGTGACCTTCAGATGAAGACCCGCAAGATGTCGTGGGTCTTTATAGGCTGGGGAGAGCAAAGAGAGCAAGGGAAGAAGCTGGCAGAAATCAGCAGGAATAGAAAAATGAAGAAGAAAAAGAATGTAGCAGAGAACTGAAATTGCAATTAGAATTGAGACAGAAATTATAGACAGGACAGACGAATTGGGAGAGAGGCAGAAGAAAAAAGGTAGAATAATAAAGAAACATGTTGAAGAGAAGTTTTGTGTGAGCTGATTTGTTTCTTTTACACTTAGACATTTCCCTCCCTGGCTGTAGAACCTTAGCTGGACCCTGAAGGGGTCTGAGGGGCTTGTGCCCTAAAAGACCCCATTTCCCATCTGAGCCTTGGACTGAGAACCTTTTTTCTGCTCCTGATGAGGCCTTTTAGTGGCAAAATGTGAGAAAGCCCTGAAGATATCATTCCCACCCTTATATGGTAACCTAGTAGCTTTACATTTTTGTTTTGCTTTTGGTTTTTCGAGACAGGATTTCTCTGTGTATCCCTGGCTGTCCTGGAATTAGCTCTGTAGGCCAGGCTGGACTCCTATTCAAAGATCCTCCTGCCTCTGCCTCAGAATTGAAGGCGTGCAACAACACCACCTGGCTTAGTTTTCCATTGCTGACCTTCTCCCCATCTCAGGTCTGTGGAATTTCCAGAGCCTTTTGTTGGGGACTCTGGTCCTAAATGGATGGGTGCCCATTCCATAGGCAGAGATGAAATGAGCACCTGCTACACCCTCTAGTCTGAAATCTTGATATATCACCATGGTGGGTGAACGACAACTTAGCTTTCTTTGGCTTGTTGCTTCTATGGCAACTCAGCACTAAGTGAGTCCCACCACCTACATCTCCAGCCCTTACCTTTTCTGAGATGGGGACTTTCTAATTCCCAAGACTGGCTTAAAACTCTTGGGCTCAAGGGGCCTTCCAGCCTCAGCCTCCCAAGCAGCTGAGAATGCAGGTGCATGCCACCTTGTTTGACTGAATACATCTCTGCTGAAAACCCCATTGTCTACCTCAGAGTAAAAGTCAAGGGCTTTTGTGAGATCAGAGGATTTGCTGTATTTCCCTCTTAGCTTCCACCAGAGGGCTTCTGCTCTTTTTCTTAAATATTCAAAGTACATTTTCATCTTGGGACACTAGTCCCCACTCCCACGTTCATGGCCCATCCCTTCTGGCAGAAGTGAGAGGGAAGGGATCATTGTCTACCCCTGGAGGCCCCACTGCATGCCCCATGTACGACAGCCCTGCACCTCACACACTCCATTCCCACACTGCTCTGCTTTCCCCAGGGCACTGCATCAGACTGCATCACTGTTGCTCACTCTGATTCCTCCACGGAACAACAGGAACCGGCACTTCTGTCCTCTATTTACACCTGTATCCCCAGTGCTTCAACACAGTCTGGTAAAATTAGGCTTTAAAACAATCGGATTTATTGTGACTTTGCTTTCATCCCCACACTAATGAGAACCAACTGTTACCACAGATTGGACAAATGCCCTAAGTCCCCCCGCAAGGAAAGGGGTCCTGCAAGTCAGACATACTCCGTGCCAAGTAGAGAAACAAACACTCCCTAGACACAGACTTCACCATCCTTACCTTAGAGCCAAGATCAAACTTGAATTTGCTGATATCTTCCTCTCCTACTTTGGAGCCCTCCATCCCTTTGGTCTTCATAGCATTATAAAGAACAGATGTGACCTTCAGCAGCTCTTTCACGGCATACCCATCTGCTTGGTAAAGCTTCTTAGTATTGAGCTTTATATGTGCTTTTGTGGCCTGTTTTGAGACAGACAAAGTTCTGGTGTTTTGTTTTGTTTTCTTAAGGCAGGGTCTTACTATGTAACCCAGGCTGGCCTGAAACTCACTATGCAGCTGTTTAGGCTACATTCAAACTTTCAATTCTCCTGTCTTAGACTTCTAAGCAATGGAATTACAATGTGCTCTACCATACCCTGCTTCAAAGTTTAAGGCCCTTTTCAGGTTGTATCCAGACCCCATGTAGGTACTTTGAAATGTCTTTGCCAGCAACTGATGCAACTCAGTGATTAACTCTTATATTGTGATAAAGAACAACATGGGAAAAAGACTACAGATGCATGTATCTTTAACCCAGTAATTCCAATTCTAAGAACTAACTCTAAGCATAAACTCACAGACAAAATGAAATGCACATTACGGAATTGTTTCAAATAGCAAAGGTTATAAACTACCTAAATACCTATATATAATTGTATGATATTTATGTAAGTAATATTAACTCAAGTGAAAGAAAGAGAAGTCTACATGCATTTGAAAAGTCCTTCAAAATATACTACTAAGTGAAGAAAGCGTGTGTAACAGGGAACATATATGTATATCATTTACATTAATTAACATATAATTAATATCAATATATTTATATTATGATTTGTTTAAATATGTGTAAAAATCTGGGCTCAGTTTTTTTAAAAGATTTATTTATTTATTACATATACATGTGTTCTGCCTACATTCCAGAAGAGGACACCAGATTGAATTGTAGATGGTTGTGAGCCACCATGTGGTTGCTGGGAATTGAACTCAGGACCTCCGGAAGAACAGTCAGTGCTCTTAACCTCTGAGCCATCTCTCCAGCCCTGGGCTCAGTTTTAAATAGTGGTTATTATGATTGGAACTCAGTCCAGAGCAGACATGGCAGAAAGTCATTTTACTCTGTATCTGTTCATGATCTAAAAATTTTTAAACCATAAAACATATTACTTATCCCAAAATAAACAAATAAAACTATACAAGCAATGAGTCAACAAACAAACAAACATTGGTGAAATGGTTCCACAGAAATCTGGCAGTGGGATGGTTTTAGAAAGTACACACAATACTAAATTTAAAAAGTCCCAAATAGGATTTATCTTTTTCTATTTTATTTGACAATTCTATAAAATGACTGAACTAACCATGAACTGGGCAATTGCCTTAATGAAGAAAACTCGGTCTTGTTCCGTCTCAATGTCAGAAGGGATGTCAGTCTGTGGCTCATATCTGTCAGAAAGAACAAGCATGAGCCAATCCAATAGAAAGTTCCTTAAAGTCAGGTGTGGAGGTGCATGCCTATAATCTCAGAGTCAGGTGTGGGGTTGCCAGGCTAGTCTACATAGTGAAACCCTGACTACAATATAACAAAGCAAACAAACAAAACCAAAAAGATCCATTAAAGGGAAACTACGTGATTTAATATTGCTAACACGAGGTTTTCCAGGCCCCATTAAGGCAATACGATTAAGCAAAATCTTCAAGAATAAGACTAAGTGACACTCCATAAGATGGCTCAGTGGGTAAACAGGTTTCCCACAAGCTAGCAATCAGAGTTCAATATCCAGGACTTAGTGCAAGGGGGAACCAACCAGTTCTCTAACCTCCAGTTGCATGCTGTGGCTAACATGAACCCATGCACATATATGTATTTGCACATGCTTAGCAGGTAAGGGGGGGTTGCTGTATAAGCCCAGGAACCCAAGTTCAAACCCCAGAACCTGTATAAAGATGGAAGGAGAGAACCAACTCAACAACCTCGTCCTCTGACTTTCACAATCGAACATGTGTGCCAGGATCCCAGTGTGGAGACAAAGTGTAAACAAACCAAATATGGGACTCAGATTACAAACTAAATCCATCTCAAATGTCTAACTTTTATGAAAATAACCAAGAGTTTGACTCAGGCTGATAGCCCTTGGCTCAAGATAGACATGAGGGCTAAATAATTCATCTAACAAGTACCAAAGTTGTTGAAATTACTCTTTACTGAGAATTCATCAAAGCTCCTAAGACTGTGACTCTCAGCCTGTATTTGCATAGTTTGAAAGATAAAAATAGTTTTTACATTTAAAAGCAAACAAAAGGGGCTGGAGAGGTGGCGTAGAGGTTTAAGAGTATATACTGTTCTAGAGGGCCTGCGTTCAGTTCCTAGCACCAATGTCAGAGGGCTCACAACTGCTCCAGAGTAGCTCCAGAGTATTCAACAGACATCTCATGTAGACTTAATTTTATGTGTAACAAAACACAATATTTACTTTCTGATTCTTAACACAAAAGGGTACCAATCCTAATCATAAGACTTCTAGCACAATGAAAACTCTGCATTACTTCCTGTTTTAGTTTTTTAATCTTTAATTATGTGTGTAAGCATGTGCACATCAGTCCCTGACATCAGAGGAGTGAGGTCCTCCCAGAGGTGGAGTTATACACAGTTGTGAGCCAGCCACCATGAATCAAACTCAGGTCCTCTGCAAGAGCAGTCTATGCTCTGAACCGCAGCCATCTCTCCAGCCACATCTGTAACATCTGAGTGTGCAAGAGAGGGCTGAAGAGGAGCCTGTGCCAGCACCTTAATCAGCATAGTCACTTCCTGCCATGTTCTGTCAACTCTTACTTGTACCATCATATCTGGCAACTTTGGTGAATTTTTAAAATGATTTATTTATTTTTATGTACATTGGTGTTTTCACCTGCATGTATGTCTTTGTGAGTGGTCAAATCACTTGGAACTGTAGTTATAGACAGCTGTGAGCTGCCACGTGGCTGCTGGGAATTGAACCCGGGTCCTCTGGAAGAGCAGTCAGTGCCCTTAACCGCTGAGCCATCTCTCCAGCCCTCTGGTGAATTTTTACAAGTTACAACTAAGTCCGTCCTATGTAGACTGCACTACATTCTTCATTATGCATCACACAAGTTTCCAGTTCCTCGTTAGCTAATGAATGAAACTAACTATTCATGCTGAGATATGAATAAAGTGCATTCTAACCTTTTCACAAGCCACAGAAGCACTTCAGAGACAAGCCCAAAGTTGGGTGAGCGGAAATTCTCCATAGAAATATGTCGTGGGTATCCCAAGGCTCTCATCATCTCTGTGAAATCTGTCCAACGTAAAACACAATTCTGTCAGTCCTTGTCAAACGGCAACTCTTTGGAGAGTAGTTAATCTTATTGTCTCTGCTTTCCCTTCTTATTGGTTCTTCCCAACTTAGTGACAGCTCGAGGTACTGAATCCATCAAAAGTTAAAGTATCTAATCCATCACATGAAAAACACCTAAGTTCAATAGAGTAGATTTTTCTTCAGGGATATAGGGCTTAGAGGGATATCTGAGACTTTAATTTCTTTCTGATATCTTTATTATCCCAAATAAAAACTACTTAGCTTCATAAAACATCATGAGAAAAAAATTAATAATTATTTATGGGAGGGCCCAGGGTAAGGTGAAATTCAATATGCTGTTGCTGTTTTGTTTTTTCTTCAGTGAGCACATACGATTTTCATGACATAAATTCAAAGATCAGTTACCTCATATTCAAAGAAATTTTAAGAAAATGGTTGAACTATAAAGCAGTATTTAGATTTAATGTAAAAACAGACAAGTAAACAGTAATATTTTTTGATTTTCAATATTACTTGAAAGAAAGCAGAGGAAAACAAAAATGAAGAAAGTGGGACCTAGAAATGAACACACTGCTGGGTGGTGGTGGTGCACACTTGTAATCTCAGCACTCAGCAGGCAGAGGCAGGTGGATCTTTGTGAGTTCAAAGTCAGCCTGGTTTACAGAGGGAATTCCGGGATAGCCAGGGCTACACAGAGAAACCTTGTCTGGGAAGAAGAAAAGAGCACAACCAAGCAGAGGCAGGTGGATCTCTGTGGGTTCACGGTTAATCTGGTTTGCAAAGCAAGTTCCAGGACAGCTAAGGCTGTTGTTACACAGAAACGCTGTCTCAAAAAATCAAAATGAACACAGTCAACGTTTCTGAGTCCCCACAATATGCTGTGCTCTTGAACGTGTTTCCTGGCTGTGCAATGTCTACTCATGTTTCTTGAAGACAGCTAATCAAAACATCCTGTTGACATTTCCAAATAATCTACTTGGACGATAAAACGGGGTGGACCGCACCAGATCGTGGAAGAAAAAGATAGTAAAAACAAGTAGCAGTCTCCCACTCCAGGCAGGCTTTGCCCAAACCTTTCCTTCCATTAAGTAGAAGCTATCACGTTCTCTGCTGTTAGATGGGGACAGAGTCTCATACATTACACAGCTATGCAGTATTTATTTAAGGTAAACATTCTTAAATACTTACCTTGAATACTCTTTTGAGTACATCGCTATTCAACGACCCTACGAAAGTGCTGGCTTCATCAAAAACTATGTGGGAAGCCATCATTACACTGTTTCAAATGCCCTCAAACCTCAGAAGACATGACTCACTCAGAGGTTGATCCTAGTAGCTGCTACTTTTCTGCAAGTGAGGCAAGAGTTTGGGTCACACAGTCCTTCCTGTCACTCTTCCTAGCTGTTTGAACCATGAGAAGCTACACTACTTGCAATTATAACCAGAAACAAAAAGCGAAGTATGACAGCCTGGTACACAGCAGATGTTCTCCAAAGAGTAGTGACTAATACAGATATTCCACGTTCCCACTTTCTGGCGAAGTTCTCGTCTCCGGCGTTCAGCCTCCAAAGCCACTTGTTCTAGCTATTACCTGCTCCAATTACTTTGACCTCTTGTTGCCTGTTTCCTCGTCTCTGGACACAGGGCACAAGAATTGCCTAGGAGAAAACGAGGCAATGCCCACAACGAGAACAGTATGTGACAGATTGTAAACAACAACAACAACAAACAACAAAATCCTCAAAAATGAACAACCAACAACAAAAAACTAGTAGCAACAGCATTCATTTAGTCACCTCCTTGGTTTTATTGTTTCTTTCTACAAACTCCAACATAGAAAAAGTCTGCCATTGCCTATGACCTTTCTAATGAGGCTGCGAATGTGGCTGTGACAAATTGAGATAAAAATGAAGTAAAATTAAATACATTCTGTTCCTCACCCGCGAGACACAGATACTAAGTGTTCTAGCCACACGCGGCCAGTGACTGAGAGAACTTTCCAAAGGTGCTGTAAAGTTCTGTCAGCCCCTGGCTAGCCTAGAGCTGGGGACCACCGGCCTGGCTGGGCCAATGGCTCGGACAGGAGTCTGGCAGGGGAGCTCCGAGTTTCTGGGAAGCCCACGGGAAAGCAGGGTGCAGCCTTACTGCGTAGGTCGCGGAAAGACATGGCGTTTGGGCCCCAAGAGTCCACTGGGGCGCGGCGGCTCGCCTCTTTGCAGTTCGCAGGCCCAGCGCTCGCCGGTCTCTATAGTAACCTGCAGAGCGCTTGGAGAGCGTGCGGTCAGGGACAAACAAGACCGGAAGCTATGAGGCGCAGTGTGCGCACGCGCATGGCACTGACCAGAGGTGGCGCCTCGCACCGTTCATTGAGCGCTTTTGGCTCCGGTCATGCTGCGGCTTTCAATGCCTCATTTCTTTAGAGAGCACTATCACCTTATGTGACCGATTCTCCTTCGTACTTGTAAAAACGTAGCTAGACCCCACAGTCGAAGTCGCATAAAGTAGCCATAAAATGATGGGAACGAAGATATGCTACCCTCGTTAGAATAGGAGAGCTGCACCCGGAGGGATTTCGTGTACGTACAGCTTGTCAGTCTTCACGACAGGCCGGTTTCCATACCCTCGCGCCAGCGGTTGTCCTGGAAACCGTGGTTAAGTCTGAGACTGGAGCGGTAGCGCGGGTGTTAGCCCACCCGCGCGCGCGCATGTGTGGTAATGGTGTGTGTGCGTGTGCGTGTGCGTGTGAGTCAGTCCAGGCTCAGCAGGGAATCCTCCCTAGTGGCTGCTACGACAACCACGATAAAGAAGGGCTGGAGAGAGAAGAGACAAGCTAAGCCAAGAAGGGTGGGCGAAGAGAAAGGCAAAGCCCTAAGATGAGCAGGCACAGGATGGAAAGGAGTCTGTGACCTGGACATTGTGGTACAGACCAGGAGTAAGATCTTAAAAGTACTTAATGTGTGGAATAGGGCCACACATTTGTGGCTAGGTGACAGTGCATTTGGACAAAGAATCGTCTTCACAACGAATTGTTTTGGAACAATAAGAAATCTATAGCAAATAAATGAAACTCTGTTATCTATATTCAAAAACAATGGTTCATAAGCCTAAATGTAAAACATAGAACTGAATATTTTATAATGAAACGTGAAGGTTTTTTGACTGAGTTGATTCCAAATAGTTGTAGTTTTTATATTTCCACCATCAAGGCAAGAGTTCCAGTTTGTCCATATGCTTGGGGGGAAAAGGGATCATCTACACACTACCTGACAACTTGTGAGAAAATGGACAATTAGAAAAGTGTCACCCAGAACCACCTTCTCACCATGATTCCAATCTCCCCAGGTTTGTACCCCAAATCCTTTCTCCCAAACACAGATGAGGAAGTGAGGGCTCCTAAAGGTCACCCCATAGAATGACTTTCCATCATGCTAGAGCTAAATTTTTGTATGTGTCTTGGCCTGAATCTGAGGACCAGTGAATTTACTCTAGGTTTCTAGCCCCTCCCTCTGCCCTTCTCTCCCCCCCACCCCGCCCCTGACCTGATACCATCCTCTCCCAAACCAAGGGGTCTAAGATTAGAGTCTTACTGTGACATCATAAGAACAGTTGCCATGGGAGACCTGCAGACCCACCTCCTAGGCAGGGAAGAGCAGGCCCTGCTGCACACAAGGCCTGGCCACTCCTCCCGCACCATACTGGCCCTCCATGGAAGCCTTGGTCTGTGCATTCTCTGAGCTTCGAATAAGAGAAGGTGCCTGGCTGCAGGGAGGAGCGATAGCCCAAAGCTGCTGGGGAGACCCCAGGGACACGCATGCTTGGGGAGGGGAGCAACCCCCGATCTAGGCTGTATGACTCTTGCCCACTTTGCTTATACTGGTGCCAGCATACTCTTTCTAGGATAGGGAGGCACAAAAAAAGGCTCGAAGTGCCAAAAGAGAGTTCAGTGCCAAAGTCCTGGGCTGATTAGGCCCCTCTGTTAGGGAAGCAGAGAGGAGAAATGGGAATAGACAAGAATTGAGGCTGGATAGCCTGGGGGTGGAACCAATCATATAAGCTGGTACCTGCATTTGTTACCCAGATGCTGCGTCCACTGGCCACCACCCTCCTGCTCTCTCTCCTGCAGATGCAGTGAGCTGGGCCCCAGGACGCCCCAGCCACCCTGACACACCACCCAACATCTATGAGGGAGGGCTGGGGGCCCAGCAGCAGCAGGGCCCCGGTGCCCAGGGAAGCAAGCCCAAGAACTTCCGACTGCGTCACCTCCGGAGCCTTGCTCTCTACCTGCCAGGCCACATGCAGCCTGCTGGTCAATGTGGAAGCCACTGGTTAGGCCGGCTCATGGCTGGAGGCAGCCTGCCACGGCCTGAAAGCTCGGCCTGGTCCCTGGACCTGCCACAGGGGACCCTGGGTCCAGGTAACAGCCATTGCTCAACCCTTCTGGAAGCCCAACTGCCCAGGGACAACCTGGGAAATACAGGTGAGCTCTGTTAAGGAAAGATTGCAGACATGAGGGAAAGACCCACGGGAACTCAGACGGGCCTCTTCCAATCCCCAAACCTCTGCCAAGAACTAGGAAAGGACACAGTGGCCAGGACACACTAAAGTAATGTCATGCTCCAGGGGCCATATCTTGTTGAATTTCTCAATCTGTGTGCCCCACTATTGATTTCACACCGTGGATATACAGTCTAAGCCCTATGAAATATCAGGGTGGTAGTATGCAACTGGACCATGGCTGGAGCCTGTTGGGATGAGGGGTGTAAGACAGAGAAAAATCTGGGACTAAGAGTTCTGGGTTCCAATGCTCATTCTGTATTTTGATGGACCTTGGGCAACTCTCAGTTCGTTTTACAAATGAAGGGTTCATGACATTTTTAGCTTAACCCATGATGTCAATTTTTCCCTCCACCCCAATAGTTCTATCAAGGATGTAACACCAAACCCTTCAATTGTCTTGAAGGTTATAAGGTCTGAGGACACCAAGGTAGGGTTTCAGACTGGGTTCCTGAGTGACTTCTCTTTCCTTTTTCCTCAGCTTCCAGTTCCAGCATGGACCCAGCCAAGGGTGTCCCCTCCCAGTCTGGTCCCCCTGAGGGCTTGGGACTCAGGCCCAAGAGGTCCTGGAGAGCCTTGGAGGAGACCATGTGTCCCTTGTGCAAGAGAACCCGCTCTGGGGCCTTGGAGAGGTCATAAGGATCCAAAGTGCCAGGGCTGGGGACAGTAGGGGAAGGATGGCCGAGTAGGAGGCCAGGTTTACTGAGGAAGGGTTCAGTCCCAGCAGCAGCCCTCCCACTGAGATGGCCCCCATAGTTGCCCAGCTCCAGACCTGGGCAGTCTGGGGAAAGTACGAGGGAGGGAGGAAGTCCCATGGGAGGGACAGAAGAAATGGAAGCCTGCCTATGCCCTTGCAGCCTGCCCAAACTCCGGTCAGCCACTTGTACCTGGGAGGCCAGGCCGAGCAGAGAATCTGGTTCCTGAGAGACCAGGTAGTCCTCAGGTCTAATCTCAGTAAAAGCCAAGGCCTGCACCTTCTTGTCTGTTTGTTGTCAAGTCAATCCAGTCAAAACCGCCCTGCATCTATTCAGTCTTCCCTGGGGTACATGTAGAGTCATGAGCCAGGTCCAGGGCGGCTCTGTGGGTGAGGAGGTACTGAACATGGTAGCTCTAGAAGGCAGACGGGGTCTCCTTAGGCCTGAACACAGGGCATGGCATTCCAGGGACAAAGGGCTGAAATGTGGGTTTTGTTTAAGCAGAGAACCAGGAGGGGACCAGCCCAAGGCAGGCATGTTGGCCTGGACCTCACACTGCCCCACCGAGCTCATCAGCATTGGCCACTGGCCTTCTTCCAACTGGTCTAGACGTCCTGGAACCTGGGTGTTGACGACCTTGGGTGTTAATGTTTGGGGCTGGATCAAGACTTTGTTTTGGCCCATTCTGTGCCCTGGAGGATGTTTTGAAGGCTCCCAACAGTGTCAGCAGTACCCTCCTCCAGGCTGGAACCACATAAATTGTCTCCAAACATACCTACTTTGGTTGGGAGCAGAGCCAATTCCTCTGCTGACGATGTGCCTGCATTACCCTTGGAGATGGAGGACAGAAGGGTGGGGAATTATAGTTTCCTACTTGGACCAAGTCCTAGCTCAAAGCTGAGAGCCAGGGTGCAAGTAGGAATCTTTGAGATACAGCCCAGCTGCTGCTTTCACCAGGTTCACACGCCTCTGCAGGACAGCTGCCTGCATGGCTGAGCCACCAGGAAGACAGCAGCATGCAAGATCCAAGTCCTCAGCCCTCGCCCTCAAGGGCAAAGCACAAAGTGTTGAAAGCCAGCTACTAGACACAGGATGAGACTAGTGAAATTATTTATTTGTTTGTAACGAGACTACACACTACAATTTGTTCAACACTGGGCTGGACACTGCAGTAATTAGGGGACAGGAGGGAGGGATAGACAGGTCAAGGCTTTTGAGTTGGATTTAAGTATGTCCAAGTCAGAACTTCCTAGAAGGCCCCCTTGACCACACAGGGCAGAAATGAAAATCACATGATCACCGTTGACTGAAAAGGAAAGGGACACAGGGCGGGGCCTCAGCACACAACTGAAACCAGTCAGGACTGGCCACCTGCTGGCCAGTTCTGTCGAGGAAGGGGAATGCTTTTCCTGCCTTGTGAGTATCCCTCTCTGAGGCCAAGCAGCCTTGGGCTGGCTCTGGGGCCTGAGGGTTCCGAGCCAGGAGATGCTGCGGGAGGGAAGCAGTCAGTAATGCGACCTGTCAATAGAGCTGGTCCTAATCAGTCTGGCACAGTGAGGGAGCCCTGCTAAGGCTCCTGTGACACTGCAGCAATGCGGGGCAGCAAACATTTGGGGGCAGAAGGGAAGGGATGCTGAAGGTCCACAGGCACCAAGTGCCTTCTGCCCCAAGTCCCATGGGTCCACAGTAGCAGAGACACCCAATGAAGCTCAGCCTCCTCCTGTCTGCATGTGGCCAGGCCTTGAAGCTTTCAGCTTCTATAAGGTTGAGCAAGGAAGGAACCCAGAAGCCAAAAGCTACCTGTACTTGGCCCAGCTCCCAGTGTAGGTCGGCTATATGGAGCATGCCAGGATTCAACAGACAGGATGCTCCTTCTGGACATTACGAAGTGGGCAGCAGGAGACCTGAGGAACAGTTAACTGCCCATCTAACTGTTTATGGTGAGGACTGATTCCTGAAGCTTTAAGTTCTTGTGAAGGGCCAGTCCCAGCCTCCAGCCTTTCATGGAGGAGAACTGCTTCCATCGTCTAAGTGTCTTTATGACATTCCTATACAAAAACCTCGCATTCGCTTTGATGTGCCTCTTTATTCTAACGTTCCTGTGTCTTCAGGGTCAAAGGCATCCACATTCTTTTCACAGCAAAGTTCAGTCCATTTTGTAGGAAGATGAAGGAGCAGGAGGCAGAGAAGAGGCCCGGCAAGCCCTTTTCCAGTGAATATAGCCAATACCTGCCAGGCCATTGGATGGTGCCAGTGCATGGAGGCAGGACAAAGGCTCCAGGTGGAAGAAGTTTCCAGAAGCAGGAAGGAGGGCCTGCAGGGAAGAGAGCAGGGCACATGAAGGTACTGCAGGATGCTCACCTACTTCACACTCTGGCCTATTGGCTTTAGCTGAGTCAGGGTATACCAAAGCAGAAGACCCTAACCAGCCCACAGTCTATGAGTGGCCAGCAGGCTCCCTGGAACTTTACAGATGCAAGCACTGCCAGGTTCACACCTGGATGAGTATCAAACTCAGTGTGCATGGTCAATGGAATGGGCTCTGCAGTACCCACACCTCTTCCAGGTGTGCAATTCTTTGTTCCCTTGGATTGGGAGACCAGCTACCACCCTGGAGCATGATTAATATACACAGTGTCACTCCATTGAAGAAAACTGATTTTCCTTCTCCTAGTAGCTATCAATTGCAAATAGCTCCTTGCTTAACAGTGAGACTTTGTGTCTACTTCCTCTTTCCTATGCTGTGGTTGTTAATATCTTTAGCTTCTAGTTCAGGATTGGCAAATGTACGGCGTGAGGCTGTGACTTTCTTCCTTGTGCCTTCTCTCCACGTTGTTCTCAAAAGTGTACCTCTCACTCCCTGGCTCCTAGTACTCACTGCCCCCCATACTTACCCAGTGGTCTTTACTCCCCAGGCCCTACCAGCTGTTCCTACCTGTTGAAGACCAGGCATACACTCTGCTCCTGAGCCAGCATAGCACCGGGCCTACAGTGGGGGCAGGCCGATGGGCTGGCAGGTGGCCACCAGCTCCTTGCAAAGGACAGGAGAAGTCAGACAGACAGGAAAACAGGCTCCACAGAGTGCTAAGTGCAGAGGCCTGGGGGCGGCTGCCCCAGTGGTATCACATGGTACGGCTGTATTCGATGCCACCTTTGGTGGAGATACTGGACCATGGCAGAAAGCTGCAGAGCAGATTGTGGGCCTGGCGGTAGATCCTGTGTGGGATGGAGCAGGGACTCAGGTTGGCTAGTGCTGAGCCCAGGTGCTGGATATAGTCTGTGGGTTCTGTCAAGGAAGATACCGACATGCCACCATCTGCCCGCATGCAGCATCCTTGGAGTCTGACCAATGACCCACAGCATTGTTCCCACATGGCTCAATGCTTCAACTAGAGGCCAGGGGCCTATTAGACTTTAGAAAATACTAGAAAGGCTCATGAAGCAGATCATCAATTTGGGAAATAATATAGAGTTGAACCATTTGGGACAATCACCATAAAAAGATAATCACCATAAGGTAATTAACAAAGATCAGGGATGATCTGCAAGACAAGGGTTCCTAGTTCTCCAGAGGGGCAGAGACCACCCCAACAAAGAGATGTTTCAACAGTGCTAACCCCTAGATGCCCATACATGCCTGACTTCATGTGAGCTAGGTCTATGGAGCTTGGGGTCACCTCTTTTACTTCCCTCTAAAATGAATCATTTCTTCAAAACACCCACAGGTACATGTGGTCTATTCTGGTCTTTACCTCATGGCTGCTGGAACATCTGGCTTCCTTTCCACCCAACAAGGACACAATTAGGAGAGAACTGGGGTGGATGCAACTCCATGAGGAAGTCTTAACCCAAGTGTATTCTGCGTTGTTTACTCTCTGCTCTGCATCACAGGCTTAGGTGGGACTTGTATCTACTACATTTACTGCTGATGCCTTGACCAGGAGACCTTCCATATTTCTTGAGTGGGTGGATCAACCCTGGGCCCAGAGAGTTAAAACCCAACCTTTCTGCTGGGCTAAAGCTGCCAGGGAGTACCAGTTTTCCTAATATATGTAACCAATCAGGTGCATTAGACTATTAGACCCGCACATACCCTGAGCTATTCAGGGAACAACACTGCAAAACTAAGCCAGTGACTGTCACCTGAAGGTGGCCACAGTCCCAGCTGACCCTCTGGTTCTTCTAACCCTCTGGCCAGGAAACCATAAAGCCTTCTCCTGTTCCCTTCCAGCAGTAAAGGATATAAGATGGTCCAGGGAGGGTGGCCGCCATTGATGTAGAGAACATAGGTGAAGCCATCCTTGAGGACACCTCGGATGGAGTAGTAATAGGGCAGATAGTGATGCTGCTTAAAGTCTCTGTTTTCGTAGAAGTTTATTGCTGTATTATTGGTGGTGAGGACATGTAGGTAGATGGCTTTGCAGTGGTCCTGGGCAGTGGTTGAAATATGGTCCTTTAAACTTTCTAATAAAAGGGAACCTAGGGAAAGGAGAGAAGGTTTCCCATAGCAAGCTAGTTAAGAGGACATAGATGAAGCCACAGCTTCTGCAGGAGTCTAGAGAACTATGTACCCAGATCTGAAACCAGCTCTGATCCCTCCCACTTCAAAGTCCCTAAAAGACCCTAGTCAGACAGAACCCATGAACTGTATACCATGTGGACCACAGATGTACCCTGGAGGTGCTATGGGTCCACAGGGGATACTTACCAACCTTTCAGACAACAAAAAGTGTAAACCAGAACCCAGAGGATGTGAGAAAGACAGGCCTGGGTTGACGTCTACTCACTGCTGTGTGGTGTGGAGTAGGGTGAGAATTTGATGACCTAGGGTCTGATTAATGCTGGAAACTGCTGGTTCTTCATTTGTTTATGGTTCTTATTCTGAACTGAGAATATCTTGCCAATACAATGTCTGACAACATAGGAGAGGTAAGGGAGGTCTAATCCTCCCTGAGGCTGTCCTAGGCGTTGTTGCTGATCTGTTCATGACAAATTTGGGAGGGATGTAAAAAGATGAAGGCCAGTGGGGTGGGAAGATGCACTGGGAGGATATTAACTGCCCCAAAATTTGGGAAAGGAACTGAAGACCTCAGAATAAGTAACTGATAGGGGTGGAGGGCTTGGGGGGGGTAATAACTAGTTGGAGGGGGCAGCAATAGTTCAAACCATGAGCTTTCTACCTCTTACCTATGCCGTGTTTTCTGAATTCTTTCACTACTCCCAGACTTAGAATGTATGCAACTTGCGTATCCACAGGGAAGCTGGAGGCTAGAATATCTCCATCCTAAAGGCAAAGTCAGAGATAAAGTCAGGGCAACATGGAGTACACAAAGCAGAAGCCGCCTGGGTTCTGTGTCCACTCTCCATAGCCTGAGATGAACAGCCACAAGGTGGGAAGGGGCAGAACAGAGAGGACGAAGGACACACCCCTGACCTGCAGAAACAAAAGGATGTAGGCAGAATGCTGCTACCGTGGCAACACACCCACGAGGAGCTGCTCTTGCGGATGGTGGACTGGATGGGTACCTCACGCCAGAACCAACCAGTAGGTTAAGCATTACAATAGGTTAAGACAATGACTGGGAATGGGGATGTAGCTAAATAACAGAGTGCATGTTTGGCAAACACAAGGCCACTGGTCTGATCCCACTACAAAAGAAAAACAAAACAAAACAAAAATATGCTTGTGCAGAGTGGTCCCATATAGGCTGTCAACACAGTCACCATGATGTGAGACAGTTGACAAGTGAAAAGCCGCATCACATTTGTGTGTCGGGTGAGCAAGCATGTGCAACGTGTCTGTGTGGAGGTCAGAGGACAACTTTAAGGTTGGTTCTCTCCCTCCTCCATGTGGGTGTTGGGAACTCAGGTTTTTACTACTGAACCACATTACCAGTCCAAGTGAAAAGTTTTAAAGGTTTATAAAGAAAAACATGCTATCCCTGATGACCACGAAAAGCAGGGACAGCTATTTATCTGCTCTGCTGCCCATGCTGGGCAGAGTGGTACACTGTGTTGCAATATAGCATGGAACTCCATGAATATCTCTTGTTATGGACACAAATGCCTCATGAATCATACTTAGACCATGAGTTCCTCATGTTATGTTATTCCAACCTCTTAATAACAAGAAATACCTGCCATTTGTAAGGGTTTCTCTTCCAAGAAAGGATACTGGCAACTGGGCTTTTCTGCTTCCCATTTACTAAGTAGCTCCCACATGTTAGGCATGCGCTGGGCCAGGCCCTGCTCCCGAACCCTCCTTAGCACTCCATACTACAGACACAGCAAACTTAGGGAGGGGATAAACTCACTGTTCTAGTTAACAGAAGCTCCCAGGCTAATGATGCTAGCCAAAAGAAGGGCCCCCAAGTCTGTGGAAAGGGTAAGCATAGTTAATGTGCATGGTGGAAGTGGACAGTCACTGAGAAAAAGCCCCAAGCAGAGATCACAAAGAAACAAGGTCTGGGCAAGTGAAACAGTATCCAAGGGCTACTGGCCCTGCTTTCTCTCTATCTTAGCAATGAACAGTGGGAGACAGTGGCTCAGGAGTAAGCTAGGCTGGACAAAACAAACAACCAACTATGTGCCAAGATATACTTATGTGTGAAATGGGGCAACCTTTAGTAGCCTGGGTTTTTAGAGGACATGTTTCTTCTTCTTCCACTAGGAATGGGACTCAGGGCCTCCTGAATATTAGGCAAGCACTCTGCTATTGAGCTGCAGTACCAATCTCATCTCCTGCACTTTTAAAGAAACAACCTCAAGCAAGCTGGGTGTGGGGTGCACACCTTGGACTCCAGCACTTGAGAGTCAGAGTCAGGAGGATCTGAGTTTCAGGCCAACTAGTACACATGAAACCCTGCCTCCAGATGGATGGATGAATGGATGGATAATAAATAAATGGTAGGCAGGCAGGCAGGCGAAAAACAAGAAAAAATAACCTCAAGTCAAACACAATTCTTTGCTGGTTAATGGGATCCTCTCTCCTTAAGTAAATAATACTGCTTTATTGCCATGACCAAAATTACCAGGAGATGCCTAATGGAAGTCAACCACAACCATGGTTCATAGCTGTGGCCTTATAGTCTGCACTGAAAGCAGTCACCCAAATCCTTGAGAGGTCCATGACATTGGATAAAAAGAAATACATTTTCACTAATCCCTAACTGAAACCTAGTGCTTCCCTCCACAAATTACAGCAATATTGGTGCTTCTGTGACAATGCCAACAGGTATTTTCATGTCACATAGCAATGGGGCATATTCCTAACGTATCACTTCTGCTTGTTCTTATTTCAAAATGGCCATCTTTATTAAGTTCACTAGTATACTGGTTCTATTCATTATTCATCTTATTTCATGAACAAAAGTACATGCCACTGGGGCTGGAGAAATAGCTCAGCAGTTAAGAACATGTATTGTTCTTGCAGATGACCTGAGTTTAGTAGTGGGCAGCTCACAACCACCAGTGATTCTAGCTGGTGGGAGGGGGGTGGCGGGGGGAGGGATCTTCTTTGGTCTTTGTGAGTACATTAATAATGATAATAGTTAAACCAACGAGATATGAGTGTTGTTCGCTGCTGATTCCTCAGGTCACAAGCTGCTGAGACACAGCCAGAGCTGGCAATGTGACCCATTGCAACATCCCTTTTCAGCTGCCACAAAGGCCAGGCCATTGCGGCACAGACATACCTCTTTATGTATTTTGGTCCTATTCTTTATTTCAGCTACTATCATTCCCACGATAGCACCTCTGTAGGTTGCAGCAAGAGAGAAGAACTTCTTGTTGGATGTGATATCATGATACCATGAGTCTGGGTACCTGAGGGAGAGAGCACACTCCAGTGAGTCACAGGGACCCTGGGCTGCCCTGCCTATCACTTAACAGTCTCTAGGAGTCCCACAGCTGTCTTCTCAAAGTAGACATCTGTCCACATGGAAATTCTTTATGTAAGAGATGTCTTTTTTATATAAAACATCCATTTTTAATGTAAGAGAGAGAAACCTCCAATGAAACTGTCTCCCTAGATAGTTCCTAGAGGGACAGCACAAGGCAGCCTGCTCCTCAGTGTGAGCTGAGACCCTAGGCCCGCAGTGACCCACGGACACTTGGGTGGCCTATGAAGAATTCTGAGAGGTCTGGTGAGACGGCTCAGCAGGTGCAGGTGCAGGTGCAGGTGCAGGTGCTTGCAGGAAACTTGAGTTCCACGAGGTGGAAGAGAGAATGGACTACTGCAAATAGTCCTCTGTGAGACTTTTCAGCACCGAAGAAGTGATTCAAGGAAGAGCCAAAGTTCATGAGTATGTAGAACAGTTTACAATATCTTTCTAGACATGGGTGGGGACATGACTCATGGCTAAGGGATAGGAGAGGCTAACAGCCAGGTACTTGAGGAGTGTACAGGTACAACTCAGTGTGAATCTTTACAACCCCAGACAGGCCTCAGCAGGGACTCATTGCTATAATGGCACTCTTATTTCCTGGAATTACTTTCAGTAGTGGGATGGCTAAATTGAAGGATAGTTTATGTTTTATCTTATAAGGCACTATTAACCCACATTGCTAAGAAGTTGGCAATGCATATTTCAACAGAGATGTATGACAGGGGGAATACGCCCCTACTTATCTGCTGTCATGGCGTAGCAAGTGTAAGGCAAGTATAAGGCGAGGAGTCACAAAATACCAATGACTTAGAGGACCACACTGAGCTTTAACGTTTCAAAATACCAATGACTTAGAGGACCACACTGAGCTTTAACGTTTCAAAATACCAATGACTTAGAGAACCACACTGAGCTTTACTGCTTCAAAATACCAATGACTTAGAGAACCACACTGAGCTTTAACGTTTCAAAATACCAATGACTTAGAGAACCACACTGAGCTTTAATGTTTCAAAATTTGTGTCGGTTTTTCTCACTGAAAAACTGTTTTGCATATCATACAATAATCAAGAAATAAAACAAGTAAAAACACAGGAACCCACAGGTAATCCACTCTACTGAAAGTACTTAACTTAGTAGTACGTGGGGGCTCAGTAAATGACCCCCCGCAGAACAGGTCTACAGGTGAACTCAGGCCTCCTGCCTCTTGTTTCTCATTCTCTCCCCTAAGGTAAGTCAATCTGATTTTTTGTGCAAGAGGTAGCCATGAAGAAATTCTTTGTCCTATCTTGTCTGATAGTAGGTCTAATATTACTATTAATCTGATTTTCACTTGATTAGATTGAGAAGTGCCCATGAGATTAGTACAGCACATTTCTGAGTGTGTCTGTCTGTGGTGGGCCTGGTTGGGAGAAGCAGGTCACTGAGGGCATGGCTACAGGGGCAATAGCTTGCTGGTGGCCTCTGTTACTACTCTTCTTTACCCCCTGTCCACTGTAGCCCCCAACCTCTGAAACTGTGTGGAAAATAAGCCTTGTCAGCCTTAAGGTGTTTCTGTCGGGAATTTTGGTGACAGCAATGATAAAACTAACACATTCTTGTTCCAGGAGGGTCCTAGCCTATACGCAAAGAAAGACTGCTACAGAGAGTCCTCACTGTGCTCTCCACCTTTAATCTATTTGGTGTAGATGATACTCTTTGTCTAATAATCTCTATATGACAGTCCACGCTTCATTGAACCTAAGCACAGAAATGGAGAACTCGTCTTTGGGTCCTTACTATAAAGGTCAAATAAATGTGTTACCTCTTCCCCTGCTAACATGCATGTCTTGTTAAAGTGCTGGCCATGATTGTCATAAGGGCAGGATCATTTTCCTTCCTCCACAGTATATGGAGGTTTCTATCCTAGGCATATTTTTAAATGAAAGAGGAATGTAGTATGCATTTGTTCTCTGGTCTGCTTTCACTTCATTTGGTAAAACAAAGAGGAAGGAAGGGAAGGAATTTTGTCAAAAAATACACTACTTTAACAGATTTTGTTCCTGGACGACTAACCTTTTTAAACAGAGGATGTTTCCCACACAGCCCTCCTTGGCTTAAAACGTACTGGTTTCCACTTATTGAATCTAGTATTCCAGGCATGTCACCATACCAGCAACACTGCATTTTTACATATACATATCCTAATGTATCTAACCCATTCCTTACACTGAAGTTGGTCCTAAATTTCCTGGTTACATGCAGCACTGGACATCTTTGTGAGTTACATTTCTCACAGGACCTTTTAAAGAAGGTGAGTAGGCCCAATGTGGAGGCCCGAGGTCCACTGCCTAGATGGCCAACTTCAGATAGCAACTATGAACCATTATGCTCCTGCCAGACCCATTGCTGCCTCTTTCAGTCTCAGGAACCACAGATCTGTGCATCCCAGTCACTGGGAACACAGCGTCCAACACTCACTCAATGGGGAACCAGTCGCCACACAGGTGCTTCACAGTGTCTATGTCATCGTGGCAGAGGAGGCGCAGGCTGACCTCGCTGAGAGCACTGGAAGGCACCACCTCTGTCATTCACACCTGCGGGGAGAGGAGACAGCATCACCTGGAGGCTTTCTTACCTGTGCCTTCGCTAAACTAACCCAGGAGGTGGGTGAGATAGGAGGTTGCTAAGAGCGTCCCATGATGGAGAGAATGTTCTGTGTGATTGCCTCCACTCTGCAGATGAAGAAGAGCTGTTTGCCTCTGATCCATGTCTCTCTCCTCTCCGCTTGAGCTGCACCCCGGCTTCAGTTTTCCCCCAGAGTGACCGCAGCTCCTGCCTGGCTGGTTTTTTTAATCTCTTAACTGCTTCCCTTCACCTGGAGGAAGCAAATGATTTTAACAAGTCTGACTCTGGCTCAGTGTCAAAGACAACATGGGCTTAGGCAACTCCTTTCAGCAGTCTGGTGGATGGAACCCAGCAAACAATCAAATATTAGGGCAAATGGCACTGTCTTCACTACCAGAAAGGCACAGAACTGCTTTTCCTCCATGTCTAGTAATAGAAACTTTCAGACATGGGGGGTAACCAGCTTTGCAGGGTGGGGGAGCAGGGGCTACTGAGGATCTCACCCAAGGCTACACTGCCAGCCCTGTCTTAGTGTGACACAAGATCTCTCTATGTTGTCCAGGCTAGTCTGGAACCCACTCTGTGGCCTAGGCCCAGGGAAATCAAGTGCTAAACTCTACCAAAAGGGGAAACAGCCACTCTTTTAAGTTGGAAGTAGGTAATTCAAAAGAAAAGGAAGACACATTTATCCTATTTTTTTTGCGGGGGGAGGGGGAGATTGTGTAGCTAATCTCCCATGGCTGGGTCGAAGGACTTTACAGAATGACCAGGTGAAAGCAGAAATGCTGACAGACTCAGGGTCACCTTTGTGGAATCTCAAAAGGAAATCTCCAGTAAAACTCCTCAGAGTGTGAGGCCACAGGCGAGGGCTTCAGGGGCAGGTACAAGGCACAAACACAAACAAGCACTTGGCACTCAGGAATCAGTATGCACAAACAAGGAGAGACCCCAATCCACGGTCAGTCTCTCCAGTGTTCTGTGCCTCTGGCTATGACCAGCGGGACACTACCCAAGCCTTTGGGAGTTCTCTTGAAAACTGCTAGGCCTGAACCTAGCCACAGCCTTCAGACCCAACCCACTGGTTGCAGTGGGTGCTGGACAAACAGCAATAAGGGACGCGACATCCAAATGACAGACACTTAACGTTTCCCATCAGATCTCTTCTAAAGGCCTATCACATCAAAGATACAGAAGTTAATGAAAGAAAGAAAATGAAAAGACACAAAGACATCTAGAATCAAATGTAATGCCCAAACCTGTACCATGAAAAAGAACATCAAAACATTTAGTGAATCTTAAACACAGATTGGCTGGTAGATGGAAGGCATTAAGAAACAAGTGTTAATTTTCTTAATGAGGTAGAGGTCCCACAGGACAAGGCCTTCTTTCTTGCTGAAACATTTTGGAGCAAGGTATCCTGGTTTCTACTTGAAATGGTTTAGGTTTTTTGGTTTTGTTGTTTGTTTGTTTGTTTTGTTCTTTTAAGTGTGCTGGAATCACAACATTCCTGAGTCAACCCTGAGATCCCTGGGCCGCAAGGCAGCTCTGTGCTTCAACTTCTCAGCCATGTCTTCGGGAAGAGTCTAAAACCTTCCCAGAGTCATGGGAAACTTCTACAAGATTGACCCCACATATTTGTCTGTGGGCTAGGCACGCTCCTCTGACATTTGTCAATAGCATCTTTCCCGCAAATTCCTCCAACAGGCTATAAACACGTGTGTCACCTCCCTCACCTTACGAACATGTGCTGTGACGCATCCCCATACATCTGCTGCCTCCTGTTTTCCTCCAACAGCCCCTCCTACTCACCATGCCCAGTTTCTCCCTTGCTTGTAAGAATACTGTCTGCTGCCTCTTTTCCTCAGGAACCCTCTCACATTTGCGCTGCTCCCGCTCAGTCCAGCACTTCCGCAGACCCTCATCTCTCTTCATTTTACAGCAGAGGCAAGCAGTCACGTCACAGCCTTCCCTCATCAAAGCATGAAGCACATTACTCAAAGTTCCCCCACGTGCACGGCAGGAGGCGTGGGCCCAAAGGGTCCCTGTGATATTCCACACACAAGGCTTACTGATTTGAAAAAATGAAATTTAAGCTACTTCCTTTAGGAAAGATGGGGAAGAAAAAGAAACTCACACTAGTGATAGATACAGGACATGGTCTGGTACAGTTAGCATTATGGGTGCAGGGCCTGAAGTGGATGATGAAGGAAGCAACACACTATTCCCAGCTCGCTTGTTCAAATGAGCAGCTGCCTGTGGGTGAGACGGCGTCTCCATAGCTGCCTGTGATGCTTCCAAAACTGCAGAGTGGGAAAATGAATAATTTTCAGAGTGACAAGAAACAAACACCCACCTCTCTATTTCCAAACAGCATCCCTCTTAAAACCCAAACCCTCATGCTCTGAAGGGATGCACACTAACCCTAATCATGGCACTTAGGAGATGAAGACAGGAGAAGCAGGTGTTCAGAATCATCCATGGCTTGGGGGAGTTTGAGGCCAGTGTGGAATACACGGTTTCAGATATGCTTGTGCATATCTGTGACCCAGGCCTAGATAACTCAGGCAGTGTAATTGAGTTTGAGACAGTGCCAACCAGCCCCTGCCCCTCCCCCAATCCACACAGATCTAGTTTGCATATTTGGCCACACGTTCATTACATCTCATGTAAAAATAGTATCAGATGGTGAGGTCCAGAGTCCAGACCCAATCTTTTACCACTGAGTTAAAAATTCTCTGCATTTCAAACTAAAAACCTATCTAATCATTAATTTATCAAATTTGTAAGACAAAGTCAGGCTTTTCTCAGGAGTTCAGAAACTGTTGGCTGCACAGAGGAGCGTGGCACATTGGGGTCCCATTTACTATAAACTACAGCGTGTAGAGGAATCCCATGACAAAAAAGTACAGTAGTCAATGTAGTTGGGGAGGGATACCACTTCTTCCTCCAACCATAGAGACCACAAAGGAAACAGTGGAAACCCTTCCCTAGTATCCTCCCCAGAAGTGTACCAAGTTCTAGTATAGGCATTAGATAAGGCATCTAAATGGTGTCTATCTGTTTGGCTAGTTGGCAGCTCTTTTCATGTTCAACATCAGGTTGGAAGAGCAGGGACACAGATGGAAAAGAGAACACAAGACAGAGGTCAGAAGAGACCAAACCCTATGACCGTATCACTGAAGAGCTCTGGGTTAGTCTCCTGTCTCAGTTTGCTTTCTTTTGCTATGATCAACCATTCTGACCAAATGCTGTCCGGAAAGGACAAGGCTTATTTGGCTGACACATTCTGGTGACAGTCCATGACTGAGGGAAGCCAAGGCAGGAGTGGAAGACAGGAACCTGGGAGCAGGAACTAGAGATCATGGAGGGATGCTGCTTACTGGCTAGACCTTCACGGTGTGCTCATGTTTTCTTATACAACATGGACCACCTACCGGTGTGTGGTGCCACTCCCAGTAAGCTGGGTCCTCCAACACCAAGCCATTAATCAAGAAAAAGCCCTACAGATTTGCCTACAGACAATCTGATGGAGGCATCTACCTCAGTTTAAGGGAGAAATCACCCTCCCTGCAGCAGGCTAGCCCCCTGCCTCAGTAATCTTTCCATCTCTAATGGGGGTTGTTTTTAAAGTGTTTTCTCTCTCCTCTGTTGTTTCCATCCACGTTCCTCCAGAATAAAACAAATATATGACAGTGTTAAATTTTGTATAAATAACCACCTGATCACAAAGGGCGATGGTGGCACATGTCTTTAGTCCCATTGTGAGTTCGAGGTCAGCCTGGTCTACACAGCGAGTGCCTGGACAGGATCCAAAGCTACAGAGAAACCCTGTCTCGAAAAACCAAAAACCAAACCAAACCTACCTGATCATGAAGTCAACTTATTTTGCATTCAGAATCAAACCCAGGCTTCAAGCGCCCTAGGTACTCACTCACCACCAAGCAGAAGTAGCAGCAGATCTTAAAGGATCATCATGCCCTGTCTGAATTTTCCTCAACAATCATGACAGATGTTTTTGTTCTCTACTCCTCACTTTCATATTATTTGAGCCTTTTTCAATGAGCTTGGGTTATTTTGTTATAAAAAAAACCTCAAAGACTTTTAGATATAGTGTGAAAATTCTGAACATGTTTGTATTAAAATAATCTCATGGGTTGTTTTAATTAATGACAAGGAAACCTTATAGTGTCTTCAAATTATGAGTAGAATTAAGACCTACTAAGTGCTGCAGACAAGGAGCTACCTTTTAAAGTCTTTTTCAAGACATCTGTGCACTGATGCTGGAAATAACTGTTCTAAACACAGAATAAAGCAAGGAGGCACTTGGAGGTGGACTGACTGCTGAGTAGCCTTGCAAAAAACATCTTAAAGGGCTACTGTGTAAACAACAAAGAGCTGGGGTGGTGGTGGTGCATGCCTTTAATCCCAGCACTCAGAAGGCAGAGGCAGGGGATCTCTGTGGGGACACCAGACCTTGAGCAGAAACCCACTTCCCCTTCGACCTGGGAGCAGGCAGCTGTGAGATAATGTTTACTGAAAACAATTCAGTGCTATAAAGCTCTTGATAGGGCTCAGATAAGGGCTCGCTCACTGAAAAACCATGACTTTGACACCCTCTATGGCTAGATGCCTCTTCCTGTTCCCCTGCTGTGTCTCCCTGATTCTGGGGCCGGGAGATTAAACCACCAGCCAGGAGGGTGAGAAGTCTGGAAAGAATTGTATGTAGATGGATGGCAGAAGTCCTTAAAAAGGGGAAACATTTTTTCTTGGAGAGACTTCTCTCTCCTAAGTGGACTTGGGGTCTCCTCCTGAGCTGACTGGGGAAGCATAAAGTTTTCTTAAAGCAACCGACCGGTCTCTGTGTCATCTATCCCGACCACCTCGCTACATTCTCGGATGCAGGCTGCACAGCAGGTGCGACAGATCTCTGTGAGTTTGAGACCAGCATGGTCTACAAGAGCTAGTTCCAGGAGCCTCCAAAGCCACAGAGAAACCCTGTCTCGAAAAAAAACAAAAACAAGCAAACAAACAAACAAAACAACAAAGAATGAACACTAGTGCTTATACAAAATCCAAAATTAAAAGCTTTAACAAGTTATAAGGTTGCCATTTCACAAAAGGCTTTTAAAAAATCTCTCTTGCCAGGTGGTGGTGGCACATGCCTTTAGTACCAGCACTCAGGAGGCAGAGGCAGGCGGATTTCTGTAAATTCCAGGCCAGCCTAGTCTACAAACTACACAGAGAAACCCTATCTCAAAAAATCAAAACAAAAACCCCTCCTATTTTTAGAAGGTGAGGGATGCTCTTAAACTACATGTGAAAATGCATGAGTTGCAGATGTAGTACACCGGTAAAGCATTTGCCTAGTGTGCACAAGGCCCTGGATTCAATCCTTACCACTGCAAAAGAAAATAAGTGCAGGGGCTGCAGAGTTGGCTCAGTGGTTAGGAGCACTGTCTGGTCTTCCAGAGAACCCAGGTTCAGTTCCCAGCATCCCCACATTGACTCACAACCATCCTTACGTAAGTCCATTTCTAGGGGTTTTGAATGTCCTCTTTTGACTTCTGCTGGCGCGCGTGCATACGTGCACACACACACGCGATAAATATATATATATATATATATATATATTTTTTTTTTTTTTTTTTTGGTTTTTCAAGACAGGGTTTCTCTGTATTGTTTTGGAGCCTGTCCTGGAACTAGGTCAGTAGACCAGGCTGGTCTCAAACTCAGAGAGCTGCTTGCCTCTGCCTCCCAAGTGCTGGGATTAAAGGTGTGCACCACCAACGCCTGGTGATAAATATTTTTTTAAGAAAAGAAAAAAAAGTACAACAGAAGGCAGAAATTAAAATCCTGTGTTCATCCCACCCCCATACAACTGTCACTAGTTTCTTTCAGGTCCTACAAGAGGAATGGTTTTCCATAAGGAGAGCGCTTGCCTGGCAAGCCACTGCTAGGCTGTGTATGTGCCCATACTCTGTTCACTTGCTAGGCAGTGCTTTGTACACACGTCAGAGAAAGGCTAAAAGAAGAGGCCAGACGACAAGTCAAGTAACCTGAAACTCAGGGCAGAAAAGCAGCAGCAAATGTCTGGCCCAGAGAAGTGCTGGATATCAGAACACAGGGGTGAGCTTCTTAGGAACAGGCTACAACTGCAGTTTCAGAGACAGAAATTCGAGTAGCACTCCACATTTAGTTTATTTATTTTTTGAGACAGGGTTTCTCTGTGTAACAGCCTTGGCTGTCCTGGAACTCACTCTGTAGCCTAGACTGGCCTCAGTCAGACTCAGATCCACCCGCCTATGCCTCCTGAGTGCTGGGATTAAAGGAGTGCGCCACCACCACCTGGCTTCCATAGCACTTTCTGAACACCACAGGAATGACAGAAACCCCATGATATTAACATATTTTCCAGAAAAGAACCCTTTCAGTACTTAAGGAAAAAACACTCACCTATTTCCAAATCTTTGTGCCCAAATCAAGCCCATTTCAGGAACAAATGGGAAAAGTCTTTTTGAGTCAGTCTTGCTAGCAGCCTGTACTGTTAGCACAGGTTGGCATCAAACTCTTGAAAAGGATTTGCTTTTATTTTAGGTTTGCCATCAAGTATGTTTGTGTACTCTTGAGGGTGCCTGCTGTCTGAAGCCAGAAAAGGGCACTGGACCCCCTGGAGCTGGAGTCACAGATGACTGTGTGGTCTGCCATGTGAGTGTTTGGAATTCAAATCCAAAGGGGTCCTCTGCAAGAAGAGCAAGCACTCGCAACTACTGAGCTGTTTCTCCAACCCCCACCCCCGGGTCAAACTCTTGATCCTCCAGCCTCAGCCTGACCTCACCGGGGCTGGGATTACAGACATGGGCCATCACACCAGCTTTGTTTTATTTATTTTAAAGATTTGTTTATTATTGTGTGTATACCTACATGTATTAATGCACACTATATGGGTACTCAGTGCCCACAGAAGCCAAAAGAGGGTGGGCAGCAGGTCACCTGGAGCTGGAGTTTTAGGAGGCTGTGAGCAGCCAAGTACGTTAGGAACCAAACCCACATCCTCTGAAACAAAAGCATTCTTAACTGTGAGCTATCTCTTCAGCCTTTTCATTTTGTTTTATTTTTTTGGTAACAATAATTACTCCACAAAAAACAAAGCTAGGAGCTTTTAAAACCAGTCTATTGTCCGTAATCCGTGCTTACTTGAAAACCCATATATCTCAGGCTGACAATCCTCCTGCTTCAACCTCCTGAACGTTGAGATTACAAGTCTGTGCCATTATGCCCTAAAAAGATCTTTTAAAACATCAGAGCACCTTCATCTTATGGAGACAAAGGCAACAAGAACTTTCCCACCATTTCTCTTTGCCTCTACTCTTAACCACCTTCTCTTCCTCGGAACTTTGCATCTGTATTTTAATATTTATTTCTAGCATCAGTGCCCAAAATGCCATGCTATTCCTAGGATGCTGGCTTTAAAAAACAGTATTAAGGCCGGGCAGTGGTGGCGCACACCTTGAATCCCAGCACTCGGGAGGCAGAGGCAGGCGGATCTCTTTGAGTTTGAGGTCAGCCTGGTCTACAGAGCAAGTTCCAGGACATACAGAGCTGTTACACAGAGAAAGCCTGTCTTGAAAAACCAAAATAAACAATAAAAATAAAAGGCAGTATACCAGTCTATTTTAGGACAAAATAGGTAGTCATCTACTTAGAAACTTAAAAAAAAAACCCCAACATTTGAAAATCTGTTGTAATGCCTACAATTGACCCCCCCCCCCCCCCACACACACAGTCTTTCAACCCCTTGGACAGGGTCTCTCTATGTAACCCTCACTGTCCTAGAACTCACTCTATAGACCAGGCTGATCTTGAACTCACAGAGATCCACCTGCCTCTGCTCCTTGAATACTGGGATCCAGGCGTGTGCCACCACATGTGGCGGAACCTCACTTCATTTTTTAACCTTACATAATTTTGGGGGTGCTTCTTCTCCTGGCCAGGTGGACTCTGACTGAGGCAAGACATGGAAAGGAGTCTGAGCTGAAACACAGCACAAAGTTAACCTTCACTTGCCATCACTTTCCTGACTTCGTTAGTCTGAACCTTAACTCAGGGTTATGGTATGTCCCTGCCAACCTTGGGGCTGAAGCACTCCAGTTAATTAAAGTACTGCTTGGCATTACTTTAGATCCCAAACCACTTTCTGCAGGAAGCCCTGGTTGTCACCACATAAGCACTGAGCAACAAACCCCCTTAGTGCTCAAAAAGAAGAAATTCTTGTATATTTGTGTTTGTCATGTAAACATATGGGTCAGAAAACAGTATGAGCATCTGGGCTTCAGACAGATCCTCAACTGTCCTGCCTGCCAGCCTCCATCAGAGGCCATGTTAAGAATGATGTACAGGAATGGAAATCTGCCCTGACATTACCAAAGTTACTTAAAAATATTTGCTGAATCAAATTCTGTCTGAACTGGGCCTGAACTCAAGTTCTAAAGACTCCTGTCTCCATCTGTCTGTTTCCTGTGACTTCAATATGGGACTCATTATTCATCTGAACTACTACTTAGGGGGCCACAGCCATGTTGCACTAAGAGTTAAACTGAGGTTCCCATAGTCTCTAATCATTAGCTCCTCCCTGTGCTTCCTGTTCTTGGTTCAGGACTATCTTTAATCCCTCAGATCTGGCATCCAGAAATCATTTCCCATTCCTGTCAGAAGCATGTTGCTATGCAACTTGGACAAGTCAATCTAAAGATACTCTCCACACAGTGTGTGTGTATGGGTGAAATAAACAGTGACAAAGTCTCTTCAAGTTACAACTAAAAGAGGCTAAGGACAGGACACACAGACTTTAAAAACAAAATTTGTGTTTTAGGTTGGTCCTGGTGTACTGACGCCAGACTAGGCCTGATTTGGTGACAAGTTTTAACAATTTTCATAGAAACTCATCCAGGAAAGCCTGATGTGGAACCATCTAGGTCTGTGATTTGAAATTCTAGCAAACCACAACCTGTTGGAAGAGCCAATACATACATACCCCACTATCAAAGGGCATATGTGCTGTATACTTTCTTACTACATACATACATACACACACACACACACACACACACACACACACACACACACACACACACCCTAAAAGAGGGAGGTGAGAAGACTTATACTTACTGTCATGACTAGCCTATCACTTTGGAACGATAGCCGCTCAGATTCCTAATTGAGCAGTTCACTGCTGAGTGGATATGCTTGTGTGTGTGTGTGTGTACTTACTTGCTTTCTTTTTTTGTTTTTCCCAGATCCCCACCCCCTTCCCCCGATGTTTCAACTGGTAACACGGTCACAGGACTTCTAAAACTTTCCTCCATGTCACATGGCTATGTGGAATCAAGTATTTGCATAAATGATTTCTGAAGCAATATGACTTTGCCTGCTGGGTCAGACAAACATTAAAAGTGGTTTTATGTTTTCAGTACTTTGACAAAGGAAAACCTGTAACTGGCAACTTTCTCTTGATTAGCACTCCAGGCACTACAGTGAGCCACATTGTTAGGATGTTATTTTCTTTCAAGACCAAAGGGTGACAAGAATAACCCAAAAGTAGGCTCAAGGACTTGGCAGAGTTAACAGATCAATGAAGCAGCCAAAGTTTATGTTTATTGCAGCCTGCGCTCCCCAAGCCTTGGGTTTTGACACCAGCGGGGCAAGCAGGCATTTGCTGAAGATTCAGGAAAAGCAAGGAGTAACCCCTCCAAAACCCCGATCCAATTTTCCCAAAAGACAAACAGCACTGCCACAGACCCACTCTTCTCCTTGGCAAATGTTTCTTCCAATTCAGAAGAGACAAGCCAGAGTCGATTATGGAGGGTCAGCTTGGATAGTAAACAGAAATGGAAGGTTTCCATTTGCCGGAATACCAAAAGTACTACTGGAATGAAAAGACACAGAGGGATCCCAAGCCAGGGTCCTCGGCTTTCACGAGTGCAAGCAAGTTGGCAATTACTACCGGCGCAACAAGTCCCCAAAGAGAAGCAGGAGCTAGACGAGAAAACCAGACCCCTCACCTCCAGCAAACCCAGAGGATGCCGCCTTTCCATTTCCAATTCCTGCGGTTACTGGCTGAGGGTCCCCGGAAAGGCCAATTCCCGACGCCCCCTCCGTGCCCCTCGCTGCCGCCACGGAAACGACAGGACGCTAAGAAGCGCGGCCGCGCAGAGGTCTGTAGAAGGACGCGCTCTCGGGGGAACCCAGCCTCCCACGGCTGGTCAGTGCCCTCGGGGTCGCGATTGCGACCTCCCCACCGCCCCGACTTGCACCCGCCGAGGCCCGGGCTGCCTCACCTCGGACGGGAGCCGGCGGCAGCGGACGGCGTCGCGGGGCTCAGCGCATCCTGGGGGAGCCGGGAAGCCGGACGTGGAACTGCGGAGGCCCCCAGCGACGGGTTATGTAATCGGCAGGGGCCGCAGCCGGGACGGAGAAGGCGGCCCGCAGCACTTCCGCCTCTCGTGCTCTGCCGGCGGCTCAGCCCGGAAGATCATTGGCCGCTGCACCACGTGGTGCCAACCCCCTGACGCTGACGCCACCATCTTGGGAGCGGGCCCCGCCAACTGTCCCAGGCTTGCGTGATCCCTAAGCTGCCTGCGCTGACTGCGGAAGCGCTAGACAGCTGCTAGCTGCTGAGCCGCTCTTGCTTGCGTGCGTGGACGCAGGTGGCGGGCTGGGGTTTCTGCGCCCTTCCGCGATCAAGCCGCTCAGAGAAGCCAGAAGGCCTCCTAGACGCTGAACCGCGCCAGTTCTTCCCTCCCTGGAGGTTAGTAGACGCCAGCGCCGGTGATTACTGGAGCCCTGACTCAATGGCACCGCCTAGCGCTCGCGCTGACAGCTTCAGAAGGGTGGTTCTGGGCTGTCACTGCAATGGGCCTTCAGGACAGGGGTGAGGGTTCTATATCCAGATATAATCCAAAGATAATTCAATTCTTGTTACCAGGGAACCCGTGTCGACAAAGTTTAACCTTCGCTTTCAGATAACTACAATGATCCATATAAGAAAAACAACAAGAACAGAAATTGTGCAGTCAAGGGCTAAAATAAACCCCGAAAAGATGTAAAAATCCAAGATAGCACATCAAAACAATTCGTGTCTCAAACCGTGTAAAACAGCACCATCTTTGAAATATCAAAGCTGTATTCGTTTGGCATTTTTGAAAAGTAAGGTGTTCCTCAGGATTTTAGAATTTTGGGGTTGCATTTGTAACTAAGGTAGAAAGCCTTGGGACTGGGTTCCATCTTCACACACACGCACGCACACACACACACACACACACACACACACACACACACACACGAGAGACCAGGAGTAGTGAAACAAGACGTTAAAAGTCAACCGCAAATAGTTTCCTTGCCTGTGTAGTATGTTGTATATGGCTGGCAGAATTTATGCAAGCAACCTGTATTTATGTTTTCTTTTTTGTGACAGTACAAATTGTTAATTTTAAGGGAGGAATCGAAAATCACTTGGACAAAATGAAGACTGTTAAAATTTACAACTTTGTAGATTGAAGTATCACAAACATGCTACTGTGTACAAGCAGTGGTGATTAGCATGTTTGGACCCATTCAGGTCATTTTGAGCCTTCAATACAATTATACTTGGTATGCCATTACTGAAATTATTTCTAATTAACTTGCTGCAGGAAAATATTTAAATTGATCTTGATGTGATCTTGGCACACACCTGTAATCTCAGCACAGAAAAGGCTGAGGCAAGACTGAATAGGATGTATGCAACTTGTGTTACATTCCTGAAATAACATTGCTAAAATATCAGTGATAAGACTATGTTAAATGTACACTCCATATCACTTAGTATTCAGATTCTAAGGAAATGGATGAAACTATGAAAAGGAAATTGCCTACTCTCCATTTCCTCTCTCTCTCTCCCTCCCCATTTTCTGCCTCCTAGAACATGGTGGTAAACTCATTCAGTGGCAGAGGAGAGGCAAAACCCTGCCTGCATTTTCTTACTCTTTCTGGGCTGGGATTCATCATCAGCATCACCTTGGAGCTTGTTAAGACCCTCTCAGACTGTCTCAGTCAGCATTTGTACTTAACTCAGAAGTGGCATTCAACAGGATTCACAGGTGAATGGAAAAGGCATTAAAGGTCAAGAAACACATCCTGGGTGATGACAGAGTAAAGACATTCTTTGGCTTCTAAGGTTCTAAAATAAACTGACAAAGCCTTGATTGCACAAATTTGAGAAAATCAAAGGTGTCTGATGAGATCCTGTGTCATGAACATGCATGTTTGAATGTGTATGTGCACATGTGTACAGGGTTGTGTGTGTGTGTGTGTGTGTGTGCTTGAAGAGGCCCAGAGTGGATGTCTGATGTCTTCCTTGATGGATCACCACTTTACTGAAGCAGGGTCCTTCAATGAAACTGGAGTTTACCAATCCCAGCTAAACCTGCTGGCCAGCTTGTTAAAGGGATTCCCTGTTTCCACTTCCCTTGTGCTGGAGGCTGCAATACTTGCCCAGAGTAATTGTGAGCTCCAGGGACCTAAATTTCACTTCTCATGCTTGTGCAGCAAGTGTTGTATTCACTAGGCCATCTCCCAGCACAGTGCAGTACTAAGCATCCAAGACTCTGCCTTCTAGTCCATTATCTCCTGATGTGTTTTAATGTATCTCCTCCACTTCACTCAACAGGCTACTAGCTTTGTAATAACCACCGCCTCCCGCAGTCTACTGAATTGAGTCTGTTACAGCTGAACAAAGCTGCCATCTCCCTTCTTTGGTTTCTCATCAGGAGCCCCTGTGCTGAGTTCTGTTTCCTTTCCCTTTGGCTCCTAAGGACTTTACCAGGCATATTAATTGTTTTCCCTGGCTGCCGGTCATGCAGTGAGGGCAAGCAGGCATGGCCCCCCCTTTTTTTTTTTAAAGATTTATTTATTTATTACGAACACAACACCCTGCCCCCATGTATGTCTACACATCAGAAGAGGGCACCAGATCTCATTACAGATGGTTGTGAGCCACCATGTGGTTGCTGGGAATTGAACTCATGACCTCTGGAAGAGCAGTCAGTGCTCTTAACCTCTGAGCCATCTCTCCAGCCCAAAGAGAAACTCTTAATTCTGCCTTAGCTCCCTCACACTTCCCTAGCCTTGGAGACAGGGACCGAATCAGGCTTCTCTGGCCCAGGACCAGCAACAAGCTTTCAACTACATGCTTAGGCTCTTTCCTTCTTCTCTGAAGTCCCAAGAATCTCCAAAGTTAGACTCTCCAGAAATTGAGGCATGTTAATATCACTGTAGTCATCTTCATGGTCTTCATGCTCTATCCAGCCCCTAGCAGAAGAGTCCAGTACTGCTCTCTTACTTCATCTCTAAGTGATACTAAACCTCCTTTGGAGGGCACCATGGCTTACCTCTGACCTGTCTGAGGAAGGGAGTCAGTAGATGAACTGGGAAGAGAGTAGAGCAGAGATGGTGATCATGTTATTCTAACACTATTTAGGCATTGATGAGGAATACCAAATGTCAGAACACATCTACATACTTTGATTACTAGGGCTGCTCCACACACAATGATACACTGATAAGCCCACCATAAGATAAAATATCACGAGCTAAAAATGCATTAAGGGCTGGGGAGAAAGTTGGTCAGTAAAATGCTTGCTGTGCAAGGATGAAGACCTTTCAGATTCCTGGCACCCACATAAGTTGGTGCAGGGTCGAATCTATAGCTGCAGCACTAGGGGTTCTGAGAAAGGCAGATTCCAGGGTCTTGCTGGCTAGCCAATCTAGCCAAAATGACAAACTCTGTCTCAAAAAAACAAAAAAGGGTAGAGAGCCACAGAGGAAGTCACTGACATCTCTAGTCTCCACAAGCATACATGTACTCATCTGTGCGCACACTCGCGCACGTGCGCGCACACACACACACAAATGCACAATATATTAGAAGCTGGATATGGTGGTACATGTCCATTATTAACAGAACTTTAGGAACTGGAAGCAGGAGAATCAGGAATTTAAGGCAGTCCTTAAATTCCTAGCATAGTGAATTTGAGGCCAGCTTGGGTTACATGAAACCCTTTCTCAAAAAAGAAATAAAAAAATGAATTTACTATTGCTTTGCCTAAATATGTTTAGAACACTTACATAGGCCTCCAATTTTGAAAGAACCATCTAACACAAAGTCCATATTATAACAGAATATTGACATTCCATGTAATTTGTTGGCCACGCACATCCAAACGATCCTGGCAACAGCAGAGTGCTGGGTGATTGCTCGGCTCAAAGGGTTGGCTGGTGCTGTAGCGCCCACTGCCCAACACCTCAGGAAAGTATTGTACCACATATTGCTAGTCTCGGAAACTGTCAAAAGTTGAAGCATGATTTCCATTAAATGTGTAATTATCTGTTATTGAAAAGCTGAAAAACTATTATGTGGAGGCATGCTAAGTTGGGGACTATATGTATTTCTTTGGGAAAAATTCCTAGAATGTTGGTTAAAAATTATTTTTAATTAGTCACATTTTATTTAACTTTGGAAACAAACCTAATTGCCTGCCAGGTAGGTTCTAAGAATGAGGCTTCACCTGCTACAGTAGGGCACATGGTCAGCCCCTTGCCTAGACAGCTGAGGTGGAAAGAACCACATTACTCTTGTGTACAGTCTTAGTGTGTCTGATTGCTTTTCTCAGTTTCTTCTTGAGACAGGTTCTCATGCAACCCAGGCTGGCCTTGAGCTTGTCATCTAGCCAAGGCTGGCTTTGAATTCCTGATCTTTCTGCCTCTACCTTCCAAGTACTAGTATTGTATAGTTGCTAACATATCCAACTCCATTTTTTTTTCAATTTAGAAGAACCATCATATTTAAACTTAACGTTTCTACAAACGTGTCCAAAATGTTTTGAGTCTGACTTCACACAAAGTGATTTTCTGACATTAAACCATTTTTTTAAAGTAGCAATGCATATTTGTGACAAACATTTTAGATAGAATTAAGATTCCCGATGAAATCTTTTCCTCTGTCTGACTCTAGTACTAGAAGTCTCAGGTAATCATGTTTACCAGTTTCCTGGTATCTTTTCAGGGATCTTATTCTCATGGTAAAACTGTTTCTTCAGAAATAAAATTCAAGTGTGTATTTGACTGGGATGACAAACACCTGTAATTCCAGGACTTCTGAGTCAGGGTAACCAGGAATTTGAGACCAGCCTCAGCTTAATAATAAATTCTAGACTAGCCTGGAGACCATGAGACCATGTTTCAAAAATAGTGGGGCTGGGGAAATGGCACAGTATATAAAGTGCTGGCTGGTAAAGCACAAGAACCTGAATTAGATCCTTAGAAGCCACATAAAAATAAAACCAAAACGACAGGTGTGGTACGCCTATAATACCAGCACTGGGGAAGCAGAGAAAGGTAGGTAGATGTCTTGAGACTTGATGCCCGGCCAGCCTAGGTACCTTTACAAGTTTCAAGCCAGTAAAGGATCCTGTCTCTAAAAACCAAACTAAAACAAAAAGATGGACAGCAGTTGAAGAATGACATTTAAGATTGTCCTCTGCCCTCCACATGCATACTTACTCCAACACACAAGTGTAGACATACCAAAACAAAACAACGTACAAGGGTAAAGCTTTGAAGTTCAATTTTTTCCCCTCACTTACAGAGAAGCCAGGCACTGTGAATTCAGAGCACACTCTGTCTGCTTTGAAGACGATTTGATTTTGTGAGGGGGAGGCCACGACGATAACACTTCAACAAGTGTTTATTGTGGAAACAGAATTTTTAGGA